AGAAATATTATTCGAACTTTTTATATTTAGGTTTTATTTGTTTTATCTAACTAACAATTAGGTGCTGGTCATTTTTCTGCATTTATAATCGTAAAAGAATTAACAAAACAGGTTTTAATATAAAATCTAGTATCTTTGAGGTTATTTTCAACATAATCAGGGTCGAGATCTTGTTTAAAGACTCGGCGTAAGTGCTTCTGAAATTGCTTAAATTTTTGACTAAAGTCTGATTTTTAATTCCACGGAAATATGACAGCTATCATTCTTTGACAATTCAGATATCATAAACTTTTTCTGCTTTGTATTTTTTTAATATGAAATAACAAATAGAATAAGATAAACTATATGTATGACATTGTAAATAGTCTTTGTTTTGTGCATTAAACGCACACTAGCTATAATGTAAATGTTTAATGGTTAAATGAAAAAAAAAAACAGAGTATCATGTAATTATTATTACTTATATCATCTTCGTCGTCATCATCATCCACTCGGAATATAAAAGAATCACACTCACTATCTATCAGATCATGAAGAGGGCACATTTTATCCTCTTCTTTAATAATTATGGTTTATGCATTCTTGTCTAGAATATTAATAAAAAATCGTGAACGATCGTTGTGGACCTGTCTTTTTGGGACTTTGCAATTCTTTTTCCAATTGCAAAGATTTTACAAACAAAGGGTTTTCCTAAAAAAGGCTTGCAACATATGTGTTATTGGACAGGGATTCCTGTAATAGAAAAATAATTTCCTTAATAATTATTGTAACTTCAATAATATGATAATAAAAAAAATACCATTTTAAAGTTATCAATAATTTTTCAAGTCTTGAGTTTTTCTAATTGAAACCTTAAATTCAAGAAAGGTTTATTTTTTTATTTGGCTAAAATTCTTTCCGTTTTAGTGCCAATGTTTCAAAGCTGACAACACTTCTGAAATGTCAGAATTCCGTCGAATTAAAAATCAGACTTTAGATAGTTAACATTTCAAAAATATTCATTGAACTAAAATTAATTAGTGGTACTTGGTAGATAGGTATTATAAACAAACAATAATCTATTTTATACATTAATCTATAAAAATAGTTAAATGTGTTGACCTATCTTAGTAATTATATTCAGGTATAGGGTCGCCTGTAGACGTCGCGGATTCATGTCGAAATAATGATATAGTTCCTGACATACTTTGCTTTGTGACAATTTTCGCCGTGAGGGGCTACTTTCGTACCCTATGATGACTGTGGCCGCTCGTTACTGTCTTGCCTTACACAACACTTTTCTGTAGTCACTAATGATGCCACAATGAATTTCGAACTATATATGTCTATACGTGGGTGTTTTTTTACTATTTCATTGTAGTCACGGTCATTGGGGATATATAACTATTCGACTAATATTTTATTATTATTTATTGTACATGAAATATAAAGACATCATTGTTATTTTAGAGAAAAATGTGTATATGATGCAAATAGACTTTTTTACTTTGCACCACCATTCAACCAAGTGTATTGTTCTTCGAAATTGCTTCCCGCTAGGGGCAGCGCTTGTAGGTCTTGCTGTTGTGTTGTGCGATGTTTATTTGTAATAACATCAGTAGAGAATTTACCAGTTCGGGAAGTTCATTAATAAGTTAATTAATATAAAATTAACACTTTAGATACATTGTATATAAAAATAGGCCTTAAATAATTTTAACAAATGGTGTTGCAATTTTTTACTCCAACCTAGGCAAATAGATACCCGATAACCGATAAAATGATAGTGTGTTTAGCTGTAGTTGTTTACTCGAAAGCGGTAAAAGGTTTGCGAGTCCCTCGCGGCGCGGGCGCGCTTGTTTTCATTTCGTTATTTACTTTTAATTTGGTAGCAAGCGGATGATGTAGCAGGCGGAACCGCGACGTGTGAATAATTGAGCCCGTTGCAATGCAATGATTCGATACAGCACACTGTCATACATATAACTAAATTCTTTCTGACGAAGCTTTTTTCATAGTCGTAATTACTTAAGGGGGTTTTTTAAATTATATAATTTTTTACACTTAATATTCTTATATCAATAGTTACATATTTTTCATTGGTTCATAATCATCTCTTCGTTCGTCCGTCCATCAGTTACGAATTCAGATACATATAAATATGTTGTACGATTCTCTGTAGTTTGGTATTTAGCAATGGCTACATACTTCGTGAATTACAGACTATTTTTGATGCAATTATTTGTCATTGCAAAATTATATATTCTATTAAAGATTTTTTTTTATTGAATATGATTTTTTCATATACCTACATTGAAAAGAAGGTACCAAAATGATAAATGATATTCAGGTAAACCTATTATAGTGTTCTGTAAGTACTTTTTATTTAAATATTATGCCATATGCAAATTGTACTTTCTGTTGGGGTTGCGACGAGGCATTGGTTCGCGTGCTGTAGAACATTAGGTCGCTGACTACGAGGTTCACAGGGGTGGCTTATTGTCTTGCGTCTATTAATACTCCTGTTTATAGTGAATTAATTTCTGCTGCATATAAACTTACTATTTAATAGAAGGTCTATAATATTTAAAATGATATAATTGCTTATGACATAATTGATTGTTAGACAGGTAATTCAAAGTAAAAGAAATTTTATCACGTAAAGCAATCCAATATAAGTAATAAATAAACAATAAGTAAACTTTTAATTTTGTTGTAGACTGGTTTATCCATATATAGATAAAAGGGATTTGTTGCTCTCGAAATTACGCATTGAAAACTATAACGACTGTATATATATGCCTTATATATTTTGAACGAGAAGAAATATCCAACTTTTACAATGTATTGTCATATATCTCTCCAGAGAACATTCTTATAAATTGGATTTAAGTTAGAATCACTGATGTTGATGTTATGTTTTTTGTTTATCTTTTTTGTTCGTGAAAATGGATGTTTGTCACGAGGTCAATTAGTGCACAATTTTAATGATTATCGTAGTTGTAGCTATGTTTGATCGAATTTGGTTGCTGAAATTTTAATGCATGACGTTTCGGCAGAATCCTTAATTATTATACAAAGTTTGTTAATTGTTTAGAAGTTTGTTTGTGTATTGAGACGAAATGTTTGATTTATTCAAAGAGGTCTCGAGTCACGTGGCATTGGACACCCTTCGCCTCGTGTTGACTCTATCTTTTAAGTAATATTTTATTTATATATTATTGATTGATTTGTGTTTCCTAATATTTGCTTAGAATAAAAATTGCATAACTGTTATACGAACTTCTTCTTTTTTAAAAGAATTATTAAATTATATTATTATTTAAAGAAAAAATAATCAACTATTGATGTTGTAGATTCTTTTAATTGTATTTATTCTATGAACGTGGCGCTGTGTGTGTATCATGCTTTAGATCAGGGCTCGGAACTGGTTAAAAAAAGACGGTTTATTTTGATAATGTTATGGTTAATTCTTCTCTCGTTCTTTAACCGGTTAATAAAAACGAACGGTTTAGTAAACCGAAATAATAATGGTTAACGGCAGTGGCGCGGGCGTGCCTTTTTTAAAAACCAATGTTTTCCACAGACAGAGAAAATTTTTGAACTTTGCACTTTCTTCTAACCGCTTCCACCGAAGAACAGGTAGAGTAAAATTTTGTAAAAAAGCTGAGCTTAGAGGACCATTCATCGTGGTCCTCGTAAAAAAATTATAGTTTGCGTAAATTTAGAACATTTTTTTTGCCTTTTTTAAAGTTTAACGAGGACAGTTATTGGAAAAATGTTTTCATATAAAATAGTAGTTTGTGGCCCGCTGAGGCCCCCTTAAATCAGGGGTCCTATGCGATTGCTTTCGTTGCATTGGCATACCTACGCCACTGGTTAACGGTTATTCTTAGAGAAAGGTTGGTATAATAAACCGGTCAATTCTTTCATTAAAAAGAAACGTACATGTTTCCTTCTACTAAGCAATTCACCATTAGCAAAGATTCGTCAAATGTAAACACACAAGTACTCATTTTAGCCGGGTTAATTTTGATCATGGAACCTAAATTCGTCAAAAAACCGTTTTGTGGGATTTAACCAGTTAAAGACCGTAACCGAAACCTTAAACCGAAAAAGGCTTTCGGTTTTGGATCAATGACCAAAACCGATTTAAAAATTGAACGGGTTTCCGAGCCCTGTTTTTGTTTAACAGTGTCGACTCGTCACTGGTATAATTTTTGTATGTGATGAAACTTTACATTGACACTGAAGATGCTTTTTATTATTAATGCCTCTAGGAGGGCAGAAAGCGTAGTACAGTGTAACTTCATACAAAGTCCTGTTAAATAACTCACTACCTTTGAAAATGATAATTCACCACCTGATAGGAAAAACAGTCACTATTGTATTACAGTGCTTATTTTCAGTAGTCGAATGAATATAGTAAAATAATCTGGTCCAACAATTTTTAATTTGGTAACATCACTTTTTACTTCTAGATTCCGCAAAACTACCTGTATGTATTTTTAAAATTTAGTTACGCTGATTTTAAGGTTATTACTAATGATTGATACATTATATCAATGTAAGCATATGCTATTTATTAGTAAGAGATATCTTCAGTTTCAACACGATATATTATCAATATTTTATATTTTATGAAAATAACTCTCTTTTATGTATTTCATATGATTTCTTAGAATTACTTTTTAGATTAGTAGCATTAACTAAACCACATGGCTATTTCTGGCGAGCAAAGTTATGTTTTACTCGAGAAAGTGGTGTCTACTGTTGTCAGTGGATGCAGGGCGACCGCTGCAGCAACGGTGTTTGTTGACGAGACGGTGGGCGGCGCAGGCGGGGCGCGGGCGCGGTGACCGCGGCAGGTGAGCGACGCGGCAGTTCCGCGACTCTCGCCGCTTGAGTGCCACGTACCGCGCGACCGACATGTAGTTCTAAACACGCGTTCGCACGCAGTGAAGTGACTTTACCTGTGGTGTTTGTCCTCTATCCTTTGGTGATACGCTGCCCTAGCGATAATGGTGGTACTCGAGGGTGGCGGTGCGCTGCTCGAGCCGGCGCTGGCTCTGGACGGTGCGGCCGCTGCGTGTCTCGAGCGTGCCTATGCACAAGCGGATGTTTCCTTAAAACTGTTACCAAAACGTTATATTAACTTGCACCAGTGGTTATCCCCTGTGACTACTTCGGTGACGGCTGCTGCGGCGGCTGGAAAGGATCTCAAATTACAAATTGTAAGTTGTAGAAGACGTAACTTCTTGTCATAAAAACAAACCAACTCTTCTCTTACAAAGTTTTAAATGAATTTCAATTTGTTTATTTTTTTAAGTCTTAATAATCCTAGACAACAAACAGCTTTATGTATCAAGAATATGCCTAAAGTTATTGAATTAAAAATTTATTCGATGTAAATATGCATATATTTCATTTTCACGCACTAATTGTAATTTAATGTTATGAATACATGTATTATATTCATCAAATATTTACAAAATTAGTTACCTCTCAAATTACCCGATTCTTAGGGATTTATAAATAAACGTATTTTTTCTTAATAATATGATGATGAATGATTGTTTAGTTTTATGTAGAGCTTTTAGGGGAGCACCTCGAAATTTAAACAAAATAATGTTATAAAAAAAATAAAAACACAATCGTTTTTACTTAATGTTTCTGAATTCGTAAATACAATATTATTGTTATAAAAGCCATCGGAGTATTTATATCCGATATCAATGTTTGCATACGTGAACCAACCACGAGAACAATAGCTGTTGTGTAATTGTGACAAACGACATGCCAAATTCTTTAAATGTATAATAAAATAAGTTTTGTTAATGTCCTTTTATATAAAAAAATATATTATGGGGTCAAAGTAAAGTTGAATAATGAAAATTGTACCTAAGTTGCTATTCCTAAGTACTTGATGAAATAGACAACCAACAAGTAAGTCTCATTCCAGTTCCAATAAATTAATAATACACAAAGTTTACCATTAAAACTTCGTTAAAGTTTCTCGTTTCATATAATTACAAAATTAAAAAAATATATATTTCTTGTTACCAATTTTTTGATCATGTCAAAGTTGTTGTTTAGATATAACACAATTATAAAAATCACAAATATATAAACCAAATTTGCTTCAACTGAAAGCCTCAGTTTCATTCCGCTTATTTATATACGATTGCAGCTCTATGGGCCGTCCAGCCGCCCGTGTCGCGGCCGCCGCTGTATCGCGCCACCCGATCTACCGTATTCATTTCTACGACCTGAAAACGCGCTAAATGTAGAGATACTTCCAAACCGCTTCGTAGAGCTTTTCGAGAGTTCGTATTTACAGACCAAAAGTTACATTACACAAATTGAGTTCGTTCTTTGTATTTCAAGAGATATTCATACCATTTTCTCTCGCAATTTTCTGCAAAATTGTGCGTCTATTGATTATATGTAAACGAGCTTATTGGTAAATTTAAATAAAAAATCATTTCATTTCCTTAATATAGGAACAAAGAATTCTTACTATGAAAGAAATGTTAGCTAAAACAGTAGATATTAGTAAGAAGGGGCCACCGTCTGTACAACTCTCACCCGCTCGTTTGCCGCAACGCTCGTTTATTTGTGCCTTCCTAGCTCTTTTGTTATACCCTGTCGCCTGTGTCTGCTTTGAAAAATTGTAATGCAGCAGCATTGTAAACGCGAGTCGAAGCGATTGTGCGCCACGCGCACTTCAGTTGCGACCACTAACTTTATGGAGTTCTCTGAATATTATCAGCATTATAGTATACCTATATGTCGCAGGGAAATTGTAATTGTTCAGTTAAATTATAATTTCACTAGAGAAATTATAATTACCCAGAGTTATTGTCAATCGTAAATTTTTATATAAAGTATAATTTCCCTAATTCTAGCGTCATTAGTGTCCGACAGTCCAGCCGAGTGCGAAGCCAAAGAACGCACTGGGAGGTGGCCCACTTCGGTGAGCGGGGTACCATGCGAGTTGCTCCTGGCACTTCTCTGACAGCAGAGTAAACCTGGAGCAACCCCATGATTGTTGTTGTAGTCTGCTTTAAACGGCAGATCTGCCGTCGTGGCGTCGTGGTTGAGTGCATAAGCGATCCTGCGACGCCCCGTTAAGACGGAGGAGGTTTTGTTGGGTTTTAGTGGATAGTACAAGCTTTTCTAGCCGGTATGTCCAACATAACCACCTGTATGTATGTTTAAAGGTGGTAGCCGTAAATGCATTGCCCAACATAAAAAAAAAGTTTAATTGTAAATAGTAGCAATACCGTGGGAAGCCTCGGTCCGTTTTGATTGATTCACTGCGATCAGTAAATCGAAAATTCAATAGGAGCTGGGTACTACCATCGTCATGGGATCCTGTTATCAATATAATAAAATCAAATAATAAATCTAAACATAACAGACAGGTAGTGTAGTAAGTTCTTATTGTGTAGATCAAAATGACAGCATTTCAGATTTTGACATTTTTCATTTGTAAATGTATGTAGTAATGTGTTGCTTAATATTATTAATAATTCGTTTTTAAATAATAGCAAATTTAAATTTAAATTATTATTTTTAATTAATTTTAACTTTTTCAAATTACACATAGATCAATTGTAGCTTAAATAATTAATATGATTTTTTCTTTATATTATATTTATGGTTATAAATATAATAATGGCAACACTAAAATTATAGATTACTAATTAATATTTTTAGAATTGTAATAATTATAATAATAACAGCTTAAATTAAATAAATAATATTAAATTATAAAAGTAATTAAAATTATGTAAAAATGTTTAAAGTTAATAGTTAAAAAAATATTGTCTGGTACTTTGGTGCCATTTTTCAATTTTTCGGATTCATTTTGTTATTTTTGGGTAGGCTGTCTGTAACAACTATATAATACCTTAGAAACATCTAACACCTCAGTCTCTCCCGTGACCATGATTGCTGTAAAGCATTTGAAACGTCGGGAACCAAAAATCAAAATAAATTCGCGAAAAAATCCGAAAAGATAGTTTTATTTAAAATGTCAAGTATTCGTGTAAATCTAAGAAAGTATTATTCTTATCTTGACAGATAATTGGATAATATATCCATGTAAAATTTGAAGTTAATTTATTTAAAATATTGTTTTACATAAAACCTATTTTTACAAAAACTGATCAATGCTTTTCTAGACTTTAACTCACTTAGCTTTGCTAAGATGACGTGTCGTTAAGGTCTGGCGGCTCTGGGATTTCTTAATATACTTGTGTTATATAGGTAAATGTTCATTATTGTCACGTACTATATCTCAAATACAAGGTGAAAAAAGGGTACTAAATTCATATTTTATATATTGATGAACCGACAAAACTATTAATTAAATAATATTTAATAATTATTAGCTTCTACCTGCGGTTAAGAACACGCATGCTATTTTGTGTAGTTTTAATCTGCTCAACAAGAGCCATTATTCGTTATCATCCTTAAATATACTGAAATAATTCAAGAAAAAAGCCTTAATGTTATATTTGTTGATGAGAAATCATTTAAACCCATCTAACAACCATCCTTCTTAACCTACTTACCTACGAACTATAAGAAATAAATAAATATTTATTAAGTTACATTATATCTACGTAAGTCCACTTTGTTATTGTTTTATAAGACTGATCAATTTATTCATCGTATTGATCGATACAAAATTAAGTAATAAAATCATATTGTGAACTTCATAAATAATACTACGATGATTTGCATGAACCACATGTCAACTTTTACGTTTGCATAATGCGGAACTGGCATATTGTTACTTTACTACATAGAGAACAGCACCACAAAGAGCCAGGTAAAACGAAGGTGAAGGCGGAGAACTAGGGCCGTTGAATACATTAGCCGTCACGTAGCGGTGTTGGCGTCGCAACGTTGTAATATATTTCACTTGCGGTCATTTTCGACAATTAACCACATAAAATGAGTGAAATTATGCATGCGGCCGACGACGGCATATATCACGTCCAGTTACGGGGTACACGATACCTACCCACCTGTATATTCATTATTCAAAGAAATGTTTCGCTCGGCCAAGCCGCGTCCGGAAGCTTGGGCTCTGTTCGTGTGATTGATGGAGAGCTCTTTTATTTTTCTGTTCCTTTTTCGTAATGCCAGTTCGCACATTTCTTATATCAGCATACGTGAATAATTAAGCATATCACACGTGAGATCCTTTATAAAATTTATCTGTATTGCTATACATTAAAAAATATCTTTAGTACCTCATAAAATTTAATTAACACAGAGAAAGTTTTCTACTATAGTCTAAGTGCTACGAGGTAAGCTTTCGCTCGATTCAACCGGACCTCTCAAACCGTCGGATTCATTTTCTCTTGCAATTTCCTACAATTTCCGGGCAACGTTTGGTACACTGACGTGCTGGAAAATTATTTTCCTGTAGATAATACTCGTGTCACGGTTGCTTTTCAGCCGAGAATTTAAATATTTATAGTACTTGCCCACATCGTACTGGCAGTACTGACGAGAATTCTAATTACCCCTTAATGCAATGTGTGTTTATATAATTTAAATTACACGATAAAAAATTGCAAACTACCAAGTTCAAGCGCGAGATCAACGTCCTGAGTGAGCCGCTCGTTATATAACACGCAATAGCTCTCGATACGCGTGCATGCCTCTTGGACAGGTATAAGACTGTCTTAACTATTTGGCCACGTAATTAGCTATTTGATGTTCACTTATACTTAACAGCATTTTATTGTGCTATCAGAGCTGCAACGCAGTTTATACTTTTGCAGTATCATCGTAGCCATTGTTTTACTGTATACATTATAATAAGAATTGTTACTAAATAAATAAATTTCATTGCAATTTCATTTTACCAGACGTTTTGACTATACCATACTTATATAAAATTATTTTAAAAATATAACGATTTAAATGTCGAATTTCAATTTAAGATATGTGCTCATCCTCATCTGAAACCACCTTGAGGTGTGTATGAATCAGTAGACGCATGCTCACCGGTGTGACGGCGATAGGTTAAGAATAGCGAGTGTGCTATTTAGGAATCTTCAGCATTTGTTTGCCAGCAATATGTGTCATTGTTAACTAATTTAAGTAACAGCGATTGCCAGCTGTTACGACATGGAGACGTGCAAAAAGGCGCAACGGATACTCTGAAATTGTGGGATATACATACATCGTTGTCTGATCTAATGTTAAAAATAACAAAAATAAAACATATATGTGACATTAATATCTATAGTATAATTATATAAATGTGAAAATTTGTGTAGATGGATGGATGTTTGTTACTCTTTCATGCCAGAACGTCTAAGCAAATCTGGATGAAACTTGGCACAGAGATAGATTGGGATAAGGGTAACTTTTTATCCCGGAAATTTGTACGGTTCCCGTGGGATAGATTTGTTTTTGTCTAAGGACGAACCAGAAGCGAAGCGAGGGTGAGTAGCTAGTAAGTTATAATATATAGTAATTATATTCACCATATAAGTAATAAAGTCGCGTTGACTACTTACATATAGTAATAACACGTAATGTAGTACTCTAAAGATTACGAGCCAATTGATTCATGAGCCCTTGGAATAATAATTTTTTTGTACATTTCCATTTATTACTTCTTCATTATTCCACGTTGTATCTTCAGTTATAATAAGTGAAATTTGCTATATCTTTATTTATTTTTAATTTTCACTAATGAATGGCAACAATAAACACGCTTTAGGTATACCCAGCACAACTAACTCTTTATATCTATTCCTTATGCAAATAAGCAATTTGTATGCACTGAACTTTATAACGAGCTCAATAATGAGTGTTTTAATTTTTTAGTGAGGTGGGTCGGGCTAATAATATTTTATTAATTAATGCGAAGCGAAGGTTGCACTGTCCAATAGCAGGCGACATTATCGTTGGAGAGTTGCGTAAACATCACAATGTAAAACACCATACCGTTTAGTCAGTTAATTAATTGCTGTTACCGGGACTCCGAGAGTGCAGAACGAGCGGCGGTTGTCGTGAGCTCGTTATGGAAATAATAAGTGCGATCGGTGCGCAGCCACTGCACAAGTTATTGTCAACTTGCCCTGCAGGGTTGCAGCACCCGTTTTATTATTTGTATAATCCGTTTCCCTCCGTCGATCTTTATTACGGGAATTAGTACTTATTTTAATCTATAAACGAAATTTATTTTTAAACTTAAATCTGTTAAACATAAACCGCGGTTTATGAAAATACACCATTGAAATTTATGCCCGTAAATTCTGTTTGTGTAAGCGTGTTTCTTCTATGAAATTAGTCGTGAAATGTGACTTGGTTTTCAAGGCACGGGTTTGCATAGACGTAGCTTATTAAGGTAAACTTTCATGAAACGTGTGGTAAACGAACGTTGATGTAAGCATAATATGCAATGATTTTTCTGTAAAAATATCAAAATGCAAACTCCTATTCAAAAAACACATATCTTCTCTACTTTCAAAAATAATATTTAAATATATTCTATTTGTAATGTTTTCTATTAATTATAATACTATAATTTTAATGTTTGTGACGGAGTGTCTGAATGTATGCCAGCTAACGTTAAAAAATTGAAACGGCCTGCTATTACTTATTATTTAGAATTTACAACGATCGATTTCCACACGGTACTAATATTGATTTATTTATAAAAAAATTTACCTCATCCAATAAATATGGAAACGACATGGAAGCAGCGTTCCAACATGCTCCATGCATGCAGGCATGATGATAAAATTAAAAAGAAGTGGGCTTCCTACATCACATATACAGGGAAAACAGTAACATAGTAAGATTAATATTAAAAACTGTATTGTGTAATTTTTTTTTAATTAATTATTTTAATAATAGAAATTTTATGAGGCATGTGCATGTATATAGGTACATATGTCTTGTGAGTACTGGTATCCTTGTGGGATACAACTAAGGTAGCGTGAAAGGAGCAGATTTGTCGGAAGCTCGGGTTTATTGAGGTCGTGTGATTGAAGCAGCGTACGAGACGTGTCACTTGATTTAATTAAGAGCCGCTTTTCCACCTATTTCGTAGACCTTACGCCACCGGGTAATTTCCAAGCAAGTCATTCCATAGGAGATTTATTTCAATATTATGAAACCGTCTCGTTACCCCTTTCTTACTTTGCTACTTCCGTTATTAAGGAAATTAGTTATTACTTACAAGGTCCCGCGTCACAGTTAAATAGGCTATATATTTGATCAACCCAGCTTACTGTACTAGCTTCGAACTCGATTGCTTTTATCTCGATAACGACGGAAAATTAAATCTTTCTTGCATTGCAAACAATGTAAGGATATATCTATAATATTAAAACTTTTCATTTTACTCTAAAAAATGTTTTTGCGTCCATAACTTTTCAAAATAATACCCAGATAAAACACTAATAGTTTTCTCTAACAATGTTTTATACTACTGAGAAGAATGATAGATAAGGTAAATCTTGTAAATCTTCCCTTGATTGGATCGTTTACCGGAAATAGTCTCATATTTCACTGCAGCATCTCACTTGAAATTCAACAGAATTGCTCTTATTTATTTTAAAACTCTGTTGTCTTATATTATTTTATATTAAAGCTCATAAAAAGTAGCCATTACAATTAGACATTTTAATTATATCGAGCCATTTAATACATTCAAACAAAAAATATTGTAGCCCATTTATTCGCAAAGTTTAAGTAATAAGTTACGGTATAATTCTATTTTTGAATAAAAATTACAGGAAAAAGTATCAGACGATAATTAGGGGAGATTTTGGTGAATTTCAGTGTTGGCGTCTAATGCGCTACTCTTGTTGGCCGTCATCACGCGTCGCGGGAGAAGTTCGTTATTAATTCATCGCTTCTCAACTTGGCTGCTTTTACTTGCATTACCTTTTCTTTTCGTGAACAAACGGCCGTTTTAGACGATAGGTATTATGCAATAAATTGCTATTTTTCCAGGGCGATTTTGCCATGGTTAGCATTAAAACTAGGGAAACCACTTTTGTTAAATATCTGGTTTACCAAAAAAGCTTATACTAAAGCGATTCATAAAAAACCAAAATGAATGATTACCCTAAAAAATTAGAAAACGCAAATGTGAATAAATCTTAGTTACAGTTATGGTGAACCACAATCGGCAATCACATAACGGCCAAAAAGCGTCCACGCGACGTTGATTGTGACATTGTCTGATACGGGTGGAAGCCGCATTGGCCGCGAGCGCGGGCGTAGGGCATCGGGGCGCATCGCGGCTGCCACCCGTATTTGTGATGCAAATTGTCGCGCCCGCCGCGCTTCACGCCTTACCTGCTGCTGCATCCAGTGCAATTATTATGAAAAATATTCATTTGTCCGCTTTAAACCCTCATTACCATAAAGCAACTCTTACCGCGGTATACAGTTTTACGACAAATGCAGATGTTTTATAAATGTACGTAGGGTGTAAGCGTATTCCTCTTTTTTGTTAAGTATTATCAGTAGTAGTAAGGTGATAGCGATCTCTATCCACGAACTATAATAATGGGAATTCAATAGGTAACTCGCTGCCTGCAAGAAGTCCGTGTGAAGTTTCGTGAGAACCTAGAGTCTCAATAACGCGCTTGAACGGTATCAGATTTCAAACGATTTCGCAAAACGAATAAATAAGAACGGAGGCAAGAAGCGTGCGGTGAAACTGAGTCAAAGTGTAGATATTAGAAACGCTCCGATAACTGCGGTACAATAACTTACTGATGTAGCGTCAGAACATTTGCTATAATTTGAGTATGGATAGTAAAAGGGTTGATTATTATTGGCTTGAATGAAATTGTTATTGAAGTAAACTTTTAAGTCGGGTGACCATCTATAGCAATCTCTTAAATCGAAAGCGATTAAGTGGCGATGTTGCAGGCACGAACACCGGTACCGCTGCCGGCCTGACCGCGTTCCACTAACGGTATCCATTCCGAAGTATTTCTCCGGCGCGTGGCACACTTAGCGCGTACATTCACCTCGACCATCTCACTGTCTTCAGTTTGCAAACCCTCATAGCCTAATCGTACGTTCTCATAAACAAACTGTAACGTGACGTTTTTATTATCAATTGAACATAAACATAAAATTAATTGCTTAATTGTTATTAATTTACCGTTGTTTCTGTAACCCATAAGAAAAAACCAAATTGAATTCGATTTACCGTTAGAGGTCATCGTACCTACATCTAGAAACGGTTACCTAACGAAGAGATAGTAAACTGTTAAATGACCATATAATAAAATGTTATTCCTACATTTCGCAAAATATACATATTAGGTTAACAAAAACAAGAAAAATCATATGATAATAATTTTAATTTTAACATTCCCGTTAATCAATTAAAATTCATAAGTATGTGTTTACATTATTTATTTGATAAAATGGCTTTAAATTTTAAGCCAAAATTAAAACGCGAATATATGTAAGTAGGTTGTCTCAGTAACTTTGGGAATCCCAACAAAAGAAATTACTGCAGTTTAATAATATATTTTTTAAGGATTTTCTTTATAATTATTATATAGGTACTACTATACGTAATTCTATTTAATATGTTAGATATAGGTATGAATAGGATATTCGTACCTATATCTACAGCATTCGTTTCCATAAAATTTATTGTTCGGAAAATGGGCCAAAATTAAAGTCTGTGTGGGTGAATTATTGGTTTTACAAATAATATTCTTACAGTGCTGTATAGCGTAGTAACGTTTTCTTGCGTGCGTGTGATTACTTTGCTCGTATTGCTGTGTAATATATTCATATTTTCACCACCTTTGCATCCTTAATATTTCGTTTCCTCATTTTCCTCCTGTTACTGTTCGGGCGGCTATTATATAATACAAACGTACAAATTGTACAGCAAAGACTCCTGACTACTGACATAGCTGAAACCAAGACTCTTCGCTAGCTGGTCATAGATAAGAAATTAACTTCCGCTTCTTTGCCGTCGTACACCACTGAATGGCCTATAAACATTTGCTGAATATAGGTAGGCATATTGCCGCACACATCTTATATATCGATTTCACTTGCTTTTTATGTACGCTTGGGTTGCCTTCATGCCACATTTAATCTGCAAATGGCAACATTCTGCAAGAAAATTTTGTTTGCCTAAACTTTAAAAATAAAATAGGAATACTTTCAAGCCGTAAAGGTATTGAAATAAATAATTTGTGATTTTTGAGGAAAAATCAAAAGATCTCATAGAGTATACCTATCTTAACTAGTGACTTACACTTGCTTCTCTCGGGTGCGTCTCTAGGTACGTGCACATATTTTAATAGGAAGATTTTTTAAGGGGAATATATCTGTGATACATTGTTTTCATATAACTTTTTTAGTTTCCGCGGCGCACGCCAATAAAGCTCCCAGTCGGCATGTTTTTTTCTGACATCATCAACAATCATCGTCATATTTTAATCAATCTACACAAAACCTTAATGAATTATACACTTAAACCTTCCTCATGAATATCTCTATTGGTCATCTAAATCGGTTTAGTAGTTTCGGAGCCTATTCGATACAAACAAACAATAAAACAAATTTTTCCTCTTTATAATATTAGAATAGATTTACTACAGTCAAATAAAGTTTTAACCTGGAAATGGAAGGTAATTAGCTATAAGTTATAACCATGATATACCTTCGTTTTGGCATTTGGTTTGTTGTTGGCTCAGTCTTCTATAGTGATCACATGAGTGATAATATAATGTAAATATATTGTTACCTGTACTAATTCATTATTTTGAAGTTAGTAAATATACCTATAACTTTTTAGAAATACCATATTGTTAGTGAATTACATAGTAGATCTAAAATTGCTATGAATACGGTTATGCGCTTCCCACTTCTTGCACTCTATCTTTGTAAGGTAAGGTTGATTACTAAATATTGTTTAATACCAAATTAAATTTCATAAATTCATTTTCGTGTTCTTAAATTTCTGGTAACTTGCGACGTGGACACGTGATATAAACTATGTAAATACATAACTTTAAGAGAAACACCTCGAAATTATAATTGTTTTTTTTTATTTGCTATACATTTTATGTAACAGGATTTTTATCTGCCAATAGCCTGTATATTACAATAATTCACTGTTACGCGTTTTAAATGTGAGCATTGTACATATGTACTCGTAAGTATATAATTTAGTGAATGTAATACTGGGTAGTAATTTTCCTAATATTATTTTGACCAAAAAAAAACTCATTCGAAAAAATTATAACTGTGTTAAACTAGTATTTGGCTTTAAAATTATTCCGTTTGCCTTATTGTACAATGCACATTTTTGGAGTAAAATTATGGGGCTGTCTGTCATGATCTGCAAATATAAGCTCTTAATACTTTTGAGGCATTAAGCACTTTTCTCATAAGACTTAATTTGAGAAGATAGGAATATATTACTAGTCTCATTTATTTCTGTTAGTCCTCGTTAGTGTCGGTTAACTGTTCTTGTTTTTCTTTCCTGTAATAAAAAGTACTCATGTCACTCTCGATCATGTAGTACGTAATACGTATGTATGTATGAAATTCGGTTCTTACCCTCGTTTCGCTCGGCAATTATAATTAGGTGTCTCACAATAGCCGATAAATTAATTCAAGGGCCATTTCTTTCGGACATCATTTAGTTATTCAGATTTATGACAGTAAACACGTTCTTATCGGAATAAAAATAGTTTATATCACTTGGCGGTAATGTAGTTTTCCATTAGTGTAATTTTGTTTAGAATGAAACCAGTAGTTTCAGAAATTGTCCCCTACCTTCAAACTTACAAACTTTATCTGTTTATAATATTAGTGTAGTTTAGCGAGATCATATCAAACGAACTGATAATTATTTTTTTTTTTGGCTTTGGTATCGTTGGAATAACCATATGATATCAATAAGGGACTGCCATTATAAAATCACACAACTATGTAAGTTGTATTTTCAAATAAACATTGCTTACGAATTTGCCCTTATAGTATAGTACATGTAATCTGTACTAATATTATGAAGATACAGAGTTTGTTTGTTTGTTTGAACGCGCTAATCTCAGTGACTACTAATTTTGTTGTACCGTTTGAAAAATTCTTTTTTCATTAGATAGCTCGTTTATTGAGGATGGCTGGCTATAGGCTATATAGAATATTATAATATATAGTCTATCTATTCCATACTACCTGTTAAAATGTATGTATATGTATGTGTATTTTAATTATATCATTATGTACTGTCGTGTTCCTAACATGATATAACATTGTAAATTCATAGGCCACCTTTACGAAACGATCATTAAATATGAGAAAATTATAAGATCCTGTTTTTTTTTTACAACAACTTTACAAAGTATACAAGAATAATGTTGTATTAATTTCTTTTCAATGATTATTATTGCGAACTTAAAGGAACACTCCGTAGGTACTATTTCATTTTAATCTTTTTACTTTTTAGCGAAATGATTATTATATAAGAACCTACACAAAAACATCGCGTCCACGCAATTTAATTACAATTACAAAAAATAAAACAATCGTAACTGAAAAATTAATCTTATCAGTATTTAATTATAATTAATCCCTTCTTCAAGTAGAAATAAATAAATTTATTGTATTTATGCTTTTTAAATCACTCTTTGCTGATTCTTCCTCGTTTCACCTGTGTGAACATGTTTATTGAAGCGGTATTAAAAAAGTAGAACAAAAATATATGCATTAAAGTGTAAGACATTACAACAGAAACAAATATTGGGAGAACTTCCATGCATACAGATGATGATTTGAACAGTGTGTAAGAGGCCTTACCTCGGCCGCTTGACCAACTTATTGAGTCACTAACATACTACGGTCATTGATTTAGAACCGTTTACATTCTAATCATCTTTAAAAGAAGTTAGAGCTAAAATACTTGCAACAGTTCATGCTCATTCTTTCTTATTCCGACATTTATTTGTAAAGATTTTTTTTATGTGTACGACTATAGAGAAAAGATGCAATCAAACTATAAAAACAAAAAAAAAATTAAACGGATCCTTATAAATCCCACATTCCTCAAAATAATGCCTGTTTACGCTATTCCACTTCGTCTGTTTCGTTAGAGCCGCTTAAATCTCTACCGACCGTGTTTATCCCTATGATAGCCATTTAGGACTTAAAGTGGGTGAAAAATGTTGTCGGACGTGGCCGCTTTGTATATTCTTCATGCCAATTTGTGTATACGTGCCGATTCTTGCCTGCAATGTCGCGTACCAAAATATGTGTATTCTCGGTGTAACGGGCAAAAGGGTGAGTTACGAGGGTGCGACAGCTAGGTGCGGCTCCCAAGTCGTCGATGCGACGATGACGGTGGTGTTTTATGAGCGGGGTGCGCCACGATGCGGGCGTGCCTGCTAATTTTGATAAAAGCGTCGTCGGGCCGCTCCTTAACAACTACCACCGTCCACCCGATTGTCAGTCATCAACTACAAACGTGACCTTTAAATTCAATCTATCGATCACTTAAACTTTTATCAGATTTTTACTTATTCTTTATCTTACTAAACGCGTACGCTCGTCTCAATGTTTGTTAACTTTTTAAATAAAACTATCTTCGGGTTTTTCCGGGGATTTATTTTGATTTTTGGTTCCCAACATTTCAAATGCTTTTACAGCTTGTCTCAAAGGCATTATATAGTTGTTACAGACAGCATACCAAAAATCAAAATTAATCCGCGGAAAAATCCGAAAAGATAGTTTTATTTAGAATGTCACATATTCGCGTAAATCTAAGAAAGTTTATTAACTTATTAGTAAATCATTTTTCATGAAGTGGAGTTCTGAAGATGATATATGGTTTTTGGACTTATAGGACATTCCAAAAAGGAATTTCACAAAACAAATAATTGAAAATGCATGAAAGTCTTGCAAATTGACATAATCATACCTTGTATTGATTTTTAGCCTAAAACAAACAACACCAAATGCTGAATCGTCAAAAGGCAACATTTTAAACATTTCAAATGGTGGTGATCAGAAAATAGTGTTTAATTTTCATTATGATTCGAAAATATCTTAGAGATTTAGCTATCCTATTTTATATATAAATCATTCTTGGAGAACCTCTTACAGAAGTGTCTACGGTGAATGGTGTAGACACTGTTCATTTTATTTAACACATTAAGTATTAAAACTAAAAGCCAACATGATAATTCAACAATAAGACATAGCAACAGAAAGATTCAGAAATGGACTGATATTAGTGCAAAGCTAAATTATTTTTAATATAAGCTATGTTTAAAGTATTCGACTACATTATATGCTTTATTTATCTATACATATACCTAATAAAATTCTGTGTCGACTCTCTACATTAAATATTTTTTGGAAAATCTTATTGAAATAGTCCTTATTATCGATACAGAGGCCGAATCTATAATTTTTTAAGTTATACTTCTTTTGTCACGTCGGGAAAAAAGTATGAGTAAAATTTTTACGATGCGCGCGCACACCGACAGCCAAAAATCGACATGGTAAAGTCAACTGAAAGCGACATGATGAAGATAGCTGCATTCCGTTTATCACAGAGAGTTGTGACATAGGGGATAAATCTTTAGCTATTTTTGTTCTGTTATGCTAAAGAAGTATAAGTTCTTATGCGCGTACATAATTACACACCTACAATTTTTTTACAATTTTTATCTGTCTTTCAGGGAACGCATCTCAAAAAATCACTGGATAGATTTTGATGAAATTTGGTATTATAGTAGCTTATCCGGGTCAACATATAGGATACCTACATTTTATTGTGGGAAAATATCTCATCTTTGAGTAAATATATATATCTTATATCTTTAAACGGGCAATTCTTCTATATTTATAATCTTAATCTCGGAAACGGCTCCAACGATTTTCATGAAATTTAGTATACAGGGGTTTCGGGGGCGATAAATCGATCTAGATTAGTTTTATGTCTGGGAAAATGCGTGTTTTCGAGTTTTAATGCGGTTTTGTTTTGCATTATTCCACGCAAAATATGGTCGCTAATTCGCACGCTAGGATATAAGCATCGTGGTCAAGCGGCCAAGGCGCAAGTTCGTCTACCACAGCTGTCTGGGTTCGTATTGCGAATAGATATAGTAGGATACAAAGTTTTTAATTTTGTTTTTTTTTGTATTTATTCAATTTTTTTTTATGTTTTTTTGGCCAAAAACTCCAAGCGAAGTTCGGTCGCCCAGGTACTTACTATTTATAATATATTCCGTGTACACTAAACCCTTCAGGTTCTTATTGATGTATATTAAGTGGATTTTACAATAACAAGATTAATTTCAAATTACATTAAAAAGTTTTGTAACAAGCATGTATGCATGTGAATGTCCATTCTGTATTTAACCATATATCGTTAAATCCACTTTATTAGTAATTTATATTATAAGGGAACCGTAGGCAGAGAATGTATAAGTTTGCAAAGCCGAATCGTGAACTGCCACTAACAGAATTTGTAAACATACAGAATGATAGAGTAAAATGTTAGAATGATAGTTACATATTTGGCTCGTTTTTAATTCAAATTACGATGACCCATGAGCTTCGTGCTAAAGTACTTTGAAAATATATTGCTTAGTCGTATTCATGATATTTTATTTAAATCACGTACCTATATTTTATTTTACCATAAAACACGTTGAATTTTTTTTTGATTCATCCTAAAGATATTTTGTTCTATTACTTCTCATATCAAGCTCTTGGCGTGATATGAACAGTACCTAATAGTATAAAATTTAAAACTGTAATATTTTGTCTAAAAACATTGGGCTAGTATTCGTCAATACAAATATTAAGTTGTAATTCTGACAGGGCGTGGGCGATGTAGGCGTGGCTAAGCTCCGCCCAACTTAAACCCGCCCTCGCCCTTTGCCACCTTTTCATGAAAATCTACAGGCGCTCTTTCGCGAAGGCTGTAATAGGTACCCAATGAAATCTTATAATTAAAATACGAACCATTTCTTCATTCTACTCAAGTAACTGTCTACTGTTATGACCTTGTTTAGAAATTGAATATAAAAATGTTAATAATGTTGTGTGTCATAAATATGTGCCTAAATCTTTATGGAACTTTAAGGGACACGTAAATTTTGTTCTAAAACATCAAAAAGATTACCCAGAAATTGATTAAATTTAACCGTTGATAGCGTGAGAGATGAGCGTTGTCGAAGTAGCGGCAGCCCGCGGGGCAGATAAACTCGTTAGAGCAAGATACGTCAAGCACGGGCGAAACCGACTGAACGCGCCAACCTTGAGTATCCGCGTAATCTTGTTGGACTTCCGACCCCGTCGACTACGATTCGCCCTAAATTAGCTTTTGTATTCGATCAACAATCTAATTTTCCAACTCCTGAAACGTTTTTCTTTCAAGTTACAATCTTATTTTATTGTCAGTAAACAATTATAGCGAAAATACGTTAAATGCGAAGGTATCGCGCTTAAAGCGGCATGAGCACCTTAACGCTGCCGCTAAAAGCTTCTTGTTGACGTAACGTTCGATTCAAGAGGCACTGCTACGTTCTTGTCGTTGTAATTGATTGCTTTGTCGCGTAATTTGTTTGCCGACGCCTAGAGCGAGCGATTCTCGCGGGAGCAGAACCACGTTCTCGTCATCGTCCGCGTAAATAATAAATGCTGCGAACGCCATTTTCTGCAGGCAGCGACACTGCGCGTACCTGGACACGAGACACTAATTTCATGACTCAGCATCCGTTGCTATTCTTATTATAAACAACGTTATAACTACAGAATATATGTATTACGCAAATAGAATTTCTTTCAAATAAAAAGTTAATATACCTACTCGTTGGTACATAAAAAGTAATTTATGAGAGTATGAGTATGTATTTTATGATCTATCATCAGGTTCCGATGATATGAGGGCTTTGACTATAACGATTACTTAAATATATTTTAAAACATTTTGAGAGTATTTATTGTTCTGAACTAGAAATTTATACAGTAAATCTACTCTCTTAAAAAAATGTAATGCTTACAAAAAGTAAGAGAACACTAAAGTTCAGTGACATTACGGGTAATTCCAATTGCAATTACGTATTGAAATTTATGAAAATTAAAAATAAACAACTTCGTAGTTTACTTTATCAATTTACCAAATATCTATAAGTACATATAATAAAATTCTGAGTCAAATGTATACATTAAATATTTTTTGGAAAATTTTATTAAAATATTCATTATTATCGATACAGAGGACGAATCTGTAGTTTTTAGATTTTTTGTCTGTCTGGGAACGCATCACCAGAAAATCACTAGACAGATTTTGATGAAATTTGGTATGATGATAGCTGGTTACCCGGGTCAACTTATATAATACTTTTTACTGCTAGAAAATATCTCATTTCTGAGAAATCTTTACTACCCGTTAAAACGTACATCTTAGGAGCGAACCTGAGCGGAGCAGGACAAAGTCACTAGTCTTTCATATAATTCATAATTGTTTGGTAATATTTCGCGATAAGTCAATATATGTTAATACATGCTTATTCACTTCCCTACGGGTATGTATAAAACATATCCAGACTTATTGCTTTACTTTTATTTTAAACTTGATAGATTTGCGTGACTTATTTTAATTAAGACTACCGATATATATCATCTGCAAGGCCATTTATTTCATATCCGTTTATTTATATAACTGGTATATACCTATTTGTAAATCATATCAAATCACCACTTCTAAATTTTAAAAATTTCTAAATTTTTGGACATCTTTTAACCCAAAACAACAATAGAGTATTTGCATTTATAGTAGAAGCAAAGGTATGATTTGGTAAAGCGCACAAAGCATCAGATGAGCAGACAGAGACGTGCACGAGCGTTCCGTCACTAATAACCCTGTAATTGGTATCGAAGCTTGCCGCAGCCGGATTACTGAACGTCTAATTGAATGCGAGACGGTGCCTCGCCGCCACCTTCGAGCGACACAGGCGACTTAATTTTGTTGCGGTCAAGTTGCCCAGCTTAGTGCACGTGCGCCTCCCGCGCTCGCTCGCCGTTTAATTACACCGCCTTGATGAATTAAATTGTCGTAGTAGCAGAAGTCGCACTACGAGATCAAACGCGAATCCCCCACCGAATGAGAATTTAAGATTTACCCTCCTGCGAAGTTACGACTTCAGATAATCATTTCGTGTCAATTAGCTAATGAAAAATAAAATAGGCACCGGAGTAATAGGAGCACCGTAATTAAAATAAGTATGATAGCTGGCATCTGTTTTAACTTACGAAGTCTTCGTAAATTACGTGCGATTTATAATAAAAGTATACATTAAACAATATACGGGTTTTATTAAAAAAAAAAAAAAAAGCTTTGGTAAACCTGTATGATTTTTACTTTATATAAACAAATCTATTTTGGACAGTACATATATTCTAGGTGTCTATAAAAACTACGAACTAAAAATTTATGCGAGGTATCAAAACAATTTTGTGCCAAGGTTGCCGGTTGATTTGTAAACGAAACCGTGGTACGAGAGTGGGCAGGTGGTAGCAATAGAAGCAGCCGGCATTAAGAGTTTTGTGTGCGATGTATCACTGTGTTTACAGTAGTGGCGTGCGCGCCCGCCCTGGAGCCACGCCAACTAATCTCCTCTCAACAGGTAAATGGAGCCCGCCCGTGCACGATGACATCACACTCACATCACGCTCTCATCGCCGTGAATCACCTCATTCTAAATATCTAAATGCCATTCGAGTAAATATACTATTGATTTATGACACAATTATCAAATGTTCTACGAACGTAAAAACAATTATATTTTATTAAGGAAAAGTGATATTTGATCTTTTTTATTGGGTAGGATTAATAATTCATTTAATATCTATAAAAAGAACTGTAGGATATTCTTATATCCGAGCTAAAAGATAATAGCAGTAACCAGTAGCGGCATATGCGTCAGACAGGGATGTGGCTTGTTATTAACTTTTTAAACGATTGTGTTAATTAGCGCGCTTCACGGCGAGTAGCCCTCGGGCGCTGCAACCTCAGAGAAAAAACTGTAAACGATACGATTCTCTATTAATTAAACATATAACAGTTACCATCTGGTCCGCGCAACAACATAAAACGAAAACCGCTTAATTGTCTTCGTTATTTGCACACTTTAAATCGTATAGATTGCTTTTTACAAACAATAAGATTATCGTAACATAGGTATATTGAAAATCGTTAATATCTGTATTGTGTAAACCACCGTGACCATATTCTCTGAGAAGGGTGACAACACATGACGCCCTTTGCCATAACTCTTAGTATAGATATTTTTAGTACGGACTATATTATACGAAGTAGCATTACATATTGCAAAAGTTCTCAACCTAAGGAAATCGTACACCAGATTTGTGTACAGTAGTACTTGTAATTTTGTGCAGTAGGCCCTGTCAGTCCGGTCCATGCCTTTAGGCTTATTTTACCTCTAATTCAAATACGCTCAATATGTTTTTTTTCTTTGTTGTAGCAACTCTTCCGATCACAACAAGCGGCCGCAGCCGGTGGACAGGCGGCTGCGGCGCAGCTACAGCTGCTGCAACAACAGCAGCAACAACAGTTTCAATTGCAACAACAACTGGCCGCTCAGCAGGCTTTCACACAGGCGCCGTACGTTATAAACGCGGGACAAGAGGGAGCGCCTTACGTGAGTGCACTGATCGCGGGCGTGCCACCTTACTACGGCGTAGCGCCATGGGGCGTGTACCCCGGCCTGGTCGCGCAGCCCGCGCAGCAGCAGGCGCAGCAGCCGCGCCGGCCGCTCACGCCGCAGCAGGGCGAGCAGCAAGTGAACGGTCAAGGACAGTACGTGATCCCGTACTACGATCCGAGCTCTCTAGTGATGGGCGGGCGCAACGGCACGCCGCTGCGGCTGGTGTCGCCGGGCGGCGTGCTGGCTCCGCGGCAGTACCCGCCGGCGCCCGCGCCAACGCACCCCGCCGCCACGCCTGCGCCGCCCGCCTCCGCGCAGGCGCAACAGCAGCAGCAGCAACCTGGTATGTGAACACCTTGTAGTCGACTTTCTTATCACAACCGTACATTACATTATGTTGGACTCTATGCACGTGGTACTTATGAAAAAATCACCTTAACTATACATATTTTTAAATGGAGAAGTTTCATTATGTTTTCATATAAATGAAAATCAAATCAAGTTGAGCATAAAAAATGTTAGATTTTTAAGATATATCTCATAAAATATGAAAACAGCGATTATGACATCATATAACCCTAATACATAATTTTTTTTGTAAATTATCACATAGTATTCTACATTTTAATGAAATGTTGAATAATCCAAAATATATTACGTATAAACAAAGATCGCACTTGAACTACGCAGCAATTAGGAATGATGACCTTACGTCGCTTGTCGAGGCAACAATTTTCTCTCACTAAATTAGTCTACTTTAAACTTTTGTATGTTTTGTATCTTATCTTAAAAAGAAAACCATCAATGTTGTAGTCATGATTTATATCTTAACTAGCATTGCCCGCGGCTTCGCCCGCATTTAGATGACCAAAAACCAAATTCTTAGGCTTTGCATATTTAGTATACTCTTACATTGCAGTTTTTGTATTTTTTCTCAGAAATGAGATATTTTTCCGCATTAAAAAGTATCCCATATGTTGACCCGGATAACCATCTATCATCATGCCAAAATTCATCAAAATCTATTCAGTGGTTTTCCCGTGATGGGGTAACAGACAGACAGACAGACAGACACAAAAATTCTAAAAAGTGTAGATTCGGCTTCTGTATCGATAATAGAGTCTATGTCAATAAGATTGTAGAAAAAATATTTAATGTACAGATTCTACTTTGTTAGAATTTTATTTTATGTATAGATATAATATAAAAGTTTACTTTACGATATAGAAACTTCTCCATTAGGTATAAATTGTAATAATTAATATATTGCAATATATGTAACTTCATTTACATATTTTATGGAAACATTCATTCTTAACATAATAGCCACTTCAAAACTTTTATATATTTTTCCATTGCACTTTAAGTACGTGAAGTACAAAAACGTAATGATATATTTGGCTTAGTTATAAAATTAAATAAATTTAATGTAGATATATCACAAGCTGATTACCGCAGGTATACTTATTTAAGTTAAAGATTGGTTTCATACGGATCTGTAATAGCTATTTAATTAGATATCCATTATTTACTGCCTAAATTGATTGAAACAGGATTATACTTTATAAAATAGGTATACATGAGTCTCTGTCTGTCTCATAAATTATAAATGAAAAAGAAACAATCGCTATATAGTATATACTGTTAAGTAAATCGAATGACATCAAACATTTTATAGTTTTATAATTGAACTAACATTGCCCGCGGCTCCGCCCGCGTTCTTATGACGAAAAACCAAATTCTTACGTTTTACATATTAGTATACTCTTACAATGTAGTTTTTATATTTTTTCTCAGAAATTAGATATTTTCCCGCGGTAAAAAGTATCCTATATGTTGACCCGGATGACTAGCTATCATCATACCAAATTTCATCAAAATCTGTCCAGTGGTTTTCTCGTGATGCGGTAACAGACAGACAGACAGACAGACAAAAATTCTAAAAACTATAGATTCAGTCTCAATATCGATAATAATGTCTATTTCAATTAGATTTTCCAAAAAATATTTAATGTACAGATTCGGCTTAGTTACAATTTTATTATATGTATAGATATGTTATTAAAGAAAACATATAAATTATATTCGGTGGAGATAATCACTAGAACTAATGAAGTTATATTATTACGACTGACGTACCTCACATTTAGAAAGTTTACTTTCTAAATAAATAAAAATTGAATTTTTAATAACAAGTAAAACATCTGGTTTACATGAGATGTAACGACCATAGCGCCATTTGTTATCTATACTTATTATAAAAATAAGTCCCCCGGCCGCGTCTTTCTGTCCTCCTGTCTGTCCTCCTGTCTGTCTGTACGCGATAAACTCGAAAACTACTGAACGGATTTTTATACGGTTTTCAACAATAGAAAGAGTAATTCTTGAGGAAGGTTTAGGTATATAATTTATTATGCTTTTATGTAAATTAGCTGAAATACGGCGACAAATGTTGAAGAGGTCGCAAAAAATCTCGCCAAATGGGAACTTTCCACGCGAACGCCGCGTAAACTAGCAAAGATACAGTTAAGTAATGTACTAGAGAATTCAAAATCTATAAAAATGCTACAAAAAAGTCCGCGATAGCATATCTCTATCTCTTACGGTTGACTTACAATAACCACTTTTATGTTAACATTTTTAATTAAAAACATTACGTTATTTTCAAAGTTATTTTCTTTAGTTCGGTATTAATCCTTATCCAAATGAATATTTTAGTTAGCTTAGTCATTTAATGCAGATTAAAATTGCTCTTTACACTAAATCAATCAGATGAATAGTTTTTGAGATATCGTTGTTAGAAGTAATTAGTAGCGAAACATTTTTAATGCTTGGCGAGCATTGAGATGCCTACGGCGAGTCCATCCCCTCTGCCCCGCATCGCTCGACCGCCTGCTCAAGCTATATAAACCGGGCGATGTAGCGCGCGATCCTAGGATACTTTTTACCGCGGGAAAATATCTTATTTCTGAGGAAAAATACAAAAACTGCAATGTAAGAGTATACTAATATGTAACACCTAAGAATTTAGTTTTTGGTCATCTGAACGCGGGCGGAGCCGCGGGCAATGCTAGTATTAAATAAAACAGTTCACGAGTACGCTTCAGAAACGAAACCGCATCAATATTTAAAAAAAATTGGCATAACTCGCCAATCAAAAATACCTGACAAATATGAATGTATTTCTTATTCACCAACGGTTTATCTCTTTGCTGGAAATTGCAGCATTTTTATCCGGCACATTGCGGACGATCGGATTACATAAAAATTAATATGTACTATATTTTATGAATGCTGCTATCAATTAAAAATTATCTGCATCATAACATCATAACAAAAATTAACTGCATCAAAACGTTTTAAAATATGCCGTGTAATATTATGTGATTCATTAAATATTACAGATATTTAAGTCTAATTTTATTATACTTTAAAATGTTTAATTCAATCGTTTTGCTTGTGGCTTTTTGAAGTGCCGATATTGAGCATAATTTATTTTATCAGCGTTGCGTTGGAAAAATTATTTATGTTAAAATAGAGATTAAATATAAATATCAAATTAATAATTACATTTACATTTTAAAGTTTCAAAATCAATGTACAACTTGTTAAAATTCTTATCTACATGCAATATTGTGGTGTTTTATTATTAAGACGAATACAATGCCTGAGTCAAAACTACTCGTGTTGATAATATTTATTATGATAGTATCGATTATTATTAGATTTTAGGAGCATGTGATTCTCGATTTACTTATCAAATCAATCTATATATCTCATTTTTTTACTGTACATACTTTTGTATAGTAGTTACTTTAAGTAACGTTATGCCTGTATCATTATACAATAATGCTATAAATAATAACTTTATTATTTGTCATTCCTATATGGTATTTAATTCAGCATAGACGATTTGTAGTTAGAGCATTCTTCTCATAGTTTACACTGAAAACTTTTATGTAGATGTACATAATAATTTAAGTTTCTGGAATTAATAATAATGAAGTTGTAACATATGAACGGTATATAAAGCAGCAGTATGGAAATGCTCGCATCCAAAAGGTTGTAAATAGTAGGATATTAAGGAGTGTGAGCGAAGTTCCAAGTTTGTACATAGTAAGTGTACAGAATTGGGCGAGAGCATCGGCTCGTCGGAGAAGCAGAGTGGAGCGCGGAGGTATGTTGTTGCAGGCGGGGTTTCGACTCGACGCGACTCGCTGGAGTTCGGCGGGGGCGGCGCGCTGCACGAGTACGCGCGCAAGTGGGGGCCCTCGCCGCTGTCGCCGCCGCTGGGCGCCGCGCTCGGGCCCGCGCTCGGCCCCGTCGGCCTGCGCCCCGTGTCCGCCGCGCCCGGCGCTGAGACCGCCAAGTACAGGTGCAACACGCACTCATACATACATACATACATACATACACACACACGATCACACATACACGCGCGCCGCATACATGCCGCGCCGCCGCGTGATAGCGAGCAATGAGTTCGGCGAAATTTTGCTATATAGGTAGACTACGTTTGGCTATTACGTCTGGCCTAGAAATTTGATTGATTTCATTTCATACACATTGAAATTTAATTGTACAGTTAAATAACGAAAGTGTATCGGAATCAAGAAAACTAATAATTATGAGTTATATATTTCCAGTTATTACGTTAATTATACATACAGCTCTAAAGCTTTATATTGGAATTAGAATATATAATAATAATAAATTCAATTTTAAATGCGTATGTAGTATTATCATTAATGTATCAAGAAAATAATTTATACAAGCGAGTAGCGGACAGCATGTGGACGACTTTTATATTAGTGCAAATCAATATGAGATGTAGATGAATATCTAATCGGCGCGGCGTTGATGTGGCGCGTGTGATGCGAAGTGCAGCAGTAACTCTGTAAATAGCTTTGTAAGTCATCATCGGACGTCGCGTAAATCACATGTACAGTCATCATATATTCCTAAGTTGAAGCATGCCCATTCGATTCCACATTTCTCATTATACTTTTAAATACGTGTCTTATTTATAACACGTGCGTATTCTAGATTCCAACAGCGATTTGTTTATGTTACAGAGCCGTCAGCAGTTTAGCACAAGGCTTAACGTCAAATGGAGGAATGTTCGGATCATCATCATCGTTATTGAGCAAACTCAGTGGAGTCGGAACTATCTCAGGTTGGTACGGCATTAGATCGATGTGTTTACAGCTGTTTATAAGCGTTTTGACACTTATGTTTGATTCGTATGTATCTTATCGGTATAGAGAATCCTTATAGACAAGTAGCAGGGAATACTCGTGATTCATTATTATTATTTTATTTTTATAATAATAACAAATGAACACATGCAAAAACATAAAATGGCTATTTTGATGTGAATGCATGTTGCCATTACTTGTGATCACTTTTTTGATATTTTAAAAATCGCGCAACATGGCAGAACAACCTCGAGGCTTTTTAAAATGAGCACAACAGCTATGAAATTCGGGACAATCCTTGTTTTGACGGACATTGTATATTTCAAACAAGAGGCATTTCATTTATATCTGTTGTTTTGAACAATATAATTGTTACAAATTGCCCAGTGTTTTATATCGGAACACGAGTTCCTAATGAAGCTCAGAATACCATCATCGTTCGATGAGTCGCAATATAATCGTCTTGCATCATATAAATACGTAATATTAACCTTACCCGTGGCGAATGTAAGTTAAAAATGAAGTCTTGTATTATTAATTATTATTAATATATAATTTAGAAATCAAATGCATAAGTACATGCAAAGTGTTGCATATTGTTGTTATCTATAATGAATCATATTGTGACTACTAGTATAAAATACCCACGTGTCAATAAGCTGTTAATTGATGGATTTTGTTTTTGTTTTCTTTAAATATATTAAACTGATCTTGAATATTGGAATTGAGTTGTTAAATCTTTTTATACAATATGATGACACATATGTGAAATAAATATTAATAATAATGACCTCCCGACCGACTTCGACCACGGCGGCCAGTCTCATTGAGACTAGCCATTTGCGCAGGAGATATTATAGTGCACAAGTGTATGCGTAGACACAAGTGCACTCTCATACTCCGGTGGGACACAAGACACTCGCGGTGATGTTAAAGCGCAGGACCGACGGCTTTACGTGCTCCCCGAGGCACGGGGGCGAAACACCGCCAACTTCCCAACTCCGGGCTGTTACTGAGGCTTACTATATAGAAAGACTCAATAACTAATCTGGGCCCGACCCGGGACTCGAACCCAGAACCTCTCAATGAAGCCGGACTGGCTAGCCACTACACCACCGAGGCAGTTTATACTATAAACTCATTAACATAGTATGATGAAACAGCTCATGTTAGGAATGAAATTTTTATGTTAAGGGGGTCATTTGAAGTAATTGTAACATAATGTGCAGAATTAGTGGGCGGAGGCGTGGGCGGTGTGGGCGTGGGAGTGGGCGTGGGCGTGAGCTCTGTGGGCGCGCTGGTGGCGGGCGACAAGCCGGCGGCGGGCCGCTCCCGCCTGCTCGAGGACTTCCGCAACAACCGCTTCCCCAACCTGCAACTGCGCGACCTCGCCAACCACATCGTAGAGTTCTCGCAGGATCAACATGGCTCTAGGTACGTGTATTTGCTATTGAATTTAGTTTGTCACCATATCATATTAGTACAACATTTTAAAAATATATAGTTATATAATAGATTTTATTTATTACATAAACATAATATATTTTAGTGGTAATGGGTCTGAGTCGGAAAAAGTTTGGAAAACGTATGCTTATTAAATATTTGTGATATAATAATATATCTGATGATATAGATTGAAGCCATATCATCAGGTATTAAAATTTCTGTGTGTTTATATGTTGAATTCATGCATCACTAAAGATCGACTTAACTATTTTATAAATTTGATACAGCTACATAAAAAAAGCTTAAGATTATAATTTATATACGGAGATTACAATACATGTCGTTACATAAATTGCCAAAGGCACTTTGTATACAATAATATTTGAAACTTATTAGTTATTCGCCTCCAAATCATAAACAAATATTTTCTATTCCGTATATATTATAGTATATATATATTATATTATGCATATAGTAAAACAAAATTATTGCTTGCTTTAAATATATTTGAAATACCTTGTATTTGTTTGTTGATGGCTCGCGTATCTAATTCGATCAACACGGCCTCTTAAAGACTTGCCCAAACAAAACACATGAATCGGTCAACAGGCTAGATAAATAAATACGTTTTGCATAATGCCGGGCTGCTATATCACTAGCGTGTATTTTATACTAGCAACTTTATTGCAGGTTTATACAACAAAAGTTAGAAAGAGCAACAGTTCAAGAGAAACAAATGGTATTCAATGAAATAATCGGCGCCGCCTATAGCCTAATGACCGATGTGTTCGGCAATTATGTGATTCAAAAGTTTTTCGAATTCGGCACCACGGAACAGAAAACAACGCTAGCTCAAAAGGTAATGTATATGGTGAAATATAATCTTTTGTACGTTAGTGTAGCATTATATGTAATGATATGGTTACATAAATGTGTTCTTATATGTAGAATGTGTTGTGATGTGTAACTCGTCACTCGTTTCTGTACTTTTTCTAGTGTCGATTTCCATTATTTTTTTATTAAAGTCTATAAACTCAATATATTAAAATTTCACACTTTTTTAATTTTTCTGTTATTTTCGTTATAGCAGATAATTTCATAATTTAGTTATCAAATAAGTCCTGCGAGCTAATTGCTGAGTTGGGCCAACATCATTAAGTTCACAATCATAATATGTACAATGTAAACTTACCGTGTTTTATCATCGAAATTTTGGATTTCCTTGAAAGTGTAGATTAGTCTATATGTTTAGTAAAAAACGTGTTCTTGAAAAAATCAAATAAAAATTACTAACTTACTGACATATATTCCTAAATTGTTTGGTCATAGGTCTAGAAGCGTGAAATTTTGTTGAAGAGGTCCTTAAGTAACATTTCTGCCTAAATCAATTTATCCTCTAAACTTATTCAATATTAGGTGACGTTTGTCATATTATGGGAAATGTCAACAGAACACGGCTATTAGCGTGGACTACTAGCGGCATACCTCACTTAGCAGTGCGCTCGGGTGTGTTCCTAATTGTCTAACATGAAGTAGCAAATGTGTTACTTCAGTACATCACAATCTATCTGTGTATTGAATGTCATCCAAATCCGCTGGGGTTATTGAAATTATACCATATCAAAAATTTATTGTACAAATTAACAAAACTGTTGAGAAATTATCTGTGACGAATAAAAATTCAATAAAAATACGTAATAACTTAAAAATGAAATATACGTTAAATAAGCAAGTTTCGTATCCAATTATACGATCTGGCAGCCCTGGAGCGCAGTGCCGGATTCAGCGTTAGCGCCGCCCCTGGGCACTTTAAAAGATGCCGCCCTATTATAAACATTTTGCATAAAATGGATAAAGTTTCGATAAAGAATTTCTTTTTTAATTATTCATTTTTTGAAAAAAAGAAAAAAATGTTTTTAATTTTTCGAAAAAATGTATTAGTAATTTTTTTTAATTAATATTTTGTTTGGAAAATACAAAAAGAATTTTCGATAACATTAAGATAAAAAAAATTTCCTCCCTTTGGCGCCCTTAAAAATTTGCCGCCCTGGGCACTAGCCACGAGTGCCCCTAGATAAATCCAGCGCTGCTGGTGCTTAGTGTATGTAGTACTATAAGTGCAGATATTGCAGGTGCGCGGGCACGTGTTGGCGCTGGCGCTGCAGATGTACGGCTGCCGCGTCATACAGAAGGCGTTGGAGTCCATCCCCGCCGAGCAGCAGCAGGAGGTGGTGCGCGAGCTCGACGGGCACGTGCTCAAGTGCGTCAAGGACCAGAACGGCAACCATGTGGTCAGTTAATGGGCACATCTATAGTAATAATATAATATTATAAAGAGGAAAGATTTGTTTATTTGTACTGAATAGGTTCCGAAACTACTGGACCGATTTAGATGAAATTTAGTAGAAGATAGTTTGAGACTCTAGGAAGGACGTAAGGTGGTTTTTATTCCGGAAATCATCCCTTAAGAGGGTGAAAATTTAGATGAAAGTTTGTATAGGGAAGCAACCTAGGGACGAACCCGAGCGAAGCGAGGGTGAGTCGCTAGTCGTTACTAATTAGATTGCTTTGGAATTTAAATAAGTAGTCACGCCACTTGTATGTTCGTTATTGGCATACTTTTATATAATTGCATACTGGATCGCTCGAGAATTAATTATTGTTATTAACTGGTATATTTTTTATAATGATAGATAAATATATAATACATAAATATATATGGCTGCAGTTTTCCACTCTACAATAGAAATGAATTTGGTAATAATAACATATGAAGAACCGGTTTCTCCAGTTTATTTTCAACTTTGTTATTTGAATATTTGATATGAAAAAAATCTTTATAAATATGTAAATAATCTTGAACTGTTAGAATTTGACCTTATTTTACTACGAATCAAGTTTCTCTGCATAATCATCGAATAGCATTTTAAAAGAATTAAAAAGCTTACTGTAATCACATTAAATAATAATAGAGACTATAAAATTGAATTTTGACGTTAAAAATGTACCATAACGTTTGGTTTAGTTACTTAAGTTTGAAGCCAATTAGATGATATGTGCATATACTGTACACGTAATTGTAGGCAACTCGATTAGTTATAAATAATTGTAGGATAAATTAAGTATTTTTTTCGTATTGTGAGTGATTTTTGTAATTGGTGTTATTCAAATCTTATACAGCATTAAATAATTACAATTTTTACTGAACGTCTTGAGTCTACTACTATGAACGTCATGAGTCTATTTAATTATTATATAGTATTTATAAATTTATATTATAATAGATTTCCACAGAAAGTTGGAACTGTATACGTATTTCCACAAACTAGCGATTGGCAGATGAATTTTATACTTGTACGGAATTCATGATGCTCTTAATATTACGGTGTGATATCGCACTTTTGTTGTTTTCTCACGCTATGACAGAGATATTATGTTAAACGTTGATCAACTGCATTAATTATTAAGACCTTCATGATGTCGTTCGTGGGCTCGGCGTCAAGGATACTACGAGGCATTCTTATAAGCTTATTTATTTAAAACTTACATAACGTGGTAATTTCGAATAAATTGAGAGGCACACAGTGTGGAATTTGTTGATATCCACGAGGTCTTTGGTAGCATCGGGGTTCGGGCGGGTCGTCTTTAATCTATTTTATTAATAATAGTTTCTTCAATAAGAATCGTTATATCTTGCCTATAAAGTATGTTTATTATCAGTTTATTTATGCACGCTAATAATCTATTTGACAAAAAATTTATTCCATAATCAGAGCACACCACCAAACTTCGTCTAGAGATTTTAGGTTTAACTGAACGTGAGCTTAGTACATGTAATCATGATATAAATATTTATAAAGAGTTAGTATGCTACAAAATGCGTTATGAATTATAAAAAATAAATATCTTCAAGTCAACAAATAAGTAAAAGAGCATTACATTGTTGTAATGTAATATTTAAAACGCGATGGATGAATGAATGGATAGTAACGGTTAGGTTGTGATTGCAGGTGCAGAAGTGCATAGAGTGCGTGGAGCCGACGGCGCTGCAGTTCATCATCAACGCGTTCGCGGGGCAGGTGTACGCGCTGTCCACGCACCCGTACGGCTGCCGCGTCATCCAGCGCATCCTGGAGCACTGCACGGCGGAGCAGACGGCGCCCGTGCTCGGCGAGCTGCACGCGCACACCGACCAGCTCATCCAGGACCAGTACGGCAACTACGTGGTGCAGCACGTGCTGGAGCACGGCGCGCCCGAGGACCGCGCGCGCCTCGTGGCTGCCGTGCGCGGCAAGGTGCTGCAGCTGTCGCAGCACAAGTTCGCCTCCAACGTGGTGGAGAAGTGCGTCACGCACGCCACGCGCAACGAGCGCGCTCTGCTCATCGACGAGCTGTGCGGCTTCAACGACAACGCGCTGCACGTCATGATGAAGGACCAGTACGCCAACTACGTGGTGCAGAAGATGATCGACGTGGCCGAGCCCACGCAGCGCAAGGTGCTCATGCACAAGATCCGGCCGCACATCGGCTCTCTGCGCAAGTACACGTACGGCAAGCACATCATCGCCAAGCTGGAGAAGTTCTTCATGAAGGCGCCGGAGCTGGGCCCCATCGGGCCGCCGCCGCCCAACCCGGTCCTGTAGTCGGGCGCTCCCTGAAGTATTAGCGGACGGACGCGACGCGGCACACACACCCGCCTATTATAAATTTTGTGAATATTTGCGATTGTACATTTGTAACTATAGAGCCGGCGCCCTGTACATAGTAGCGGCAGACTGATGTACAGAACGATACGATTACTGTAACTAACGTTATCCATAGGTGTACAGCGTCGACGCCGACCGTCGCGTCCTCGCGCTCGCTGCGTGTGTAGCCTGTAAGTGTTCTAGTATTATTCGTTGTTCGTATGAATCTATGTATAAATATTTGAACGTCTCTCATTCTCGTGTAATTTATGAATCGAAGGAAAGCGCGGTCGGTGGACCCGCGCGTTTCCGTAATTTAGCTCGTTGTAGATTTACTATTAGCTGGGCTAGGGGACCTTGAATCTTCAAAAGTGATGAAAATGCCGCAGGCAGTTCTAGACAATCGGCACTATAGTCGTGATTATATTATAATTTTGTAGTGATCGAGTCGAGCTCTCGTTTTAAGTTAAAACCGGCTTTAAAATCGTACATAGCTTTATCGAATATTTTTAGCGCCGGGTTGTATAGTTTTCGATATGATTTGTGGAAATGATATTTTTGTATATTTTTATGTGTCTCGTGTCGCGTGTGTATAGTGTGTATACCACGCAGTGGGTATAGTGGTGATTGTACAGGGCTGCGCTGACCGCGCAGTCGAGGTCTGCCTTGCCGGTCGCACGTCACAAGCGTAGCTGCTCCTCATTCCCCCTCTGTAATTATTTTTATAGGAAGCGTAGTTTCCTACGACACCTCAGATTTTTTACGTCTAGATGTAATTGAAAATAAAATTATTGTATATGGCTGTACAAAAATGTTAACAAAATGATTTGTAAAACCTGTATGTGATGGAATAAGGCGGGGCGTCAAGAGCGACGAGGTGTGACTGATCGCGGCTCCGGCCGTCCCGTCTTGTAGGTTGTACTAGATAACATTTATATGATGATCCATCTATTTAGACATTAATTAATAAAGCATTTCTGTAATAATATTACAAAGTACCTGTAGTTTCATTGTTCCACCCTATCTATCTCTATACATTAATATTTACAAAATAAGAACAGTAATGGCTTATAGTCTCTGGACTTTTGTATTAAGTCATTTTATACAAATTGTCGCTATTGATGTTTCATAAATCATAAGGAACATACATGAAAGTTAGTATATCAAAAAATAATAAAAAGACTTATCTAAAGATGTAGCTATTATAATAGGCAGTGGAAAATATCCGATTTTAATGAGAAATCGATATTGATTATAAATTACAATTTTAAGATTTAACAAAAATTATTCTGTTTAGTATTGCATTGTTTCATTTTATACAAAATAAAAATATAATTTATAATTTTAAAAATTCTTTAAATTATAAAAATTGCAAATTAAATAATTTCAATTGATTCAAATTCAATATTTGATAATAATCATTAGTTTTTTATCAAATGAAATTCGAAATATAGGTATAGATTAATTTAATATAGATTAATTTTTCACTAAATAAAACGTATCTCCTACGTTTCTGTTTTTAATGTCAAAATAACAGCTTTTTACTAAAAGCCATAAACGAGTGGTTAATTCGTTCATGCTGAAAGCATATTATGAAAGTATAATGCACATAAAATAAATATTTTTTAATATTTTTGTCTGTTTGTTCCGGCTAATCTCCGAAATGGCTAGACCGATTTTGACGGGACTTTTAATGATAGATACCTGATGTTATAGGGAGTAACTTAGGTTACTTTTATTTTAGAAAAAGAATCCAGGCTCCGCGCAAAAAAATTAAAACCCATGAAATTGTTAACAAAATCTACGTACTTGGAGGCACCCGAGCGAAGCGAGGGCAAGTCGCTAGTTGACAATATGTGTTAAAATTTTAGTGATAAAAAATTAAGTCCTCATGAGCTTTGTTTACCTTTAGTTAACTACCTAAGCATATGGAGTAGATACAGTAGGTATTGCAGTCCTATAAATTTTTATAAAATAAACTTACGCAAAACCAAAAAAACGTATGATCTCCATACTAATATTATAAATGTGATACCGGGAAGATTATCTCTTTCCCACGGGAAAACATGTTATAATACAATCCAAAAAAATATTTTTAATCAGAATTTCTTGAAACTTAGTACTAGTCTTCAATACAATTAATTAAATTAGCATTTTTAAAAATTCATCTCATAAGGGGGTAAAATAGCGGATGAAAGTTTGTAGAAAACCTACCTTTTTAGAGATTTTTTTTGTAGTTTTAGCACGACCAAAGCCGCGGGTTGTGCTTCTGCTAGTTATTAATAAATCATAGCATAGCACCTCTGTGACCTCTTTTTACCCGACTGCGACGAACTGAGGTGAACGAATATGGATAATATGTTTTCAATATTTAAGAACAATATAATCAATCATATTTATACAAGTATTATAGGTAAAAGTGCGAAAAAAAATTGATAAAATAAAAACGGAAAAACCGTCGACCAGTCAGAATTTGTTTTTTTTCTTACAAATCTCTTTTGAGGGGCTGTAGCCCCGGCTGTCCTCCCCTAAATCCGGCCGTGGATATCTCAGTAGTTACACCAGAAAAGTGAAAACATTGTAACTATGGGTCCAAAGCCAATAATTTAAAATCACATTATTAAATAAAAAGACTTAAAACAGGGGTTTTCATTTACCATATATGTAGATATGTATACATAATCAGATATTTTAAAAGTCGGAGCAAGCCTAAAAACAAAACTATTTACCTCACAACTACTTCCTAAAACCTGAAAATTAATTTGCGAACGGTATATTAACTAAAAATAAGTTTTATGATGGTCAGTCATGCAAATCATGTAACTGGGCGCGTCAGTCACGCCTACATCGTGTAAATACTTTCTAAAATCTGAAATTTAGTATTTAACTAGTGATGAATATTATTATAATCACAAAAATATAGAAAATATGAGTAGGTAGGTATCTACTACTCAGTGCCAGATTCAACCTTAGCGCCGCCCTGGGCACTAAAAAATACCGCCCTAATATCGAAATTTTGCATAAAATGGATAGGTAGTTTCGATAAAGTTTAATTTCTTTTATAGTAGGGGAGCCCACGATGCTAAATGGGGATTTACTCGAGCGTCGTAGAAACCTATTGGGATGCAAAGCTTAGATGATAAGAAGAAAAAAATGTTATATGATATATACCTTTACATCGGTGGGGGAAGCGGCTATAGATTTTTAAATATGTAAAAAAAACTGTTGCATAGACATCCTCGAACGCGTCAGATATTGATAGCATCAATGCCCTACGTATTTTTAATAATATACGTATGTTAATCTGATCGTTTGCATGATGCGGGTGGTTGTATTTAAGGGTTGAAAATGAAAAAAAAAATTTAATCGAGCGCGTCAGATTTTCTAAGGGAGTGTTAAGAGAACCAAAAAAAAGCTCTCATTCACTAATCTGACGATTTCGATGGGACGCAAACTCGCGGCCATTTTTATAATGTGCAAAAAAAAATCGCCATTTTGAAATAGGTAGGTACTCAAGCGCGTCAGATTAAGATATATATGGTTCATCTTTATGTTCTAAACGTACTGTCTCATAATCTGACGATTATCTAGAGGGATTCGCCTGATCTGACAAAAAAAAATTAGAAAAACGGTTCACCTTAAAGGCCATACCTGCAACTTCCCGCTAATTCCATTCCTGGGCGCTTAAAATTGTACTTATTACGTTTTTGAGCTCAAAATATAATTTATGTGATATTTTGAGCTCGCTGAGTTCAAAGAAATAATATTTCTATGCATTTGAGCTCTCCCAGCTCGAAAGTCTGATAGAAGTTTCATAGAACACTATTTTTGGAATTTTCAAACCGCAATAACTTTTGAATAGATCAAGCAATTTTCACGCGGTTGACGCCATTCGACGCAGTTTTATCATCCTCATAAGTTATTTTCAGGTTTTAATTGATCGAACCAAAAATTTCGGAGTAATCCCGAAAAAACACTTTTTTCGGTTTTCTTTCGTTCACGATATCTCTCGAACGAATCAACCGATTTTGACCGGATTAGCGACGATCGGCGTGGTTTTTCTAGCTTAAGGGCGAATTAGTTTTTGAAGTTAATTGATAAAGCCGGTTAAAAGTTATTCCAAAAAAACCACTTTCAAAAATAAAAATTTTCTTATTTTTTTTGAGATTTTTCAAAATTTCTCAAAATCTATCGGTCCGAATCGGTTCAAATTCACAGGAAATCTAATTTTGAGGGAAATCTTTAGAACGCCGTTTAGAAGATTCCGATCGGTTTAGTCGTTGAAAAGATATAAGCGAGTCACACATACACACACACATACATACATACAGACTTAGTGACAACATCATACACGGGGGTAGTCAGGGAAGCTTCCTATGACCTTAAAACGTCAAGATCTGATGAAAACTCGATTTTCGAAAAACGGGGTAAAACCAATAACTTCCCGATTTTTTTTTAATTTTTTTAAATCATTGAACTTAATTAATTGAGAAGCTCAGGAAATGCTCCGACGATATTCCAAAATATTTACACATTTTTTTAAAGTTTCTACCGTAAATTTAATTGTTTTTTGTAAGGTACTTTCACCACAAAATACACATTTCAAATTAATGTCACTTATATTAAATTTTTATAACCTTTAATTCACACAAATAATATTAAAATAGCAAAAAAAGCCAAAACGTTGGAAACACGTTGTAAACAGTATGCCACGAACGAATCTTTATGATTAGCTGTGAAAGTTTAATTTCTTTTAATTATAATTTTTTTGCATTTCCAAGGAGGGTTCATGTCAGTCAGGCGGCCGGTCAAAAACTTTTGCCAAATCCTTACCCACAGTACCAAAGAAGATGTACTGCCCCGACCCCATGTGATTGGGAAATGGGCAGAGAAAAGAGAATTATATATTTTTTTTAAATGCAAAATCTAAGAGTATATTAATAATTTTCGACTCTTTGACTATAAAATTAGTGAACGCATTGACTGTTATTTTGCTATTTCCACACTAATATTATAAATGCGAAAGTTACTCTGTCTGTTACCTTTTCACGCCTAATCCGCTGAACTGATTTAGATGAAATTTGGTATAGAGATACTTTAAGATCCTGGAAAGGGCATAGGGTGGTTTTTTCCCGGAAATCATCCCTTAAGGGGGTGAGAATGCGGATGAAAGTTTATATGGGGAAGAGAGCTAGGGACGAACCCGAGCGAAGCGAGGGTGAGTCGCTAGTACAAAATATATTTTTAGCAAATAATAAAGTATCTGCGAAATCAAACATGTTAAATATTATTATTAAGATACCTAACCAGAGCAACATGAAAACAACAGATAAAGTTGGTTATTTATTCTCATCAATAAACCAATATTCACTTTATTCACTTATTGCTAGTGCACAACTTGTTTGAGCCGCATCTATTTGTCTTCTTCCTTCTCTTTGGGCTCCTTGGTCTTTGACTTCATGCTGCGGTCGCGCGACCGGTCGCGGTCGCGGTCGCGCGAGCGGTCTCGGTCCCGCGACCGTGGTCGCGGCGAGCGCGACCGCGACTTGTGGCGGCGGGAGCGGGAGCGCGACCGCTCTCGTCTGTATGATCTGGGATATTTAAATAATTTGTAAGAATCATATTTGGACTTTACATGAAATATTAAAGAATTAGTAGCAGTTTGTTTAATCTATACTGTTAAACTGTAACAGGACTATGGCTGCATCTAGAGGACATTTGTTCATTCAGTAGCTTACCATGGAACTAGATGGTGTTGTGTGTCCCAACATCATATTTATTTTATTTATAAACACCCGGACCGTTTTTTCATTAATTTTAGCTCGTGAGGCGGTTATATGCCTTGTGATATCAGTCTTTGCCACTAAAGTAATTACTTAATACTTTTAAATTAAAGGAATAAAACATGGAAGGTACTACTCACTTTTCTCGGATCCTATCCGGTTTGATGGACCGTGAACGCTCGCGATCTCTATCTCTATCCTCCTATAAGAAAATAAAATAAAAGCAATCATGAGAACTGCCGACAGATGTGAAAACTTAAAACTATAAACAAACAGTTGTTATTTTTGAATATTCATATTTTGTTTGGTCTTAAATTAGAAATTGTAAATTAAAACGGTTTACATTTATCTCATTTTGACATCTATCGGCACTCTTAAGTGTTAGCGTTAACATGTCACGTGACCATGTCGATGACGACTTACATGAATTTACTACCCATCCAAACCTGCCTATAGAAGTTTTCAATTTCAATAATATTATTTTTCATTAACTTTATAATAAACAGAATCATTTATGAATATTCATTAAATATATAATAGTAGATGTAAACAAACACATTACGTACAGTCATACTCACCTCGTCTCTTCTATCTCTGTCTCTGCGGTCCCTGTCGTCGCGCTCCCTCACCCGCTCTCTATCTCTGTCTCTGTCGCGCTCGCCTCTATCGCGTTCTCTGTCCCTCTCCCTCTCCCGCTCGTGCAAGTGCGGCGGGAGGTGCGAGCGGAAGGGCGGGACGAAGGGGGGCGTGCCCATCACGTGACTGGGGGGTATGGAGTGTGGGGGGCCTAATGGAGGGGTCATGCCTATGGGAGGGCCCATGGCAGGGGGCCCCATAGGCCCCGGTGTTAGCTCCTTTATCTCGGTTGGCGCCCAACCCGTCTGCTCCGGATGGGCTGATTGTGTAAAATAATAAATCAGTGTTAGTGAACTATGTACATATTAAGTATCATTGCATTTGTAAAATAAATAAACTTACAACGTTTACGTTTTTTTCCTGAAAAATTAAAAAAATAATAAAAGTAAATTGATATAAAATAAAATCGAATGTATATAAATAGTTACAATAGGGATATATTTGATTTTGGTAGTGTACTCATATACGTAAATAATATGCTCAACATAAAAAAAAATCTAGCTATACTTCAATCCTCGTCTGACGGCGCGTGCGGTAGCGGGTAGTAGTCGTCGGGCGGCGGCGCGGAGTGGTCCCTATGTAGGTTGTATGTATAAATGTATTTGGCAACAAAAAAACCATATCAGCCCTACCCCATGGCTCGTCGTAGGGCGCGTGCGGCGGCGCGTGGGGCGCGTGGGGCGCGTGCGGCGCGGCGTGCGGCGGCGGGTAGTAGTGGTCGGGCGGCGGCGCGAAGTAGTCCGACGGCGCGTCGCGGCCGTGCGCGCGCCCGTACTCGCGCCGCTCCGCCGTCATCACCTGCTCGCGATATGTACCAATACATGCTTAGTAGCCATATGTATACATGTTTGTTTGACACTAAATTTGATAACTAGCGGCTCACCCTCGCTTTGCTCGTGTTCGTCCCTAGGTCGCTTCCCAATACAAACTTTCATCCCATAAGGGATGATTTGCGGGATAAAAACTATCCTATGTCCTTCCCAGGGTCTCAAACAATCTTCTTATCAAATTTCATCTAAATCGGTCCAGTAGTTTCGGAGTTTATTCGATACAAACAAATAACAACAAAAAAAAAATTTTCCTTTATAATATTAGAATAAATAACTAAGACATAAGCAAATTCATGGTGGACCCCATGATCTTTATGAAATGCAAATCACAATTGATGAAGATATAGCAAAACATACAAACGTTTAATCAAATTGACTAGTTATCTTTCCTTTTTTGAAGTCAATCAGAAAATTATAATAGTTTATGATTAAATTAGTGAAGCGGTATCAACTTGGTGGAAATGTATATTTATAAATTATATTATAAAGACACAGAGTTTGTTTGTTTGAATGTGCTAATCTCAGGAATTACTTATGCGATTAGAATAATTCTTTTTGCATTAGATAGCCCATTTATTTAGAAAGGGCTGTAGGCTCATATATTATAGTCTATCTGTTTTATACTAACCGTTTAAACGTACCTAGAGACGAACCCGAGCGCAGCGAGGATGAGTCGACAGCACATTAATATTATTATTTATCAAGATATTTTTTATAAAATCTTCACAAATAAAATGAAATCCAAAATACAAACTGAAGGTATCAACATATATGACACATATTTATATGTATCAAAATATCTTATTAAAAGCTCACACACACCATTGGGTTGGAACAAAACTGGTAGAAAAAGCACTAACAAAAAAAAATGTATTTACCTGTATTGTGTTTTCTCTAGATTGATAATTATTTTGCATTCCTGGGGGCATGTCATCATGTCGTATAGATCCTATGGGAGAAAGAAATAAAGTTATTAGAAAGATTACAAGTAGCGTGCCCGATTAGAAATTCCCACCAGCAAGATATAAAGAAGCGCTAAAACATCAACTTTAATCTTTAAAAACACCAAAATGGGAAAGTTCCTTACAAATTCATCCTCATTTTAATCTTTTTTAGAGAATTTTTCAAAAAACAGTTTTAATTATAAAGTTTAAATGGTAAGGGAAATTACGGTGTATGACAGTTATGAATCAACCCTATAGTTTAACTTAGCATATAAGGCTCACTATTTTCATTTATGTTCACAATTTCATGGTTAGACCTAGCCATTTAGGCTGTGCACTGTCTGTAAGTGAATAAATAAATTAATGAACAAGATGATTATGAAGAGTTTCAATATTACTTAAAATAGCCGGTATAATTTAGTGTCTCTTAAATCCAGGTCGCCATCGGTAGGCAGCGAGCGAGGCCCCCCTAACGAATATCGGAAAAATGTAACAAGTTGAGCAATGTAAACTGTACCAAATGTACTACTCAATAAAGTACAATTTAGTCTTTCTCAGACTTAGGGCGTCAAGAGGAGGCGCGCTCGAGTCCGCAGACGGATATCGAAACAGTATAAAGCTATAGGTGTATAAATGAATAACTGTACCATATGTACAAGTAAAATAAATAAAATATGTTGGTACATTAACACAGCGCCATCTAGTTCTATGGTAAGCTACGAGGCTTGTGTTATGAATACCAGATAGTTGATACACTACACATATATAATTTTAAATACATACATATTATAAATATAAACACCCACGACTGGAGTACAAACATTCGTGTTCATCACACAAATGTATGCCAGGGGGACTCGAACCCGCGACCGCTGGCACAGCAAGTACACTACAAACTGAGCCAAACGTGTCGTCAAAATGTCAAATTTCATTACATAAGTATATAAGATACAATTTCCAGTGTATCTAACCAGTAGAGCGCCTAACGTCGGGCGGCGGCGCGCGCGGCGGCGGGCCGGCGTGCAGCGATACGCCCGCCTCGTTGACGCGCATGCGCCGCTGCCGCTCGCAGTACGCACTCCACGTCACTTCATTGAAGCCATAGTTGAAATAATCTGCAAGCACATAATAAGTACATTAATGTTTACAACACAAGTTTGTATGTGTGTATGCTTTTATGTGCTCCCTGCTCAATTAAGATACTCTACATTCTGTATTATCATAGACTTAAAATGCTTTTTTTCGATAATATTATATATTGATTGCATAAATATGTTTATTGTTGTACTTACTGTGTGTGCTCATAGAGCCACAAGCATAAACTAATAAAAAATATGGATATAAAAAAACTTTTTTCCATACACAGAAAAAGAACACAAAATGTTAGTTCAGCATTCAGTTATTGGAAATAACAAAAGGATGAAAATAAACAGTTAGTTAAATCTTACAAAACCCATATAAAGTACTTTATTAGATGAAAGTATGTCTTTTAATTTTGTCATCCAAAAACAATGAACAAATAGGTTAAAAGAAATCTCACAATTTTGATTCTCTCTTTTTGAGAACACTTTTGAGATACTAAATACTAATTTAATGTCTCTTGAGCTTTAGTACATAAATGTTTTTACATTTATTCTTCATTACCTGATATATCAGCACCAGGCTTGTTCCATGGTTTATCTTCAATTGTATCAATATTAAACTCTAATGCAGGTACTCCATTGATGCTACCAGGTCCATCTAAATCTTCTAATGTCACTTTGCTACCAGCAGCTGGTACTGGCCGAGGCTTTTCGCTTCCAGGTGCCACTATTCCAACTCCCCTCTAGAATGAGGTTATATATCAATTACATTGGTAATAAATATTAAAAAAAGGTTCTGTATAGAAAGATAGCCACACATTAAAATATATTTTTTATAAATTGGTATGTATACGAATACATACATAGAACAGTCACAAATCTCCATAATATTAATATATATACTATATATAGATCTTAGAGGCTGACTTGTTTTGTTTGAATGTGCTAATCTCAGGAACTACTAATCCAATTAGAAAAAATATTTTTGCATTAGATAGCCTGCTTATTGAGGAAGGCTATAGGCTGTATGTATCATCATCCTACAACCCAAGTGACTCAGTAATATATGCATATACATATATAGATAGAATAGTATATAATGTCTATCTATTCCATACTAACCATTAAGACATACCTAGAGAGGAACCCAAGGGAAGCGAAGGTCTACTGCTAGTTTAATATTAATCATTAGAAAAAAATAGAATGTGATATGCAGTCACAAATATGCACAGACATACAAACTTTTACATTTATAATAGAAGTCCGTTTCATTAACAAAAATAAGCAATTTAATCACCCCATTTAAATATCTATATTATCAATTATAATTATTTGCCTGTTACATATATATTAATACACAATAAAGAATATAACTAACCTTTATATTTAAACTAGCATAAGCTTGTGGTCCTGACTTAATTTCACCTATAGTGACTTTTACATCATCACTATCATCCGAATCTGAATCCCCATTGTCTTGGCTGTCAGCATCTCCATTTGTTTGATCTTGATCGTCACGATCTACCTCGCCAAAATGTTCATCATTAAAATGAGAATCATCATTATTGCCATCGTTGCCATCTGCTTCTTCTTGCTCTTTATCTTCAGGTTCCTGTAATTTAAAAATTAATCCTTTCCTATAATATTCTTTATAGCCTAAGGCCTATATACATTAGAATTTATCAATTGAGCGAAGATAATATTTGTAAATTTGCAATGATTACTCACAAATAACAATAAAATAATGAAAATTACAGGTTATAATTCGGTAATAGCTTTATAAATATTACCGCATTTCTATCGGTGATGTTTGCTTGCTTTTTTTCTTTATCATCTATTCTAGTAGGATCTGTCCCACTTTGGTCGTTAGTAGATTCTCCATATAACCAATTATCATCATTTTCATCTGCCGGAGCACTTTCAACCACAGCGTCTGCCATTTTTGTTTGACAAATGGTTGACAGATGCTACATCAACAAAACTCAAAAGCCAAATCAATGCAGGTTAGTGGTTAGGTTACCAAAGAGAATGTAAACCCTATGGTGGTTACATACTCTATGGCCAAATAGCCTTATATAGGTAAAAGAGGGTAATATAGTTTATATGGGCAAAGAATTAATTATGATCAGAAATACTTGAAACTTGGTTTTAATTGGTCTTCAAAACAATTAAAATACATGCATGCATTTTTCGAAATTTAATCCTATAAGGGGGTAAAACGAGGGATGAAAGTTGGTTTAAAACTCTGTAATTAATATGAAAAAATATATTCACTTGTAGAAATTTAAAAGTTTCAAAATTACTTTCTTGAAAATGATGTCCACATAGCCTTAAATATAAAGATTGTGATTTCGCTAATTTTGGTCGCCTTATTGCTTTACCCACAATTTCTTCAGTTTTTGTCTTTTGGAAACAAATGATATCCATTTTCTTTGCACCCTGGTACTGCACAATTTCTCATTTTACTTAAATTTTAATTAAAATTGTAAAAGTTCCATCCAGGCTATAGAATTAGAGGTTTACAATATACTGAGGGCTATAATAATCGCGACATCTGGCGGATAACATGGCAAAATTCTTCCCCATTCGTCAAAATCAAGTGCATCAGCCGTGTGAGGATTACGGAATCACGAGGGAAGAATGGAAAAGGATCGAGAAAACATACTAATCAAACATAATAAGCCAATGACGACAAGCTTGGCTCAGTTTGTAGTGACCCTACTTTCTGTGCCAGCGGTCGCGGGTTTGAGTCCCGCTGGGGGCATTCATTTGAGTAATGACGAATGTTTGTACTCCAGTCATGGGTGTTTATATTTATAATATGTAAGTATTTAAAGTTATGTGTAGTGTATCAACTATCTGGTATCCATAACACAAGCCTCGTAGCTTACCATGGAACTAGATGGCGCTGTGTGTTAATGTCCCAACGTATTTTATTTAATGACCAAAATTGGAAATATGTAATCCTTTTGATCAAAAATTGCTACAATTTAATCTACACGTTTTAGGCGGTACATCCTGTGAGAATAAGAGAAAAAAATTCAAGATTTTATCATTTTCAAAGTAAGGAATAGGAATTGGTTAGATTTGATCAAGAATACTTTCTCAGTGGAAATATGATACAAAATCAGAGCCGTGGGATATAGTCTTAATATAAGCACATTCTGGGTATAAGACATTATTAGAAGAAATTATTTTAAGGGCTAGACTTTTCGAGTCATCATTCAAGATATAGGATAAAATAAACGAAATTGCGGTTCAATGACTTCTAATTTTCAATAAATAATAATACAATAATTTATTATTTCACAAAGTAATAAAATTTAGAAAGCTTTTGTTTTTTTAATCTAGGCCATTTCTTCTCTTGGGAAACATTTTTTGTTCAACTTGCTCTACTTTCTGAGCAACAGTTGTCAACTGCTCAGCTGCTGTAGAAGCAGCAGTGCCACAGGTCTCTGCTAACTGTTGTATACCATGAGATACCTGTAAAATAAATAAACATAATGAAATATAACAAACAGATGCAAGACTAAACATGTTGACTAACAAAATCACTTGATTTTTGACAATGAAATTACTACTTTGACAAGATCATAGACCTTTAAGGTTTTATTATAAGCACACAGTTAATACTGAAAATCTAATAAGAACATTTAATTACTAAAATTTTATTTAAATTACTTTTAATCTAAATTTATTACTAATGAATTAAATTACTAACTAAATAAAACTTACACCATCAGCTTCTGCTTTTACTTCTGCAGCTGCCATATGTAATTTATTAACAGTAGCTTGCATTTGTGGGACCTGTTGAATAGGTTCCGATTCCAGAACTGGAGCTGCCTAGAGAACAAATTATACCTAAGTAATATTTAAAAAACTGTGAAGACAATATTTATATAATAAGTTTTTATATTAACAATAATAAAACTCAAATCAATTTCAAATTTTAAGTTAATAATTTTAAATAAACTTCACATATTTTAGCTTTTCATAATAAGTAGTTGGTAAAATGAATGTATTGTAAAACAAAATATACCTGTTTACACCGTTGCATACAATGACAGTGGTGCTGGATCACTGGCTCAGCTGCTATAACTTCATGCATATGCATATTGTTTTGTTGCATCTGTAATATAAAACATTAACACTTAACAGTTGTATAATACATTAAGTGCCATATCTCATAAAAAAGATTGAAATATCTTAAACATCAGTAACCACATGAATAGACTATTTTTAGTGAAATAACTCACGTTTTCTGCTAAATTCGGATCAGTATAATTATTTAATTCACTAGCCATATTTCTTGCTTCAGATAGCTTTTCTTGGCCAGCAGTTGCATTGTTAATAGCTTGAGCAGCATTTAATAAATTTGCTGTTGCAGAATCGCCTTGTTGTCCTTCAAGAAAGGAGCTAGCATTTATGCCTAATTTGGCTTCTAATTGTTCAATTCGATTTTGCAAAATTGCAATAGGATCCATTATAGTGAATAAAAAATATATTTATGTAAAAAAATATAAATAATAAAATAATTAAAAAGTTAAAAAAAATATTAAATTTAGGAATGCAATCTCTCAACTCAAAATTCGAATTCAGAAAAAGAATTTCTTCCTTTTAAATTTTTAGAAAATAAATGACTGACACATGACATCGCACTTTACGACAGGCACAGATATTCAAATAATTTTAGATATATAGGTCTTAGGGCCAACTCGACTCAGTTCGACTATTGGCGTATAGTGAACGACGTTCAGACGAACGTGTTGTCAACGCACGCTTGTCGTTCTTTTATATAGTAAAATATAGACGACATATTTTCGATGTTTTACTGTTTTTCTATAGCACTTTTTCAACTTGTCTCCCAAATAGCCCGGTTCCCCTTATCGTTTGCAGAACAGCGCAAAGCGTTAACTTAAAATAATATAATATTTCGAAAGTGGTGATTAATGTACTTAGAATTATATTGGTATAAAAAAGGATATAAATACTCATTTATATAATCAGTTTGAATCATTTACTACACATAGGGCGTTTTCCAATTACAGTACCAAAGCGTATTATGCGATATAATGCTCAATTTTGAATTTTTCATCTACAGCAACGCTCCGCACAATCAAGCACTTTGAAAAGTACTGCTTTGGCGCGATGCGCGCAATGGATACCAATTCGGTAGCAGAAAATATAAGAAACGTTTTTTCCTTCGTGCTTGTTATTGCTCGAAGGTTTATATAATGTTGTTGGTGAAAACAGATGATCAAGGAACATACTACGAGAGCAGATGAAATAATTTCTTCTGACTTCAGATCCAGATTGTTTAAGGATAAGCCACATTAAGAATATAATGAAAGCCAACAAATAAACAATAATTTAAGGTTTTCAATTTGTATTTTAATGATTAATTAAGCATTGTTAATAAGTGCATAATATTTTGCCAGATTCACTGATTGTTTTTATGTTATTCACATGAGATAAATAAGCTTGTACTTAAAGCAAAAATTTTGACTGTGGCCACATGTCAGAATATTTAAGTTTAAAGAACTTCAAACTTTATGTCAATGCGACAAGTAATATATTTAGTGCAAGTGTTGTATTTGTAAATAAATAAAACATCTTGGATATATTTTCTTTATTATATTTTTTAACAACGTAGTAACTGTTCGGTTAAAAATATATTATAAATATATTTAAAAAGATTACTGTGCCTTGTGCGACATAATTTAATAGCATATAAGTATGGATGAAGAACAAGGATTATGTGAAGATGATTTTATTTTACCACCGGTAAAATATGAATGTAAGTGATATTATATTTTATTTTTATTAATATAAAAGTATTAAATATTCCTAATAATCGAAATCGGCAAAACATTTTGCCGATAAAGAAATATTTCACAAAAAAATATAAATAAATACAGTTTTTTAGTTAATTATAAATATAACCTAAAAATATGATTATTTCGTAGCCATTTAAAACGTTGTCTTTTTCATCATAAATTAAGAAATTGATATTAAGTAAAATATTTGATTTAGAATTGTAGTTAACAATTATTAGGTATGGATTATATAAGTGATTTGATACATAATTCTTATCCATACATTATCAATTATCAAAAATATTACTTAATCCCATTAATATTATAAATGCGAAAGATTGGATGGATGTTTGTTGTTCAATCAAAGCTGAACGAATCTGGATGAAATTTGGCACAGAGATAGATTATAGTCTGGAGCAGCACATAGGTTTTTTATCCTGGAAAATTTACTGCTCCCATTATTTATTATTATTTATGTTGGGTGTGGTGCCGAGGTCGGCCCTACCTACGTCGACCAGTTTTGGTCCATTGTAGCTCCACTGCTCCCATAGAATAGATTTGTCTTAGATTTTTATTAGTCTATATATTAAACAAAACATACATTTATTGCTTATATTTTTTTCAGATTTGGATCACACAGCTGATGTGCAGTAAGTGAAACACATGAAATGTTATTAAATATTCTTATTAGATAAATCCAACTTTATATGTGTGAACTTATTATTTCAGATTACATGCATGGGGTGATACTTTAAAAGAAGCATTTGAGCAATGTGGAATGGCTATGTTTGGTTACATGACGGAATTGCCATATGTTGAAATCAAGGAAATTCATACCATTGAAGCAAATGCTGATGATTTAATGGGGCTTTTATATCACTTTCTTGATGAATTACTTTATCTTTTTTCTGTTGAACCATTTCTCATATGTAGGAAATTAGAGATAACAGAATTTAATACACAAGAATTTAGAATAGTTTCTAAGTGTTTTGGGGAGCCTTTCCAGATTGGTAAACATCCACAAGGGACAGAAGTTAAGGCTATTACTTACTCTGCTATGCAGATCATAGATGAACCTAAGGATAACAAATATGAAGTTTATGTAATTATTGACATTTAAATATTATATGTCTATTTTTTTTAAACCTTTTTTTTATTTCAAACTATATACATATGTTTAATTAAAAAAACAGTTTAAGCCTTTAGCATAAGATTTTAACACAAGTTCGTAGAAAATAGGATGTAATTGTACAATTTTCAAATTAAAAGTTTTTGGTTTGAAATTGTACATATGTATTTATTATTTACAAAATGACATAATATGATAAAGATTAAGTTTAAGTACCATATTGGACTACTATTAGAATTTCAGAAGTTTGTACTTACAACAAGTGTAGGTTTTTTACATTTTTAGCATGAAGACATGCTGAAACGGCTGGACAAATTTAGAAACAACTTAGTACACAGCCTGACAAGACTCAATTATAATTAATTGGAGTATATCAATATTTTAATTATGAAAGGAGCATTAGTAGTTAATGAAAGTATTAATATTGCATAGTATATTTTAAATAAAACTACCTTTTCTTTTCTTTAAAAACTATCTAAAAAATTCAAAAATAGCATCAATTTTTGAATTAATTTTGATATTTTGTGGGTAGGCTGTCTGTAACAACTAATGCCTTTAAGACATCTTAATCTTAGTCTCTCTTGTGACCATGATTGCCGTAAAGCATTTGAAATATCGGGAACCAAAAATCAAAATCCGCCAAAAAATCCGGAAAGATAGTTTTATTTAAAACTAACAATGCCCGCGGCTCCGCCCGCGTTCAGATGACCAAAAACCAAATTCTTAGGGTTTACATATTAGTATACTAAGAGTATACTGCATTGCAGTTTTTGTATTTTTTCTCAGAAATGAGATATTTTCCCAAGGTACAAAGTATCCTATATGTTGACCCGGATAACCAGCTATCATCATACCTAATTTCATCAAAATCCCTCCAGTGGGTTTTCCGTGATGCGGTAACAGACAGACAGACAGACAAAAATTCTAAAAACTATAGATTCGGCCTCTGTATCGATAATAATGTCTATTTCAATAAGATTTCCCAAAAAATATTTAATGTACAGATTCTGCTTAGTTACAATTTTATTATATGTATTGATGTCAAATATTCGCGTAATATAATTTGAAGGTATCAGATGATTTGTCTTAAACATTAATGATTCTTAAAGTGTCTCTTTGTTTCTATACATGGCACAATGGCCATAGGACGTTATAACATTCTTAAAACTTTTTTTTACAAATATTACTTATTCTATTACTTTTTAAATATGTTTTCCAGGCAGAGCAGAAATCTTAGATTTCCGTAACCAAAGACTCTACCTACATAGGTAGCGTCAAGTTTGGTTACGTTACGGAATCGTACGGAACTTAATAAGGCTACGGAGCCATATGATTTTACCGTAACATACGCGTTTTGTTATATTATAAAAAGGTAATGTTTGTGAGGTTGTAGAGGGTTATCTCTGGATCTACTGAACCGATTTAGATGAAATTTGGTAAGAAGATAGTTTAAGACCTTGGGAAGGACTTAGGATAGTTTTTATCCCGGAAATCACTCCTCAAAGTGGTGAAAATGAGGATGAAATTTTGTATTGGGAAGCAAGCAAGGGACGAACCCGAGCGAAGCGATGAGTCGCTAGTTATCGGATATAATTGCCCGATGCTGATGAACCTGATACGTTACTAATTTTATAATAAAATTGAGTTAAGTATCGTAACGTTTTAATATTATTATCGTCTTTTAACCTAAATTGAAATTACGTGCAAAGTATGCCGATAGATACGCCTCGCAAGCTGAGGTAATTGAAATGATGAAGTACAATAGCGACACACTTTATATTAACAGAGAAATGGATATTTTTATTCTCCGCAAAAATATAAAACTGCTGATAAAAATAATTATTTGAAAATATAAATAACATCTAATGATCATTATCTGTAAAGACTTATTGAATAATTATAAAAAGCAAAAACGACAAGAAGTTTCTAAAAGTATAGGTGCTAACTTTCTTATACAAATAATGTGTAGTTTTGGTAACATAATATTTTAATATCAACTTATTATTTCAATAATTACTGGATACTTATTATGTAGATAAGCTTAGACTTTATACAAATAAAATTTACTATTAAGTATAAACAACTTCATGTATTTGCACAACAATACAACAGCCTATGTCGATAATTTCAATAAGTTACACCGGTAGGTATTGTATAAAAAAATTAAGCCTCAATTTTGCCAATTTCATACCGCTGTATTATACCTTTGACACATAGAATCATGGTTTGTTTCATTGTATTTATTTTTGGACTACAATACTGGCGACTTATAATTGTTATTTTTCTGGTCCGAAATCACATTGTGTTCTTGAATTTGTAAGTCTAGTTTTAAACCGTGTATTCAGCCTTTTTTAACGTTCCACCGCTGGTCACGGGTCTCCTTTCAATGCGAAGTGGATAAGGCTTTAGTTTTAACTTTTAACGTCAATAAACCAAATGTAACATTAAAATCGTAATGTCCATTAGAATAGTAATGTTTTTCGTTATAGCGGCCTTGAGATGTTAAAGTGCACAACTATATGCGCAAATGAAACGAGCTCACTATTCCTTCACTAATGTAACCCAATGAAATAATAACACCATCGGAGAGAGATTAGGACAGGTCTGATTTCTGACTTGTCCTGTGGCTTTACGTCGGAAGCACGATGGTGTAATGTTATCAACTTTACTAAGAGGTTCATTATCAGAAACCTATATTTCTGCACCCATAACTCAAATCCAGGATTTCATAAACTACAGATATGATGTCCTGGCCGATTACGGTTACGGCGGGCAACCTCACTGAAACTAGCCAACTGCCCAAGAGATTATATACTTACGCGCAGGCTCAAGTGCACTGTCTATTAATTTCACTTTCAAATTCAGATGGGGTCGTTCCATTCGACACGACAGTGACAGTAGGCGCAGGACCTAAGGCTTTACTTGCTCTTCGAGACACGGGGGTGAAACACCAGTCACCATCAACTTCTCAACTTCAGTCTGTGACTGAGACTTTCTTAACAGAAGAACTAAATAAATAAACTGGGCACTACCCAGGAATCCACCCCAGGACCTACGGATCTGTAGCCGTACATGCTTCATACTAGGTACTAGAACACCAAGGCAGTTGTCTACAGATATGTATTTAGCCCTTTTTGCCCAGCTGCGGCGAAGCCCAAAGGAGGGTTATGTGTTTGACCTGCATGTATGTCTGACCCTATGTTCCCTCATGATTACTAAAAGGCTTAACCGATTTTGATGATTCATACGTCGTTGCATTTGTCTTGAAAACGCGTTACAGGGTATATATGTAAATGTCTTTAAAAGTCAAAATGGCGGATCTGGAGCGCCAATTTGTGTCTTGTGATTTTTTTTTTCGTGTAATTCGATCGAGTGGAGTATCAAAATATAGAGCTTTTAACAGGTCAATACAAAAATACCTATATACACTTATTCATTTAAATGTTTAAAAGTATGTAAGAATAAGAATTTTTTAAATAAAACTTAAAGTGTTTCAATAACAGAAACAAGAAAGTTGTAAATAAAAAAAAATCGAAAATAAAAATAACCAACTGCGCAAAAAGCGAACTATAAAGATGAGAACAAGTTGACGAAGGAATATGTACTTATTGTGTAGTCGGAGACATAGACGTCATGTACATTGTAAATACACTTAGCAAGACTCGCAGTTAGTATAAAACCTATGTCTCCGACTGCATAATACTATACATTTTTTATAATTTTTTAAAAAAAATTGTACTTTTAATACATGAATACTTAAATGCTATGTACACGTATAATTGACATACATATAAGGTATATTATTATTACATTAATTTAACTGCCTCCGTGGTGTAGTGGCTAGCATGTACGGCTGCACACCCGGAGGTCCTGCGTTCGAGTCCCGGGTCGGGCCAAGTTTAGTTATTGAGTCTTTCTGTATAAGTAAGCCTCAGTAACAGCCCGGAGTTGGGAAGTTGGCAGTGTTTCACCCCCGTGCCTGGGAGAGCACGTAAAGCCGTCGGTCCTGCGCCTTAACTCTCACTGGTCGTGTCGAACAGTCGTCCCACCGGAGTATGAGAGTGACAGGAATAGAGAGTGCACTTGTGTCTGCGCGTACACTTGTGCACTATAATATCTCCTGCGCAGTTGGCTAGTCTCAATGAGATTGGCCGCCGTGGCCGGAATCGGTCGGGAGAACATCATTACATTAATTAAATTGAAAATGTTTCAAATGTATGTTGTAAGTGTGCATTTTACAAATAAATAGATAAATACGTTCCTTCGTCAATTTTGCTCTCATCTTTTTAGTTCGCTTTTTACGCAGTCGGTTTTTTTTAATTTTATAAATATTTTTTTATTACACATACCTACATGCTAACCATAAAAAATAAATTCAATGACTATATTGTATAAACTGTAAATAAAATTGAATGTCGGTTTGTCATGTAAAAATAACAGCGTGTTACTAAATGCATATGAAATTATATAGGGCACTTATATGAAAAACACTTTTTTTTTGTCTTTCTGTCTGTTAGTTCTGGATAATCTCTGAAACGGCTGGACTGATTTTGACGCGACTTTCACTGGAAGATAGTTGATTTTACAGGGAGTAACATAGGCTACTTTTATTTTAGAAAAATAATTAGGGTTCCGCTCAAAAAATTAAAAAGGACCAAGAACGGACGAACCCGAGCGAAGCGAGGGTGAGTCGCTATAGTCAATTAATAAAAATACAGCTATATACCTACAAAATCTAGCAATGAAAATCTAACTTCAGTAAGAAAATGTTTGAATCTTAATTATTTTTATTATATTAATTAGTATTGATAATCAAAATTAAAGCGCAATGTTTTAATAAGATAATCTTACTCTTACTACTATATAAATTGCGAAAGTTATAATGGATGGATGTTTGTTACTCTATTATGCCAGAACGGCTGAACAGATCTGGATGAAGTTTGGCATAGAGATAGATTATAGTATGGACTAGTACATAAGTTACTTTTTATGACGAAAAAATTTACGGTTTTCGTGGGATAGATTTGTTATTATTTTTCACTAGTGACAAACCGTGAGCCCACGCTTCTCTCGGGGTATATACCTACACAAAACTAACGGCTGAACCGATAGTTTTATGTATACAAAAAAATACAAAGTAAACAATATACATATAAAAAAAAATATAATATCACCTCCAGGTAAATTTTTAAGAAATTAATTAAAATTCTAAGAAATCTATTGTTAACTGACACGCCGGTGTGTCCGCGATCGTGGAGGGACAAAGTAAACATTTTAAGTAAATCTAACTTTTAGAACATTTTCGCGGATTTATTTTGATTTTTGGTTCCCGATGTTTAGAATGTTTTACCAACAGGAATCATGGTCACAGGAGAAACTATTAGAAAGTAATTACATTTCTTTAAGTAATCAGTGTCACGAATTAGATACAAGTAGTAAATTAAGAACAGTAATAACAAAAAAAATTGTACATTTTAATAAATTTAAAAAAATAACAAAATGGATTGCTCAAAAACATGTACCTATTTGTCATGTAAACATGTACTCATCTGACTCTGAAAATCTCTTGTTAGCGACTTAAGACAAAGTTTTGTTTTATTTTTCGACGACTGCAGTTATTGTTCCATGTTAGTCATAGAAGCTGTTGAACGACCCGGATCTTACTTTTAAATCGTCCACGTAGGCCTTAAATTTGAAAGCTGAAAAATAATTTGAAAGCTGGCCATAGCCCATGATAAACGTTGTTATAATATTGACTGCATCTATGTGAAATAGTGACAATTCTAGTTGTGTGTGATTCTTGTGATTTGTGAGTGAGCGTGTGATTGAGCCTTGTTAAATAAGTATATTGCTAAAAGGAAATGACATACCTATAACGTATATGGAACGGTATATGGTTCTAAATTGTAATTATTATAAGACTTCTTCTTAGGTAACTATATCTTTATATATAACCAAATTTGCAATGACAATGTAGGTATTATTACAAAAACCTTATACCATTATTAAGACATTACAACCAAGGCTGTATTGTGTGTGTTAAACTACTTTGATAGTCTAATGTTTATTGTTTTAATGTGCTAAACAGTAAGCGTTCCGTTAACCTCTCTACACGTTCGACGTAATGTTATTCTAGAATCTAGAGAAACAAATCCATTGCTTTAAATTCTTGTGCAAAAAAAAACTCATCAATTGTCTCAATTCGGGAACCCAAGTTAGTCGACATATTTTGTAGTGTATAATTTGTTTGTTACTCACACTAACATTTAAAAGTCGTAGAAGCTGTTCTAAATCGATTTCGAGGAACGTTTAAAATATGTTATTTCCTAAAACCTGTTCTTCCTGAGTCGGTAAATCATCGTATATCGTACACAGATAATATTAATGACCTCCTGACCGATTCCGGCCACGGCGGCCAATCTCATTGAGACTAGCCAACTGCGCAGGAGGCATTACAGTGCATGCGCAAGTGTACGCACAGACACAAGTGCACTCTCTATTCTTTTTCCTCTTAAACTCCGATGGGACGATACTTCGATACGATCGGTGAGAGTTATTAAAGGCACTGGGGTGCAACACCGCCAACTTCCCAACTCCAACCCGGGACTCGAACTCAGGATCTGCAGCCGTAAATGCTAACCACTAGACCACCGAGACCAACCGAGGCAGCTGTTCGTGGATACCTGAGAATTAAAATGATTTGACGCTCGCTATTCTCAGCGTAAGTCACCCAGAGTAGCGTCACAACTTCCGTTACCTAAACTTATGCAAAAAAACCTCCAGTTTTATGTATATTTTAAATAGATACCTAAATGATAATAAACTATAAGGAAAATATCATTATTTTATTTAACCATTTCGGTACTATTCAAGTTTTGCAAGACTTTCCACCTGTAATTTCTTAGACACCTGCCATCTCTGTGAATTCTATTCAAATTTTAAAGTGTGCTTGCTCATAATAAGAGTTTTTTTAATACCTATTTATTACGAATCTTGGACTTTCTGCTTGTTTGATAAAATTAGTTTTGAATAACGTACTTATCAGTTATACAATACCTAATAGATAAATAATAGGTAAGTGCACAGTAAAATACAAAATTTTACGACCGTTAAAATTTGAATATGAATGCTGGCAGTACAAATACGTTTGTTGTTTTACCAGTAGAATTTAGAAATTATTAGTAAACATTTATAAATCTTGAACAATAATATCTTCTTTACTTCAAATCTCTTCTTTATTTTAAAGCTTTTTGTTATATATATATATATACATATATTTTTATTTTATAATTATTATACAACAGGTTTATTTTTTATTTATTGGGATTGTTAAGGATATATGTAATTAATCCTAGAAATTAAAATATATTTAGTAAATATTGTTTGTTTGATATTTATGGATAGAGTATAGACTGAGAACTGATAAATTGTCTATGATAAAATAAATATTTCTACAGTCACTTCCAGGGGTATGAAACTCGCCTACATTATCGTAATTCAAAAATAGTCTTACAAATTAACGCCATCTTTTGGACGAGGAGGGTGAGTTTGGGGTGAGATATTAATTTATCAATAATAGATGGCAGTAGCAGTCGAGAATTTTTGATAATATAATTAATTTAAATAATTTTTTAAACATATTTTGTACGATTCATAGGTATAAAAATATATATATTATAAAATATAAATATATTTTAGTTTATCTCCAATATTTTTCGCCGTGGCAATATTATTGAGGCCCATCGTGCGTTATATATAATCTATGGTGCGTTAGTCGGCCATATTTGAATTTTGAAATTTGAATTACTCGTTAATCGTTTATCTGCTTCTGCGTTTATTCGGTGTGCGTTGTGATTTTAATTTTATTGTGTTATTTCCTACGTTTTGGCTTGTTTACGGACTTTTTGATCTTCTACGTGTTACGACATCATCTGGCTTGTTACTTGGACCCCGGACTGATTGCATGACTGATAACTTGGCTCTCTATTACACGGATTACGATTTTTGCAATTTTGATTAAGTGTTTTAAAATGCCGAAATCAGCTGAATTAAAATGTTATTTCAAATGTGATATCGATGGTGAGTATTCCAATTATTTAAAGAAAGGTTTCAAAGCATTATTAAGATGTCAAATATTATACCAAGAGTAATATTCGACGTAGTAAAATTATTTATAAAAGAAAAGTAATTAATTTGTTTGCCATTTAAAAATTTGGTTAACAACAAAACAGCCTATAAATCATTTGGCCAGCATAAAAAGTTTTTTTAGCAATAATAAAAATTCGGCTGCAATTTTTGTTCTTTATAAAATCATGTTATTAGTTTATAATTTAAACATAAGCCGGCAGTTTGTCTTATTATGTATTTGCAAAATAAACAGTCACTCTGCAAAATAATTATTTGGTTACCAAGATTGATTGGCATTCATATTTAAATTTCAGTTAGCAATAAAAATTGATTGCGTTTTTTTCTTCAAAATCTGCAGTGTTCGATAGAAGTGAGTGGGATGATTATAAAAATAAAGCTATATATATGACACTATTCCAATATTACTAAATAGGGATTTAAGAAATAGATTTAATAAACAAATAAAATAAAATAGAACTTTATTTAATAATTTTCGCTCACTCTCTTGAGTGCTTACCAAAATTTAAATTAACATGGGTCACTCATTGCTGCTTTTACATATATGTATTCGGCTGTACAAAAAAAATACTATAACTGTTCAGAAACAATAAAAATTGCAGACTGGTTTAGAAATATTTGCTGACTATATGTTGCTGCCCAATTAGCTATTTTATCTAACCAATAATATTTTTTTTTCTAACAAAGATACAAATACTTTGCAAACTGCTTAAATCACCCTTAATAAAATAGACATAATATTTAACTCTTTTTATTCCTTTCATTGCATTTAGAATTCATTATTATGTCTCTTTAGTATCACTTTTATGTATAAACCAATATTTTATGAATATTAAAAATTTTCAGGACCTTTACATCGCTTTCCCAAATGGGAATATCCTCATACAGAGAAGTTTAACCAATGGAAATCTGTACTTGATAACACAACTCAAGAAAGAGGAAACAATTATATTTACAATTCCATTCGTATATGCCACAAACATTTTGAGGAGTACTTCAAATCATCAAGCAGACGATTAACAAGGAATGCTGTCCCTACATTGAACTTGAAAAGTAAGTATTTTTTTAATATTCTATCTTGACATGCATTTTATAATGATATAATTTTTCTTTAATATTCTATGGTTTATTTTTGGCCAGACTGTTGGATTGCATTACATATTATAGTTTATTATTCAAGTACAAAAAACAAACAATATATTTTGTATTATACATATCGTAGGAATATCAGCATCATCTAATAGAAATCATTATCATTATTCTACTGTTATACATATATGGGTTTGAGTGTACGTAACGGGGCACTGAAAAAAAGAAGACAGATTTTTAGCCATAAATCGTTCATTTTCTCGATTACATCGTATAAAACACCTAAATAATATAAGGTTAAAAGTATATTGGTGTTTTTTGTCTCCGACTTACGGTTTGTCGTAGAAACGATGTCAAAGGGATACCTCTGTTCAGTGGGTGTAAACACTCGCGCTCGCAACGAACGTTTGGTCAATTTTTTGCCTCAAAATGGTCACAGAACGGAATCAGCCTACCCCGACTCCATATAGTCCCTATCCCTAGAGTGTATTAGAAACCGGTGGAGCGAAGGGAGGGCAGCCCCCGCCCGCTGTAACAAAACGTGGACACCCGAGCGAGAAATATATTTATAATAGAAAATATTAAAACAATTATATCATATTTAATTTACAGATTTACCACAAAACACAACAATAAAACCTATAATTGAATCTCAAGACTCAATTGAGCAATTTGCCATGATGGACCCATGCACATCAAGTTTTTCACAACAATTGAATGCAGAATCAGAATCAATTCCAATTTTACCAAAAAGTAAGTAAAATACAACAAACTCTTTATAAACCTTATAAAAGGATGGGTATCTCATGGAGCTTCTCTGGTTATATTTCACTAGCTGACCCGTGCCCACTTCGTTGGGCATAATGTTAATAATCCTTTTTTTCATGCGACCGTTTTTTCTCCAATTCACTTTGCAAAACGGACTACCACGTAAAAGCCTTTTTATTTTTCGGTTTTTTAAATAACCTATGACACTCAGCAATAATGTGGCTTTCTATTGGTGAAAGAATTTTTAAAATCGGTTCAGTAGATCCCGAGATTACCCCTTACAATTTAACAAATATACAAACACACAAACTTTACTTCTTTATAATATTAGTATAGATATACAAATCTATCCTTCTTCTCAATGTAAGACTGATCCATCATCAAACAGGTGGTGGGGTTGTTCTAACCCTATACCTATAATATGTATTAAAACTTGAAACTTATATTATGATGTTTTCTTTCAGGCCCTAAGAAAAGCTATTTGAAGCAGAAATGTTCTCAAAATATTATTAATCAATTAAAGAAAAAGTTACAAAAACTGAGTCAAAAATCTAAAATTCAGACCAAAAAAATTGCAGCTGCAAAACGACTATGTATGTCAAAATCATTTATAACAACAATTGAAAACTTACCTGATGCAGCACAAACTTTAATTAAATTACAGTTAAAGTGGAAAAACAAACCAAGAGGAAGACGATACACCATTGACGAGAAAATAATGGCCCTGACTATATTAAAACAAAGTCCTAAAGCATATAAACTTTTAAATAAAATGTTTGTTTTACCTTCAAAGCGATGTTTACAGAAAATTCTAAGTACATTTACACTTAGACCAGGTATCAATAAAAATATACTAGAAAATTTAAAAAGACATGTAGAACGCCTACCAGAAGAAAAAAAATTAGTAAATCTACTATTTGACGAAATTTCGTTAGCCCCTGGTCTTGTGTACAATGCATTTTTGAATGAAATTGTAGGTTTCCAAGATAATGGCATTACAAAAAGTGGTGATATTGCAGATCGTGCCCTTTGTTTTATGATCAAGGGCATTAAAAGCATGAAAAAACAACCCATTTGTTTTACTTTTACTAAAGGTGGAACTAAAAAAAGTGACTTGAAGGCCCTGTTATTAATCGTAATAAAAGAATTAAACGCAGCAGGGCTCAAAGTAGTAACTACAATTTGTGACCAATGTCCCACAAATGTTGCAGTTATAAAAGAATTAAGAGAAGAAACGAGAAAAAAATATGACATTGAACGAAACCTACAAATGCACTTTGAGGTAAATAACATGAAAGTGTTCCCATTATTCGATACACCCCATTTGCTCAAAGGAATTAGAAATAATTTATTAAATAAAGATGCAAAATTTATTGAAAATGGACAAGAAAAGTGGGCAAAGTGGGAACACCTAAAAATGCTACTGGCCATTGATGTTGGTGATGATGAAATTCGTCTAGTAAATAAGTTAACCGAAAATCATGTAAATAAGGATAAATTAAAAAAAATGAAGGTTAAGTTAGCTGCACAGGTATTTAGCCAACGAGTATCTGCTGCACTTCGATTTTCAGCAAGTAGGTATAAGTTCTTCTATTTTTTGAAAATGCAGTAAATATGATGTGTGAAGTACTGGTATACAGTTATATTATATCAAATACTGTATTCTTATTTTATTTTTTCTAAAATATCAACTTCTTTCAATTTTTATGTCCTATTTGCAATGCTATAGTGAGTTCATGTCTTCCATGATAAACTTGTTAATCTAATTGTTTTAATTTATACCTAATGTAATGTTTATCTTCTTTTACAGAACATGGAATATTACCCGAAGAGTGTAATGGAACAGCTGATTTTCTTTTGATTTTTGATAAATTATTTGACTCTTTTAATGGTCATTCCTACAATGATGAACATAAAATATATAAATGTTGTATAAAAAAAAATTCACCCCACTTCCAATTGTGGGACAAACTGATTCCGATTTTAGAATCAATTAAATTTAAATCATTACATAGAAGAAATGGTGTTGATGAAATAAAATATGAATCGATTCCATCAATTAGAAATTGGGTTGGGAATATGAAAACATTTAAGGAATTATGGGAGTATTTATCAGTTAATCATAAAATAACTAATTTAGTAGCTAGAAATTTTAATCAGGATCCATTAGAAAATTTTTTTAGTAGTATTAGAAGTAATGGTGTTAGAAATATCAATCCTAATTGTAATCAATTTATGAATGCTTTCAAAACGTTGATTGTCAATAATTATAATTCACCTCATTCTGTAGGTGCTAATTGTGAAGAAGATAAAAATACTGGAATGCAATCACTATCATATTTAATTCTAAATAATCCTAATGATTCTCAAACTGTTAATTATGCAACTAATATTGATTCATTGCTAAATGTTATGTCAGATATTAAAAATAATGATAATCTATTGCATGCTGAATCAAAAAAATATGTTACAGGGTATGTGATTAAGAAATCCAAATCAAAAGTTTTCAAAAATTGTGCTACCTGCTTAAATGATTTATGTCGATCTAATGTTGATTTTGATTCATTTAATTATGAAATTGATTATACTAAAAAATCCCTCTTTCACCCAAGTGATCAATTAATACATTTAATGAATAATATGTATGACGTGATTGTTGCATGTCTTCGGGATAATCCAACATCAAAATGCTTAAAAGATCAAATTAAATATTTCATTGATTTTGCATGTGATTTTAGCATAATAACTTGTGAGAGGCATAGAGTTGATTTGGTTGATTTTATTTGCAATCTTTGTATTAAAGTGATTGTATACAGTTGGTGCCTGGGAGTAAATCGATTATTAAATGGAAAATTATCAAATTTTGATAGGAATGACCATGTTAAAAAACAAGCATACGATTATTATAATATAAGACGAAAAAATACAAAAGTTTTATAAATTCTATATGGTACTGGTGTTTTATTTTTAAACCCTCGATTTTCTGTTAATAGGTAAAATAGAATTAATTTGAAATCAAAATTGTATTACTTAAAACACAAAAAAATAGAAAATATTCTAAATGTACATACTTGTTACTTTTTGATGAAATACTTTTCACACTATTTCCACTAATTTATTAATATAAACTGTTTATATTAATAAATTAGTGGAAAAAGTGTGAAAAGTACATATAGTATAATATTGAATAATTATCGTTCTGGTTAAAAATAAACAGCGCCATCTGTAGTATTATTATAGAAATAAAATTGTATGTGCACGCCATCTGTCGGTGGGGGAGGTTGCGATACAACAATTTTATTTTTAAAGTGGCGTATCTATACCAGTATATAAGTGTATAATCTATGGTCACTTCCGTTAAAGTCGCGGTTTCACAAACTTGACTTCCGACTTCTTTATGACGGAATAATTAATTTTTAATTATTTTTATTATACGTTCCTACTTCGCCTTATTTACCTATAAATGGACATCTCATTTGTAATATTGTTAAAATTATTTTAAAACTTAATTTTAACTGTGTTTATTTGTTACAAAGAAGCAATCGACATAAAATGGGCAACTTATCTAATTATATTTTAATATATTATAGAGAAGATACTTTAATTTTTGTATATTAAACAAATCTAGTTTAATTATTATAATATACATCACTTAACCCTACACTTGAATAAGTTTTATCACTTAAAATATCTCGTCCTAATAAACATTTTAAAATAGAAATATTTTATAATACCTACCTATTTTGAATTTTAAAAAATAGCTAAGTAAAGGACTTTTAAAATCAGTATTCAGTCCCTTCAGCTCACATTTAAATATGTTGTTTATTGATTTAATTAATACATATTAAATTGAATAAATAAATATTTCGCTTTGATTCATCAATCTATGTTCTCCTAAGTAAAACTAAGAAACATTTGAAGCATTTTCGCAATTTGTCGACTTACAATCAATCTCTGCTCAAATTATAAGTAATTTATTAATCTTCCGCTTATTCTAATTATTTTGCTTTTATTGCCTTATTTGGCAAAATTATAATAACATTAGGATGATAAACCTTTTAGGTAATAAAATTAATATGTTAATAAAAGCCAAAATCTTTAAAATAGGTATTACAAAATACACAATCCTCATAGAATATTTATAATACGCGTTAGCTTGAATCATACTTAGCGCAGTGCGCCGCGTTTCTCTGCATAAAACCGGTCGCCAAACGAAAATTCAAAAATTCGTTATATTTTTTATGGCTTCTCAAACGAGGGGAGGAATTTGGAGAACGGCGTCGCTAGGGGTTGCTTGGATTGTACGGCCGCTTCGCGCTTGCGCGCGTAGTTCGCGCCACTGCTACGTTGCTTGCAAGCCAGATGTTCTGAAAAGCTTCCTGTCGTTGTTACATTGCTCTGCATTTTTATCTAGATGTAAAATGTGGACTAGGATTATTTTAATATTTTATTATATTAGTGAAGTATTAAGTGTATAATTTAATATGTGTTTAGTAGATTGTGTAGTTTAATTGAAAATTATCGAGCGTCTCGATGTCCACGAGTTCATTCGAGACCAACAAAGCGGCGGACATTTTATTTTGAGTACTCGATAATGTAGCGTTTGCGTCGAAAACATTAAATGTCGTTTTATGGTTCTGTATTCGGATATCGTTCGCTTACACCTTTCGTAAGTATTTTAATTTCATATTGGGTAATAATAGTGAAATCTTAACTATGTTTGCGCCGTAGTTTCAAAGGCGGTTATGTCTACGAATTACCGCTAGGTCGTCGATATTTTTGGGAAAATATCGTTTATAAAGTGACGTAAGCAATATTGGACTTATTCATATACAGCCGGAAACCTTTCGTATTACATAAAGTACATTAGAATTCCTATCGACCCACTCCGCTTCGGAGGCTTCTCACTTGTGATTTCCGCGCGCGCGGCGCCCCTAACCTCTTCACTAATTAAATTGAGATGATTATCATTCGTCGTAATGGAAATTCATAACATGTCATTTTGTTTGATGTTTGTCTAATTGTTAATAACAGCGATGCCGAGGGGGGTGAAGCGAGGGCCGGTGGAGGGCGAAGCTGAGGTGGTGGTACGCGTCGGAGCATCTCCGTCGCACACCACTCTCTTGGACGACAGCCCCAGCCAGCCCATCAGCTATCACCTGCTCGACCATGGCTATGGTGCCACGCCTCAACACCAGATACGGCGGGAGGCGCCCACCGCACCGCCGAAGACTTCTGAAGTAAGTTCTATCAACATGTACCTGCAGTACACACAGCTGTTCACTTAAAATTTTCTTACAGTCTATAATATGTTAATTGTTAACATGTTCAAAAGTAATGATATTATAACTTAGTAAGCCAAATATCTTGATATAGTAAATTTTTGTTTAGCTTCACACTTATCAGCTGATTATGATCAAACTCAGATTTATGATCCTTTAAGAAAATGAGATTGTCGAATGAGGTTTTGTATAATTCCTATTATAATAAAATAATAGTAAACCCAAAAATAGATTAATTTATTCAATTAAAATTACATCAAATTACAAATAGTAAACTTGATAAAATTAGTACTTTGAAGTTAGATTTTGACCATTTCTATTTTCAATGAAGTATTTTGATTTTCATATTCATTTCGAAGGTTGATTGAATCATCAAAGTAATTAAAATGAGAATCATTGGACAGTATACAAATACCTTTTATATATACAGTTTCACCACTGTCTATCTATCAATATTCTCTGCATATAAAAAGAAACTTATAATAACATCCATATCTTAAATATATTAAAAGAATGAAAGTAAATCACATGCCACTTAGGTTATACTTTTGTACATTTGGCAAATTTTATTTTACCATTCCATTGCATGTTCTTTTCAAATTTGGTTACATTTTAAAATTTTATAATTCACCTTTATGTTTGTACTTGTGTTAAAAGCAATTCAACATTAAAAATGATTAATAAACTTGAACAACTAGTAATAAAATACTCAATGTTATGCTGAAAATATTTATTTTTTATCTATATAACACAAGTTTTATTTATTAATCTAAATATAACACACATACATTTATATAATGCTTCTTGTAAACTATCATTGGTTTTTTGATAGTATACGTACAATTTTCCAGATTCTCAGATGATTTTAGAGATTTTAAAAGAATTTAGATAATTATAAAATAAAACCTTATATAAGAGTTTATTCTCTTTTAACTCAGATATTTGCATATTGTAGGAAGAAATATTTCCTGGAATTGAATGAAATAGGTATGATCCCACTAGGGTCAAAGACCTAATTGGCACAGGGTCATTGAACTTGTGAAGAAATCCTAAGTTGGACCATGCGGTCTTGAAACATGCTCTCTAGTTTTTTAAGCAATTTGGCTGCTCTGTCTTTTCAGGGCTATTATATTAAAAAAAATTTTATTATATTAAATATAACCAATGAAAGATTTAAAAAGAACAATAAAAAAATACAAAAGTTTCATTATCTTTTGAATGTTTAGTAGATAACATTATAAAATAATCTAGTTGTGATGATAGTTGTTATTTATCATAATATATTAAGTTATTTAAATTAAGTTTTGCTGTTTTAATTTTAAATTGGAATTAATAGATAAATTTTAATTGGCAAGATAATTCTGACCAGCCATTTTGAGATTATTGAATAGATGAGTCTTGACAAATGAGTTGTCACTGCTACTTTACAATATATAATAGAATATTATTTATTACTTTTACCTATCCTTATATATGTTTGCTTATAATTATATTACTATGTTGTAGAGAGCTCATAGCTTCATTATTATATACTTAAATGAAATGCAATAAGTAAGATAAAATTAAATTCAGTACTGTTTTTGAGATAAATGTTTTATTAATATATAATTTTTTTTTACAATGTTGACATTAATCAGATACAGTCTGGTCAATAACGTGTATGTATGTAAATGCCATGGTTCATTGGTTTTACAGTTTATTCAGTCCAAAGCTTAATTCTAAACAGCTTGGTTCAGTGACTTTGCAGTACCTCTTTTCAGGGATTTTTATTGTGTGTACCAATTTTAATCTATATTAATATTATAAAGAGGCAGAGTTTGTTTGTTTGTTTTTTGAACGCGCTAATCTCGGGAACTATTAATCCGATTTGATAAATTCTTTTTGCATTAGATAGCTCGTTTATTGAGGAAGGCTATAGGCTATATATCATCCCGGAAAATATACGGTTCCCGTGGGATAGATTTGTTTTTGTCAGTGTATAATATAGATGGATTATAAGTTTGCAACAATATTATTATGCTTACTAGGTAAGATGACGTTTTATGACCCATTGATGTAACAAATTAGTCATAGTATTACTTTGTATGGTCACAACATTTAAACTTTGACTAGAACCTTCATTATGCCTAGGATGAACCTTATTGATTCTTTTATTATATGAAATTAAAGCTAATGGCCATAAAGGAGTTAAATAACTTTATAAATATAAGTCTAATATTTATGAAGAATACAATGGTCTTGGGTTGGTCATAACGATATATTTCCCGTTACGTCATCTTCTAAATTTTATGACGACTCCTTTATTAAGACAAATCCATCTCATTTAAGTCATTCATTATGTAGTAGTGATGTTGTAATTAGACTTCCAGTCTGTTTTTTTGGCAATGTTTAAAAAGTTCACTTCAGCTGTTGACGTTTGTGACGGCAAAAGTACATGCGTCAAATAATAGATGGCAAGTTGCCGAAGTTAGGCGGATGTAAAAAAAAAATATTCTTAACAAAAATCTGCTGGAGGCCTAACCTTAAACTTGTGTATTGTATATTTTATCTATGCCTAAAATAGTCGGTAACAAGTGTTCGAGTGTTAGCCCATATGTTAGCAGTAACCGTGTCGCGAGTGATCACCCGCGGTCCGCACATACACGCCATGTGGTCGCAACACCATGGGGTCACGTGGCCAGGTACTTCCTGCGCTCCTACATTGCGCAACGCAACTGTCATTGTCCTTATCATACTCTACGACGCAACGCCCTTCAACGCCTCGGTAGATCCGTTTCACCCGTACATATTCCTTGATATATTATGAATCGCAATGTTACCCACATTGCGTGCTTTGTTTATTCAGCCAACGCTTTGAGGAAATCTTTTGTGCCCCTCGTTAAGCTAGTCTATTCGATCCTTTGGTGTTTTTATACGTAAATTGTTTTTACAACAATAACGGAAAGGGCTAAATTGATTTATGTAAATAATGTGAGCGAAATTTTTAATACAGGGGTGTCGAATGATACTTTATCTAAGACGTCAGGCTTAGAGACACATCTGCTCTGATTTACTCGACGTCGACCAATCGTGAATGCGCGAGACCCGCAACTCTGCCAAATTAACAATAACTTTGCCGGTTTACTATTTATTAATAATAACAAAAAATTTTGAGATAAGAAATTGGCATTCTTTAGCTAGAGTCCCTTCCGAGAGCCCGGTGCCTTTTGTGTCGGTTCTAATTTATGTCGTGTATTGTGTAGGTACGGTAACCCTCCCCACACACTTCCTTAAAGGGGGCTTTGGCCCCACACTGCTTCACTTTGAATTAGTTGCATCAGCTTATTGAAAATGCTTCGTGCATCTATCTGTCTGCATTTTCAATTAATTTCGCGACATGTGAAATGCGTATATAAGTGCGATGGAGTCGAATGTTTTAGTTATTAAAATAAAAAAATTGTGTTCTTACATTTTAGTGTTTGATAAGTTGCAATGAGTAGTGTCTGCAAAGCTTTGTTGAAGCATTGTGTGGAAATAGGCTCGTTCGCATAGTATAATTGAAGATAGTTGGATTAACCATGACGTACTTGGTTTTAAGAGTGAGTCGTGAGATTTATCACGTTTTCTTGTGGGTTTATTTGCTAAAATCTTTATGTGGCATCATTTTTTTCTGTTTTACTTAAGACATTATCAATTTAATATTATGAATCCACCCGCATCGTATCGTAATATTATAGTTGAAAGAGCAATATAATTGTTAAATAAATTAAACGGATCCTTTCGTTACCTCAACACATGCTTCTATCTTTAAGTAAATATGTATTACATTTGTGTGGTGGTAAACCTGAAGGACCATCAGCGGTAAAATAGACTCGTGAACTTGTGCACGTTTTTAATCTCAATGTAGAGAAATGTCTCATGCTCGGAAGGAATTCAGTTATTCAGGGTATCTATGGAATTGTGTATTGTTCATATTGCATTCTATGTTTTATTTTTAATTACAATGAAAGTTGATTAAAGCTTTTTTTCGAATGTTTTTGAATTAATGTGCTTAAAAAAATCAATTAGCATTCGCACGATTTGTTATAACTATCTATGCAGATAAATAAAATTGAAGTGTCTTTGTATCAAAATAACAGCTTTTTACTAAATGCATATGAAATTATATACGCTACGCTGCCTATAAGAAAAACAGGTTTTAAAATTTTTGTTTATCTGTCTATCCGTCTGTCTGTTTTTGTTCCGGCTAATCTCCGAAACGGCTGGACTGATTTTGACGGGACTTTCACTGGCAGATAGCTGATGTTATAATGAGTAACTTAGGCTACTTTTATATTAGAAAAAGAATTAGGGTTTCGCTCTGGAAAATTACAACCTACCTAGGGACGCACCTGAGTGAAGTGAGGGTAAGTCGCTAGTTATTTATATAACTGGCAACTCACCTTCGCTTCGCTTGGGTTCGTCCCTCCCAATCCTAACTTTCATCCCCATTTTCACCCCCTTAAAGGATGTATGCCGGGATAAAAAGTATCCTATGTCCTTCCCAGGGTCTCAAACTATCTTCTTACCAAATTTCATCTAAATCGGTTCAGTAAATCCAGAGATTACCCCCTACAACGTCACAAACTCACAAATTTTACCTTATAATATTATAATAGAAAAAGATAATTGACTATTGTTAAATACGGTGGTTTGATATAAAGATCCTATTTACTATGAATGTAGGCGGTGAAAAGAAGGCTGAACCTGAGCGAGAGCAGTTCAGGCAGCCAGGGGCACGTGGTGCCCATGAAAGCCGACTTCAAGACGCCCAAGCAGAAACGCGTCAAAGTCCTCACACCCTACGGTCGCCCGTCCAGTTCTATGAAAAAATACACCGAACGTTCCAGGTACAGAACCTTTGAATCAGGTAATTTTTTTTATACGAAATGCTCAAATATTTTAGACTTAAATTTTGTCGGTTTTGTAATCGTATTTTTTCCGGGATGCTTTATACATAACGTTGTTACTATTTGTTATCATTATAATCATATAGAAAATGGTTTGTTATCTATGATAATATAAATACGGGAATAATCGTGTTTATAGATGTTATTTTTGTTTACAGTTCCATTGTAAATGATATATTTGCAGAAGAATCTTATACGTTTCATTGGCTGTTGATAAATAATAGAAGCGTTAAATGATGAACGATTTGAGGGACTATCAATTATTTTTGGCTATTTTGTTTCAGATTTGACACATCATTAGGTTTACTTACAAAAAAATTCGTTGCACTCCTTAAATCGTCACCCAATGGTGTTCTAGACTTAAATATTGCAGCGGAACACCTTTCAGTCCAAAAACGTCGCATATATGACATCACAAACGTATTAGAAGGAATAGGAATATTAGAGAAGAGATCGAAAAATAATATACAATGGAAATGTGGTGAGTTTTTTCATGTTTGCAACAAATATTTGGCACACTTACTATGATGCAATTAGTCAAAGATAGGAGATCGTTGTGAGACTTCATGCAGCTTTCTATTTTACTTTATTTTAAAATAAACTTTAAAGTCTCACATACAAATATTTACATTATAATAGTGACTCAACCTCGCTTCGCTCGGGTTCGTCCCTAGGTACGTTTAAACGGTTAGTATGGATATCCCACGGGAACCGTATATTTTTCCGGGATAAAAAGTAACCTATGCGCTTTTCCAGACTATCTATCTCTGTGCCAGATTTCGTCCAGATCCGTTCAGTCGTTCTAGCGTGATTGAGTAACAAACATCCATCCAAACTTTTGCATTTATAATATTTATAATGGGATTCACTGTTGCATTTCCCGAAAAACTATAAGAAGTATTTAATATGTTTATGTCAATATTCTATAGGAGCTAAAACGGGATGTAAATTAGCGTATTTGTTTTCGTCTACGTAATTAAATTGCTACGATATCTCGCTCTATTAGGCACGTAGGAGAGATTGCGACTAAATAATTAGACACTTATTATGATACAAATATAAATGGCGATGAGTTTCTTTGTATATATGTATATGATTTTGGTACTTTTAGTGTTCTGATCTCTTATGTGTATGAAATGGTTCATTAATATAGTACTTTTTCAGATTTACGTGAATATTTGACATATTTTTTTTTTGCATTTTAGAAATCATTTTGTATATTTTTGGGTAGGCAGTCTGTTACAATTTTGATCTTTGAGACATTTGAAACCTGAGTGTCTCCCGTATCCATGATTTCTATAAAGAATTTGAAACGTCGGGAACCAAACATCAAAATTAATCCGCGAAAAAATATGAGAACATAGTTTTATTTTAAAGATTCATTAATTATAATTGTCGCATACGAAAAAAATACAAAGTGTTCTTCAATCTGGGAGGAAATTGTCAACGGGTGGATGTCCAAAAAATCATTAAATTCGTGTGACGTAATTTATGGATGGCCCCTAGGTCTTAGGTAGATTTTGCGTCTTTACAATTTTGACAATAGCCATTCTCGATTTCTAAGTACAATTAGCAGTGACAGATTTTGATTAACTTGAGATTGTGAAATAATATGGATAGGCATAGGCCGTAGAGCTTGGAGCCCTGCAAGGTCCAGATACGATCTGTATCTGTTCATATTTCTTACGAAAATATTTGCATTGCATTATAAGTTAATATAATTCATTATAACTTAACTTTTTTTTAACTCAAGGTGCACTTTGGTTACGTATAAACATATACTATATTTTGTTTTATACTACTCGTTGGTCTTAACGGCATGTATAGTTTTACAGACCTAAAGGACGTGGGTTCGATTGTCGGGTCTGTTTAAGTCTTGGTGTGGGATTTTTCTGTTAATTCTCGGTTACAGTTGGCAGTGTTACATCTCTGTGACTCCTGAAAAAACATAAAGTTGCGCCTGAACCTGATCTCTCACCGGTTATGTCGAATTGTTGTCCATATGACTTGGAGAGTGAGATTGAGAAAGCACTAGTGTGTGCATGCGCACGCGCTTGTGTACTAATTTGTACTGTGTAGATGCCTTTTTTGAAACTTGGGAAATGCACTTACGTATACTATCTGCATACATATAGAGGAATATGTGGGAGATTCACCGACTAGGAGGATCAGTACTACCCACTACAACTCAACAAAACATTCCTTTAATGGAGCGTTGCAGGATAGTTATAGAATTAGCCTCTTCAGTGTGATCCTACAACGCTTTAGAATCTAGAGACCAGTGTATGGCACTTGAGTGAATTGGCCCAGCTGCTGATAATGCAATAGACTGGAATCGAATCTCGTACAGATTGATACATATTATATGGTGTTTCATTGGTAATAATACTAAAAACTCTTTATTGTATACACAAATATAATACAATTGCAATTGCAGGAAAGTGACCTTCCAGACAACCTTTAGGTGTAGGATGTAGCAGTGTAAAGTGGAAGGGGTGTGAAGATAGAGTCAAAATTAAAACATTACATGTATACAAACTTATAATATTATTAGTCTAGTGCCTATAAATCATGTGGTTTTTAGTTCGAGTCCAGGGTTGTCCAATAACAGCAATCGCAATTTTCTGTTTTAAAATTCTTACTAGCAGCACTGAGTTGGGTAGTTGATAATATAATGCTCCCGTGCTTTGCTTTGGTCGGTCTTATTTAGTTCATTAAAGTTGGATGGTGTGAACGAAAGAACAAAAACAAAATGAGCGCGTGTAACCTACGCGCGGTTGAGTAAAACTTCTTTGGCAAATATCGCAATGAAATTAAAACAAATCAATAATTAAATAAGGCCCATTACCTACAATCATATATTTATAGAATATCATAAACGGAAAGAATATAATATCATATATTTGTCAGACAATAACAATTGTTACCATGGCAACATGCCAATGTATTCGATCTCATTCTCTCGCCGCCTTAATCCTATATATTTACTCTTTATATATTTGTCTCTTTCTAGTGTCGCATTTTCGTTTCATCGAGTTTCAAATCCCAACGGATTTAGAATCCGAAGTTTTACTTGAAAAACAACAACAAATAATTTTTTTAGCCTTTTAATAACCTTTATATTTCAAAATTTGTTTATTATAATAATATTAATTCAATAATAATTTGTATCCAAATTTCATACAGGTCTAGGTGGTGCGGGCGGCGCGAACGAAGAGAACCGTGTGAGGAGGCTGCGGCGCGAGGTGCGGGCGCTGACGGCGCGGGAGGCGAGGGTGACGCGCGCGGTGTCGGTGGCCGAGCAGGCGCTGTCCCGGCTGTCGGCCGACCACGGCGCCCGCGCCTACATCACATACGCGGATCTCAGGTCCATCAAGGACTTTAGGAATCAAACTGTTATACCTATCAAGGCGCCGCCGGATACGAGGCTCAGTGTAAGTTTGTTTTTCTATAAGGAATATATTGTAAACTAGCATTGCCCGCGGCTCCGCCCGCGTTCAGGTGACCAAAAATCAAATTCTTAGGGCTTACATATTATTATATGTACTGTTACATTGCAGTTTTGTATTTTTTCTCAGAAATGAGATGTTTTCCCGCGGTAAAAGTATCCTATATGTTGACCCGGATAACCAACTATCACCATTTCAAATTTCATCAAAATCCCTCCAGTGGTTTTTCTGTGATGCGGTAACAGACAGACAGACAAAAATTCTAAAAATTATAGTTTCGGCCTCTGTATCGATAATAATGATGGATGAAATTTCAATAAAATTTTCCAAAACATATCTAGTGTACAGATTCGGCTTAGTTACAATTTTATTATATGCATAGACACATATGTAAGTTTGTATATGTGCGGGTACACTTCGATACCGATAGTCTATTTGGCACCGCTCGAGAGACTGCAGTACAGATCAGTTCTCGATCTAATCAAAGGCTTTTCCGTAGGCCACAAACGCCAAGCAAAAAGTCAAGTCATACTCCACTGTCTTCTTTATAACCTGTCGCAATAATACTTTCTTAGATTTACGCGAATATTTGACATTTTAAATAAATATAAAATAACAATGGCAGACCTGCCGTCGGGGCGTCGTAGTTGAATGCGTAAGCGATCCTGCGACGCCCCATTAAGACGGGGGAAAGGTTTTGTTGGGGTTTAGTGGGTAAAACTGGCTGTATTACGCCGGTGAGTCCCACACGTCGTGCGTAAATGCATTTCCCAACGTTAAAAAAAAAAGGGACGCACCCAAGTAAAGCCAGGGCAAGTCGTTTATATGTATGTATACGATGTCAACGAAAATACTTCGCAGTAGCTTATAGATGATTGAGTTTAAAAATTTAATATGTTTTTAAAAATGTATGTATTCCTATATGCTCACTTGTAATTTTGCCCATCAAGCTAATTAACTTTTTAGCAGTATTTTCGTGTGTGAATTAAGACAAGAAGTAAGGTTTTGTTAAGCGTAAAGTAATAAGTAACTAGAATATATGAAAATGGTAAAGGTATTTTTGGTTAGAAATTAGGATATAAGAAACCGGCAGGTATCCATAACAACTATGCGACGCTTGTTGCTGCACATGCGCATTTCTCTATATTATTTAGTTTAAAAAATATTTTAATGATAGTATTTTTGTATTAAGTTCATTTAAATTTTTAGCAATCAAGGAAGAATAGTCATTTTTTTCTATTTATACATAAAATCTAAATTTAACTAAGTTTAGCGTCGTATTTGAATTTATTAAATATGTTGATTATGCACGAGTATACATGCGCAGTTGGCGCCATCTTGATTTAACTGACGTTGCGCCTATTAAGTGACGAAAACAAAAGTTCGCTTCAAGCGTCCTTATCGCCAGTAGCTTGAAGTGGATGAGTAATGCAAAAATTTAAAAACATATTTATTATTTTACTGTTAATATGATGACCTCTTGACAGTTCTCTGTTGTTGATGTTCTAATTCTAAGCATACGATTGAAACAAAACTTCATGTTAAGTGAAGCTTACCATCCTTTAGTGAAACCGCACCTAAATCGGTTAAGCCGTTTTCAAGATCAACGCGTACAAACGCACAGTACAGACAAAAATTCCCCTTAATAATAGTTTTTCTCAAATGTCTTCCATGTACAGACTGCAATCAGTTACACTTATTATATTATGTGTAGATTGATTGATGTTTTTCTCTTAGCAGCTAAGATGAATGAAAATTTGTTTTCATTCTTTAAAACAGAGCATTGATATGTGTATTACTGATTTATGATGATGTGTGTATTACGGTTATATTATATAGTAATAATTGATGTTTTTGCTTCCAGTGTATTAAGTAATGATATTTATTGGAAGTATAGAAATTTATACTTTATTGAGTCTTATTGAATTCAGCTTCACTATACTACTAATGTCAAGATTATATTTTTTTTAATATAATATAAATTACTAGTGACTCCCACTTTCGTTTTCGTCCTAGTGAAAAGCAAAAATAAATCTATCCCACAGGAACCATATATTTTCCGGGATAAAAATAGCATATGTGCTATTCCAGACTATAATCTATGCCAAATTTCATCTAGATCCGTTCAGCCGTTCTGGCGTGAAAGAGTAACAAACATCCCTCCATCCATCCTCACAAACTTTCACATTTATAATATTAATATGGATAACGTCAGGTGCATTGTGGATATATATACTATTAAATGAAATTCATTATATATGAAAAGAAGAATTTCTACATTTATCTGACACGTGACCCTAATTTAACATAATATATATTTAGAGATGCATATTTTAACAATTTTATATAGAAATTAAAGTTTTAAGTACCCATTAACAATATTATGACAGTCAATATGATGAATTCTTGCTTATATGGTTATTTGCCCAAAGCTATAGCTGTTAATTTCTAGGAAAGGCTACAATAAATCTAGAAATTTGTAAATAAAAGTTTATATGACACATTAAAATGTTATTAATAAGATAAAAAAGTCTTTGTATATAATGCCTAACGACTCAAACTTGCTTTGCTAGAGTTCGTCTCTAGGTACGTTTTCACGGTTAGTATGGAATAAAAAAAAACTCTGTGAAAAACAAATCTATCCCACGGGAAACTTACATTTTTCCAGGATAAAAAGTAACCTGCTATTCCAGACTATAATCTATCTCTGTGCCAAATTTCATTCACATTCGTTCAGCCGTTTTGGCGGTAAAGACTAACATACATCCATCTATCCTCACAAACTTTTACATTTATAATATTACTATGATTTTTTGTATTTAAGATTTTCGATTCTTATTGTTAAATTTTGTTTACAGGTACCACACCCCGGTGAGAATGGTTACATGATACACCTCAAATCAAAGTCTGGGGAGATTGAAGTCTTCCTATGTCCTAAGGAGCGACCTCCTTCACCACCACCCTGTAAGTATATTTTATTTATCTATGCCAGATGGGAATAAATTATTATATTAGAATTTCTTAAATTGTAATTTTAGTTAAAGTAATTTTAATCTTTATAATGGTTATTAAAATTTTGACATTCATTGTTTACAACCAGTTGTAAAAACTAATGATGTATACAATTTGAATATAATATTCATAGGTGTATTGACATGAAGGAAATTATCATGTATGTAAATAATAACACTATTTGTTGTAATGCCAAAAGATTTATTCTTCATTTATGATTTGATTGCTGTTGCTAAATATGCAACGTTTTGCAACTATGATATCTGCTTAGGGTGAAAATATTTTTGGTATATATATGGGTGTTAATATTTGTCTTGAAAGAAGATAATACCTTCATCAAAATTTAAAGCAATAAGAGAACTGATGAGAGACCTGAAAGCAAATAATTGATTCATTATTTTTTTATCTTGATAAACTACATCAACTACTGATTAGATTTTGTTTCGGTTTTCTACAAAATGCATTCAATTAAATAATAATCATACTGTAATTTATCAGATTAAAAATGTATAATGTATATGCCTAGTGCTTTCTTAGGTTTACGCGAATATTGGACACTAGTTTCCTTAGACTCAACCTCACTTAGCTTCGGGATCGTACGTAGACAAAAACAAATATATCCCACGGGAACCGTACATTTTTCCGTCATAAAAAGTAAAATATGTGCTTTCCCAGACTAATCTATCTCTGTGCGAAATTTCATCCAGATCCGTCCTGCCGTTCTGGTGTGAGTAACAAACCATCCATCTCTCCATCTTCCATCCATATGTATGGATTAGGATAGACATTTTGACAATTGACAAAAGTTACATGCCTCATTACCTGGTGTTTATTTATTTACAATGAAGATAATATAAATAAATGAATATTTTCAGCGTCGGGTCTTTTGCCTTCGGACCCATTACTGGAGGACAACAAGGCGTTGTTGGCTCCACTCATGGCGCAGTTACAGTCCATTCCCTCCAGCTCAATCTCAGCCGCCTTTACGTGAGTTTGTAATTTATAAATAATTATTTTGAATCATAGAGGGAAATTAGGAAATATTAGACAAATGGCTTCTTATCATTTGTAAAAAGATTACTCATAACATTATGTTTAATGATTTTTAATCTTTAGTTCATGCTGTAATAAACTTAAAAAATTACCTATAATATTGTTTTTGACTTCCTTATTTTTGAATCTGGCTCTTTCCATTAAATCTAGAAAATATGTTAATATGTTAGCCCACTAGATGTCATTACACCCTCTTTCAATACAGACTGATTGATATACATACATAGATAATATTACAAAAATTAATCAAACAGTTAAGGCATATATGGAAGACGAATTTTTTTTATACATATTATTTTTATATTAAAGACTTGCGACTCATCCTCGCTCCGCTTCGTTCAGGTTCGTCCCTAGCTTGCTTCCCAATACAAACTTTTATCCCAATTTTCATCCCATTAAGGGATGATGTCCGGGATAAAAAATATCCTATGTTCTTCCTAGGGTCTCAAAATATCGTACTAAATTTCATCTAAATAGGTTCAGTTGATCCAGAGATTATCCCCTACAACGTCACAAACTCACAAACTTTACCTCTTTATAATATTAATATATATTATTTTAAATTAAAAGATAAATGTAACCAACAGCACGCCAATCAAGCGCGAGCCGGTGTCGGAGCAGGCGGCGTCGACGTCGTGGTCGCGCAGCCTGGTGGTGAGCTCGCCGTGCGTCACCGACCCCACGCTGCCGCTGGCCGCCGCGCCCGCGCACCGCACGCCCTGCACGCCCGCCGCCTCCGCCGCGCCGCGGCTCACTATGTCTACGCCGGACAGTGAGTTATATTCTACTGAAATAAAAGTAGCCTCAGTTACTCCCTTATAACATCAATTACCTGCCAGTTAAAGTCCCGTCAAAATCGGCACAGCCGTTTCGGAGATTAGCCGGAACAAACAGACGGACAGACAAAAATTGTGTTTTTCTTATAAATACCGTATGTAATTCCATATGCATTTAGTAAAAAGGTGCTATTTTGACATTACAAACAGACATTTCAATTCTATTTATCTGTATAGATATGTAATGTCTGCTATGTTAACTACTTTGGTGATTTAGTGGCTGCAGATCCAGACGTCCAAGGTTCGAGTACCGGGTTGGGCTGAGTATGGTTAATAGGTTTTTCTGTTGAGAAATTCTCAGCAACAGTATGGAGTTGGGTACTTTGTGGTGTTTCATCTAAGTGCTGAAGAAGAGCACTAAATTTGTCAGTTCTGTGTCTGACTTTTCGCTGGTCTGGTGACAAGTAGAGAGTGCATGTCGTGATTATAATATCACCTGCGCTAGTTGGCTAATCTATTATGATGTTCTCCTAGCCGATTCCGGCCACGGCGGCCAATCTCAATGAGATTAGCCAACCGCGCAGGAGATATTATAGTGCTCAAGTGTACGCGCAGACACAAGTGCACTCTCTATTCCTATCACTCTCATACTCCGGTGGGACGACCACTCGACACGACCGGTGAGAGTTAAGGCGCAGGACCGACGGCTTTACGTGCTCTCCGAGGCACGGGGGTGAAACACCGCCAACTTCCCAACTCCGGGCTGTTACTGAGACTTACTATACAGGAAGACTCAATAACTAAACTTGGCTCGACCCGGGACTCGAACCCAGGACCTCCGGGTGTGCAGCCGTACATGCTAGCCACTACACCACCGAGGCAGTTCTATTATATACAATCATTATTTCAATCTATTATATACAAGCGTTTTCCAGCAGATCTCCCCATATAGTTCTATTATGTAGTGCTATATCTTTATAAATTACTAGCGACTCACCCTCGCTCCGTTCGGGTTCGTCCCTAGAGTGGTCCACCCTTATCACTTAGGTGTATGGAAAATAGATAGTAGCCGATTCTCAGACCTACTGAATACGCATATAAAATATATGTGTATGGACGCTCTATCTATACATTAAAACCTTCATCGTATTTTGTTTGGAATGACTACAAAAATCTAATCGTAATTTCCAGATGGTGCGAGAGGTCGGTTACAGAACGCGCTCATCGCTGACAGCGACGACTTCGCGCCTATCATGGGCGGCGGCCGCTTCCAGCTGCAGACAGAAGACCAGGAGTCAGGTATGTCTCATATGGGTAATATTACACAAATTGAGCCACAATATCGGCTCAATGGACTCGTAAAACTAATCAAATGGGCCCTTAAATCTAAATTTTCTAATAGCAAAGTAGGGAGCAAGAATGTAGTGTATATGCCGTGAGCGTGGATCGACAGCAAGATTACTTTTGATTTTTGCTTCCCGACGTTTCGAATGCTTTACAGCAATCATCGTCACGGGAGAGACTAAGGTTTTACACGTCTCAAAGGCGTTATATAATTGTTACAGATAGGGGGTAGGCACTGTCTGTAACAAGTATATAACGCACAGAAATCTTAATAATAAGCTAATAGAAGTGGCATAGACGCGTGACCTTGTCGCCGCGCATGTGACTCGTAGGTCACAAGCGCGTGTAAAGCGTTTGTTGCGGTAACTAGTGTTATTTGAGACACGGAGAGGTAAACATGGTGTTTTGCAGCATATCCAACTGCGGAAATTCTTCCACAATTTGTAACTTTACAAATAAAGGGACAACATTTCATATATAAGTACTTAATTTTTGAAATAATGTCGTTTTTAAGAAATATAGCCAAATCAAATGTTTTCACCACCACTACTACGATTATCGCAGGAAAACGTTCTTTTTTTCAATTCAATAACCATTACCACTTAAGCTTGTTCATGTCTACTATTACAACTGCTAAAAGCAGCAATGAAATAATAGTCATGCGTAAAGAACAATATCGTCGCGTACGTAAATTCCAAGGACACGCCGCACAAGTTGACCGCGAATTAGTGACGTGCCACCACTATTTTTTATCGAAAATTTATTACGTTTGGCTTAATATTTTTCGTTAAATATTTAATTGTTACATCTCATTATGTATGTTTTCTTTCTGTCTGAATAATTTATAAAAAGTCATTTATCAACGATTATCTGTAAATTCGTACTTTTAAACTACTTTTTCATTCAGAAAATTATTAGGAGGTAGGCTTATTATTGTTATGTATATGGATTATGGGTAAGTCAAAAACAGTATGCGTTGAATATCCTTGTATCGTTGACATGTTCCGCATTTACCAAATTTTTTTTTGATTTGATTGAGTAAATAATTCTAAGGGCGAGTTGTTTGATAAACATAACATAGAAATTCTATAAGTCATTGTTAAAAATGTATAGGATTTTAACAATTACTTTGTATGTAATGTAACATATATGTAGTTATACAAGTCAATTTTTATATCACTTATGCATATATATGCAAGTCAATAAAAACATTATAAAAACAAAATTCAGTCAGACTCTTCATTAAATTAAACTAGAATTAAGAATAATATATCGCTGTTGAGTATATAGTAGCTGTTGAGTTATAACTATATAATAATAAAAAAATTACTTACTTTTAACGTTTTATTGTATTCCCTTTGTGAAAATAAATAAATCGTCTAAAATCGCGTCGAGAAATGAAACATAAAACACTTTCAATAAATTAGTTACCTATTGTTGCAAGACTCAACGGAAAATTATCGATATGAGCATTATGCGCTTTGTGCTGCACTAGAAGTGAGCGCGCGATATCATTCTGTGCGTTTCGCACACGTTTATTATTGGTCACAGGGATCACGGGTTCTGAGATTATGCGTTTTTAGAAAATATTGCGTAATGTCATCGCTTAAAGTTTAATTTTTGTTGCAACAATACAAAATGCATGTGTGAGCGATAGTGTGTATTTATTGTTTGTCAATGTGTTGGTAGCTGCAAGCCGGCGACACGCGTCCCAGTACTAAAAGACCGCAATGGCATTTCTATTACCTTATTATTAAGATTTCTGTGATATAACGCCTTTGGGACGTCTAAAACCTTAGCATCTCTCATGACCAAGATTGCTGTAAAGCATTCCAAAAGGTCGGGAATCAAAAATCTAAATAAATCCGCGTAAAAATCCGAAAAGATAGTTTCATTTAAAATGTCAAATATTCGTGTAAATCTAAGAAAGTAGCAAGAGTACTGTAGTCTAACCATGGTCAAAACCAAACTAATTTTTGGAAACAGATCAGCAATGTTTATACGTTTCGTGCCGTATAATCATGTATAGTGCACATAATTTATGTACAAAAGCATTCATACATTATGGTGTTTAGGGTTTTTCTAATCTTGACATGTAGCCATTTTCTTAACGCTATGCTTCATTCATCACAACATCTTGCACTTCGTTCACTGGTTCAATTTATTTATTCATTTCATTTGTTCATATGAAAATAACTAATTACAGATTTCATTAAATTATTAAGTACATATAAGGACAGTGGTAGCCCAGTGGTAATGCGTTTGCTTGGGAAACCGAGTAAAGCGGATTCATATCCCGGGTCTCGCACCTCTGATATTTTCATGTGAGAATCATTTCCAACATGATTACCATTTGTCTTACGGTAAAGGAAAACATCGTGAGGAAACCTGCGTGTCTGAGAGAACCTAGCAAGTTTTCGAAAGACATGTGAACTCCACCAAATCGTACTTGGTCAGCGTGGTGGACTATGGCCTGATCCCCCTCGTATTGAAGGGAGGCCCTTGCCCAGCAGTGGGACGTTAACAAGGGTTGAATAAAAGTACTTATATTATGTTAATAATAACGATTTAAGTAGATATATAAGAGCTTGGGTGGTGATTCGGCGTGACATGGCGGCAGGCGCGCCGCGTGGCTAGTACTCGCGCTGTGGTTTGTGTTCGCAGTCACATCACAGTCAGAGTTCTAGCTATACGGCGCGCCACTTCGGCTCTGCGGCGGCGCCCATTCATGTGCATGCTTTGTTCTTTATTACATAATTACATAAAACTGTATCTACATACATACTATCTACTAATCCAATAGACGTAGAGAATGGACTGATGGACTGAGCAATACTCTCAAGAAATTGACCACTCTAGAAAGAGAGAAAACGAACGTGCGGCCAATACCCGTCTTTTATTCCAGTTTGAATTTATAAATGGAATGTGAAAAATGGTTATAATTATCTATCTTCATTAATCGTATTTTAATTAATACAGAAGAATTCTGGCCGCACATTCGGCTAGCAAAGAAACATTCTCTATGTCAATGACTAATCCATACAGAGTATTGAAGGCGTCTAGACAGGGCTATCGTGCGGGGTAAGACTTGGTGAGGCGCTCCCGACTGTCATATATACTTTTATATGAAAGTCTGGAGACGGCGGGATAATATTAATTAACTTGCCATTGGTATTACAGCGTTTTAATTTTAAAGATTGCCATGAAAATTGGTATTTTTTGACCTTTTGATTATCAAAGACTTTATTATAGAAATATCAAAGACTACCTACCTACTGTATGGATTTTTAAACTGTGATAATACATCTTATATTATGTAAATATATGTCGTGTATACTGTGCATTGCAGATTTTACATTTTTTTATCATTTGTATATATTTTTGTAATTTATATGAGTGGAATTAATAAATCAATTGGACATATTATAAAAAATGTTTATAGATAACAATAATCTGCAATACAAAGTAACTTATAATGATCACACATCCTTCATTAAGCTTTTTACTAACTTGTTAACTTTCTCATTTTAAATGATTAACTTGTTGTGGTGTTTGTTTGTGCCCACGTGTTTTGTCACTTTTGTGTTACTATTTGTCTGTAACTAATATTTAATTGTTATAATGGACATAGACTATATTATATGCTCAAACAAAAGAATTATATAGACGGAGTCCGCCAAAAAATGTCAAAGGCAAAAATAGTAGCGTGATTTACTGTTTATGCTACTATTCTTTGTTTTGCCATATAGATCAGTTAAGAGAAATTTTATATATGTATTAGTTAAATCTTTATATATATAATTCTTCTGTGAGTGTGTATATCACTGAACTTCTCTCAAACGACTGGATCGATTTTGATGAAATTTTTTGTGTGTGTTCAAGGGGATCTGGGAATGGTTTAGATTCACAATTTGAATAATAATTTTCATCAAAAAAATTATTAAAAAAAGTTTGAAATTTTCAAATTAAAGACGTGTAGACAGGACAACGTCTGTCGGGTCCGCTAGTACATATATAAAATACTTACGTGTTAACATTTAGTATAGATTTCTCAGAGATGATATATTTTCCCGCAGTAAAAAGTATCCTATATGTTGACCCGGATAACCAGCTATCATCATACTAAATTTCATCAAAATCCCTCCAGTGGTTTTTCTGTGATGCGGTAACAGACAGACAGACAAAAATTCTAAGAACTATAGATTTGGCCTCTGTATCGATAATAATATTTATTTCAATAAGATTTTCCAAAAAATATTTAATGTACAGATTCGGCTTAGTTACAGTTTTATTATATATATAGATATTTTTTTTAGTTTACATATTTAAAAAAAAAAGCGGTAGATATTTTTATTTATTAATATTTGTTTACTCAACACTCAGTATACAAATTGTCATTTGAATACTATGTACTTTGAAACATTATATGTTTAAAACATTATTGCTTGGCTTCTCTGTCTATATTATTCCTTAGTTTGAGTCTCATTTTTAATGAGAATGATCTAAAATGTAAATGGAATCTTCGGCTCTTTGTAAAAAAGTTGCAACTTTTGACGTTGTAATATCTTTCTACAAATGAATTATTTTTTATGTCGATAAAAACGGACCTTTAAAATATTTTCATTTGAAACAAAATGTAATCTAATTTCCGTAAGATGGCGTAATTATTCGTATTTTGATCTTACTTTCTACACATGTTTTTGTTCAAAATAATACATTATTTTAAATTACGATATGAAATAACCTTATAAATACACAAATAGGTAGGGAAATAATATATAATCAATATTATTGAAATATAATCAACGTTTTCAAATATTAACGTCGATGTTATTAAAAAAAAACATTTAATTTTTTTAATAACTTCGACCATTTTAAAATTTGGAATCTGACTAAATAATCAAAAAGAACAGAAAATTTTCTATACAGAACTCTACAGATATTATTTTATTTCTAATTCTAATTACTTGAGTATGAAAAAAGAGTCCAAAAAAAACCCTTTCTTCACTCTGATCAATTCTTTGGAATGCCATAACTTGACAACTAAACCTCAAATAAAAAAAAATATTATGTATACATGTTCATATCCCCTAGAGGTACAAATATGTCTAATATGAACGAATTTCAGAACCTCACTGTCTTTTCGTTGTCCATTTCACGTGAAATGCTTCATCTGTAATATAGGAAACAGCTAAAAAGATATCTAAACTTACTTAACTAAAAGTTAATTGTGTCCATACATTCTTTTCGCCATTATAAGAATCTGGCCTTAGAGATATCTTTTTTCGAAAGGATCAAATAATAATTTATATTTTTAAGAGCACTATATGTACATTTGGGATCATTTTATCACGCTTGAAGGTTTTGGTACTCACAGTGCTTTGACAGGCATTCATTCTTACTAAATTTCAGAAACTATTAATATTTCATTTTTCTTTTTTTATAAATAACAGGTTAAATAATTTACGTTTCGATTAACTATAGTTAAAGGTACATTACATTACAGTGCAGTTAAAAAAGCACTAGATTCACAATCTCATTTAAAAGTTCGCTTAAAATTTTCACCAATTGTGTTTAGATAATTATTCCAGTTGAAATAAATATATAACAATGTAAATTGAGCCTTAAATGCAATGCTCAAAGTTGATTTAACAAAAAATAAAAATAAAAGCGCCCTCGAATATTTAAAAGAGCGCTCATTCGGTGAGGACATTTTTTGTATGTAGTACTTTTTTTGTTTTGTATTTAAATGTCCTTTTTTAAAAATATTTGAATATGGCTCTACAGTAATAGTTATTCTCTTGTAGTATATAACTGAAAAGTGTTAAATCTCATCTGAATCTTGAAAGACGATCATAGTTTTATTTGAAATTTTAAGATGAAATTATTTTTAAAGATGAAACACAAAAATAAGCCATTTTATGGAAGTCGATGTGGCCTTGGGTCATTCGACCGTCGGTTCTTTGATTTAAAATTGATTTAAAAAGTATTGCTAAAAAATATATTAAAGAAAAAATTATATTTGTTTTATAAATACGTATGACGCAGTGTTACATACGAGACAGGATTATATTCATAATAAAGTAATTATATTGAATATACTCGTAATATGAAAATAAGCCTATTACTGCTATTCGAATGTTATGGAGCTCAGTATCTAAATTTAGTTGCGGCATTTTTACTATACATATTTAGATAATAAATAATAGAAGAGTAACGTGACGGAGTCGCGACGGTCGCGGGACGGGCGCGGGACGGGACGGGACGCGACGCCCCCGAGCTACATCCCGTGGGGCTCCAGTCCGTGCGTGTAGCACCATGGGATTCAGCTCAGGGCCGCCGCAACTAACATCTACTAACATCAAACCCGACCCATGTGTAAAACGCTTCTGCTTACCACTTGTGTATTAACGCTTTGTGTTTATATGCGTCTGTAAACGTCTTTATTTCACATTTTGTTGTTGTTATTGTGAAAATGGTTTCTTTTCCTGAATGCGAGATGGTTTTGTGTTTGTTAATAATTAATATAAATATATACATGTTAAAATTGTTGTGTTATATGAATATAACATGTTGTTAGTCTTGTATATGTGTTACTGTATTGTTTTTTGTGTATATAAGTGGGTTGAATTTTTTTTAATGAAATACGTGTAAAAATGTCAAAAGTGCCTATTTTTATTTTATTTTACTATGTAACATTCATCAGACAGAGTCATTGTTTTTAACCGACTTCCAAAAAGGAGTAGGTTTTTGATTTAGTATTGAATCATCTTTTTATTTTTCGATAGAAATTAATTTGTATTTGGCCCTTTTTAACATCTCGCTACTGAGCACGGGGGATTCCACCATTCAGTGCGGAGGGGTACCAAGCTATAGTCCACTAAGTTGGCCTAAGGCGTCGGCTAAGACGGACTTAACAAGTCATTCGAAAACAAGTGTTTCTTAACTTGTGTCAGATCTATACATAGTATAAAACAAATTCGCTCCAGCTGTTTGTACGGTTAAATCCTTTAAACTACGCAACGGATTTTGATGCAGTGTTTAGCAATAGATAAGCGTGATTCAAGAGGAAAAATAAAAAAGTGGGGTCTAATAATTCTCATTTCAAATGAACTGTCACAGAGTCAGAGGGAGGTAAATAAAGTGAAATGAACAAGATATAACATGAGTCATCTCAATTCCAGAGCCGCTAGAGTTGGAGCCGTTCCTAGCGCTGGAGCCGCCGATGTCGGCCAACGACTACGGGTTCTGCCTCGACCACGACGAGGGCCTCTCGGAACTGTTCGACTTCGAGTTCTAGTGCGCGTGTGACGTGACTCATATAGGTTAGGTCTATAGCTAACGCTTGTATTGCAATTCACTACACTATTGATTGGTATACGTTATGTTTTATTTTATTTTTTATGTATGTATGTATGTATGTATGTGTGTATTACTGTGAAGACTGTTTAATGGTAAATTTTAGGTTAAACTAGTAAATCTTAGGTTTTATTGGAAAATTTTAGCATTTACCGTAGTTCGGGCTTTTACAGTAACAATTATGTATGTATGTCATATTGTATGTATGTGTAACTTTGTCCTCACTAATTCTGTACATGCTGTTTGGATGTTGCAATCAATATGATATCAAAAATAGTGTGGTCTATTGCCGTACAAGTAAAACTTAATTCAGCTAAGCTGAAATCTTTCAAACGAACTATGCACAAACTCTTGAGGAAGTTTCGTACGCTTATTGTACAGTTTTATTTGTCGGTCGTGAATTGAATACGTTTTAATATACACGCAATATATAACATCGAATCTGCAATAGATTGTATGTAAAAATTATTATTTGATTCATGCTTTTTTTTTATCCTTTCATGGCATCGGTTTTTGTGGTTTAGAAAGTATGGGGACATTAAAATTTTATGAAGCATTCAAAATGCTATTCATATCTTTCATTTACAAATTAATTTTATAATAATTATTATCATCATCAGTGTCTTAATTAGATGTATAATTTCATTTATGAATGTTTTCATATTTATTAAAACGCAAAAGCTTAGTGTGGAGAAGTAAAGGTAAAGCATGTCGGCCGCACTGTACATAGTTTCGCTCAAACCGGGCCGTGCCCGATGTACATATTATATCGTGTGTAAAAAAAATATATAATGAATCGTGATATCTTAGCGGCCTTCGATTTACTTGTAAAGCTAGCTGTTAACGTCCTATATCACTCTGGATACGGTTTGCTATTTGCATTTTTTTTTTCGTTGTCATTCACACATCGGTGGGGTATATGCTCTGTTGTTTTTTTTTAAAGTTTTTTTTAAATCCAAATTCTTATTTTATTTTTGTCTTATTATATATAGTTAATATAAATATAGTCATTTTTTTTGAATAATGTGAAATTCTGAAACGGTAACATTTCCTTTCACGAAAATGGGTGTAATGTGTACTAAATAGTGCATATGAATGTGTCAAACCGTAATCGATGGAATAGATGAAGATGTGCATTTTAAAGCTTGCACTTTAACATGGCAATGTGTACAACACCAACGCTGACCCGCTTTCGTGAGATGGAATCTCAGAACGTAACAGAATGATAAAACATTTAATATAATGATATTGTTACTATATTTATCATATATTTTTTTGTTTTATTCATAAAATTCTAATCAATTTGGTTTGGTTATATTGTCGACTAAAGTATGTATTAAATATGATTGTAATTTTCACACCTTATAAATGCTTATACCCCACCACCGTCAAATATGTGAAAATCCTTAAAACCGTCGTTTGCCAAATATTTAGTTATAACTACGATGTTTCACTTTATTTAAGTTTTATTATCATTTTAGACGACATTTGTAAATAGAACCGAGGGCGGCGGCGGACGGCTGAGCTATAGGATAACCATAACGAGCTATAGGTACCATGGTAACGATTTGTTTGAATAAAATTTTATGGTTTTTATACATTAACTCTGTACTCTCATAGACTAACGGCGGTTGTGAAAATTAAAAAATCGATGATTGTTTTAAATTGCTTCAATCGTTGTTAGCTATTTGTGTGCTAGCAATCGTCCGCAAGCCGCGACTCGCAATAGTGTACAGCACAAATTTCATTGTAAAAATCTATACATAAGTGCATATCAAAATAAATTTAATGTTAGATATAATTTTAATGCACGTGAACGTTGCGGAGATGGAACCTGGTCGTGTGGCGAGTGCGTTGATCTGTTCGAACTGTCGACATCCATTATTTATATGTCCCGTAGGTTCCCGTAATAGAGAAGACTGTATTAAATATATCGACAAATTTATCATAATATTACGATTTGTACGAATAAAACCTAATTAATTGTATTTAAATTAATTTTATATGTATCGCGATTCTCATGCAGCCAGCTGCGTGTACCGTTTGTTTTGTTTAGTGGATGTATCTAATTCAACACTATGAGAGGTATTTGAAATTCAATAATCGGAATAAATAATTTAATGAATTGGAATAAAAAAAAAAATAACAAATGAATTTTAGGCGCTTTTTCAATATTGTTAATCGATAAGTTTTATATTTTGGTTTGATAGGTTTTTTTTGAATGTTTAGTTTTTTTTAGCGCGTCGACATTTACTGTTGTATTCCTGCGACATGTTTCTGTCGGCGTTGCTGTCTTTTTTTTAGTTTATATATGTTGGGAGAAATATATCAAAATCTATCTCTTTAAAGTTACCTTCGTCGTGGACGAGTCTGTCTGCTTCTTCATAGCAATACCGTTGGTGAAATAACTCTTTACAAAAACTTTTTTTTTCGTTTGAACTATTTTATGAATTGTTTATGACACAAATTCTGGGGCCAAAACAAACGAGAAAGGAAGTACAAATTAAACAAAATTTTTCTCGTAATTTAGTTAAGGTTTCTACTCTACTTCCATGTTATTATTGATCGATTTTTGTTTTAAAATTGTATTTTGTAAAATCATCATCATCATCGATATAATTCATTGTTATTTAATTTTTGTTTGCCTTTAGAACGTGTATGTCTCCATTGTAAGCCTTAGTATTTATTTTCTGTGCACCAAAACGTATGTATGAACCACTGTGAGTGTTACCAACTCGATGTGACCTAATTTATCTAATTTAGTGAAAAAGATTACTGAAATAGGTAGTGCGCTACAGCTCTTTTATATTTGACATGTACACAAAATATTAAATAAACTTGTAAATATGTATTATTTAAAATGAAAATTCAACGGGCGATCAGTCAATATGGTGCATTTCAAACACAAAAGAGCTGAAGAGCTATATGAAAATTGAGACAAAGTATAGTTGTTATGATGTAAAATATGTAAGGTTATTTCAATTTCCATCGCCTCGGCAGTTTCGGGAGGTGTCGACCTATTTACTATATGTAATATAAGAACCTCATACTTACGCTTATATCATAGGATCGTATCCGCAGTTCATTTCAAGCAGCCAGCCTCCTCGGAGTGAACTGCCAGAGCAACCATTGTATAAAACTGTTACAACGATTTTAACCGACTTCCCGAAAAGAAGGAGGCTCTGTATGTATTTTTCAGTCCGTACAGACGTTGCGTCGGTCGACGGTCCACAGGGTCCTAATGTAGAACGTTTCGATTCAGACAATGTTCGTTATATGCGCTATCATTTTGTATGGAAATAATTTTAATTGGACCTAATATCGATATTTCGTGCAGTTAGCTATTCGCGGTACAACACTAGTGTTATCAATTTATTCGCACTTTTGAAATCGATTGAATCTGTTAAAATTATTTTCGGCGGTGAGTGACAATCGTCGAAATCTAGGTTTCTGTGGTTTATTCTTTTTTATTTTACTTATTATTGTTTGGTTCTTTTTACTTTTTAGTTTTTTGATACTTTTTAATGTTTGCATGATCAATTTTATGTATACAAGGGGGTTGAACAAGATGTACTACAATCGTTGAAGAATGGACATTTTAGGAATTCACTGAAACGACGAGTTAATCATCATGTCACAGAATAATAATATATTATATATTTTTTGGGTAATGTCTTTTCCATTTTTCATGACATTTGCGAAGTAATCTTTGCATCCTTTGAAGCCATTAACAAGAGAATTGAATTGAATATTTCTTGAATTTCTATTCTCCAAAGATTGTTAAATGACGTCTCGCTTAAGCCCGTCTCATTGGACAGCAGAATAAACCACTATTGACGATTGAATTTGAAATTGTAATTTTGCATTGTACTGTTGTACCATTCACTTGTGCTGCGAGTGATCGACCGCTGTGAAGGTATATATATCGTATTGCACAAGAACCTAAACGTCCAGATGACGCTTTTAGATTAATAATGTTAGGAATTTAATTAGCAGGTCAGCGATTTACTGCGGTGGATCATTTGCAATACAGTTTGTAATGTTTTAGCGGTGACTCTGTACAAGTTTTGCTTTTGTAGCGCAATGGTTGAATGTTTTACATTAATATATTTTGGACGAGACGAGTGAATACGGACATTTTGGACGGTTAGTGTGTAATATGTTTTTCGGTTTATTGTAAAATTGAAGGTGCAATGTTATATAATGGTGTATTTAAGATGGCGGACGCTGCTAGCGCCGGTTGTTGATGCGTTCGGACGGTATTCCTTTGTGTGAAGACTGAGGTTGATTATTCCAGTTTCGATGAACGTGCGAGTTATTTGTTGATTGAATTTAAATATAAAGTCATATATATAGTTAGGTTATATTTTTTAATAAATATAATATTGAGATATGTAATATACAAATGTCTTTTATTTACCACTTATATATAATATGTATGTATAAAGCTAATAAGTTCGTGAATGGTTTGAGAATGTTTTTATGGAATTATATTGGATATAATTTTAATTTATTAATATGTACATTTATTATTATTAGTTTACAAAGTATATGTAAAAATATGTGAAGGCTTATATTGAAAGTTGTGGATTATGTTAGGATTTAGACTAATCTTTGATCAACAATTATACTAGTAATCGTGTCGGCGTAAGAAATCAGTTTCCGTAAATATAAGCTCACTTGTAAAGTGAGCGTATATTTCGATTAGTTCTATTGAAACTGCCAACGTAAACAATTTCACAAGGCCGCAATGTGTATTTAAAAGTTGCAAAAATAATGCGCGATAAAGAAATTTTTTGGACGGAGTGTCTTATTTTCGTTAAGTACATGTAGATTAAGTCAATATTTTAAGATTTTACAATTTTAAATAGGCTAAGAACGTTTGGCGAAATTCTAAGAAGCAAACAGAAACAAAACATAACGATTTAGCTCACAAAACAAATTTAGCAAGAACGGGAAAAAATGCTTTATTTGTTTTGTTATAAGGTTGAAATTACAATAAATATTATAAAACTTGCGAAATGGTCGTAAGTGTATGATGATAATTTGAAGATTTGTGACTTTATTACAAGGTGCTATGGTGTTGATTAGCTTGAAAATAAAACTATTATAAGACTGTCTTGGTTCTTTAGTATACAAATGTAGCTGTATATGTGCATATTTGCGCGGACAGAATTTAGCTTTGATTTTGTATGTGACACGTTATCTAGTAGTATTGTTGTTCGAAGAGACTAACCCGATTTTGTTCTGGCGATATAATATATGCATAACATTGCCATTTTACGAGATTATATTTTGTTAGAATAAGACTGTTATACATGTTCCGTTTTATTAGGCTAAACATTCTTATTTGATAGATCGCAAGACTCATTATGTGCTGCCAGTTACAATCTGATCTTAAACAGGAGATGAAACCGTTCAGATATACATACACTGTCATACATACATTGTACAAGTTTACTCACTATACATAATGAAAAAAAAAGCTTAACAGATCGACTCCTTACAATCCTTACACTAAAAGTCAAGGTAACATGAGACTTGAGCAGTTACAAATTTATATGGAATATGTTAGGGTACGTATCGAATACTTTACTATTCGGACGAATCACGATCATTTTCCGTATAGATATCGTACATATATAAAATATTTATTTCCGTATACAACAATATTTGCTTGAATAATTATAATTAACTAAGGACTAGTTGATATATTAACAGATTAAAAATTATATTTTACATTACATACATTATGTATTATAGAAGTATTCAAATAATAACAGGTTGCACTTTTTTAACTTGCTTCAAGAGTTAAAATTGAATGATTTCTCTTTCGGCTATAACTATACATATAATAAAATTCTAACTGAGTCAAATCTGTACATTAAATATTTTTTGGAAAAGCTTATTGAAATAGACATTATTATCGATACAGAGGCCGAATCTATAGTTTTTAGAATTTTTGTCTGTCTGTCTATCTGTCTGTTACCGCATCACAGAAAAACTACTGGACGGATTTTGATGAAATTTGGTATGGTCATAGCTGATTATCCGGATCAACTACCGCAGAAAAATATCTAATTTCTGAGAAAAAATACAAAAATTGGTTAGAATAAAATACGATGATACCTATATACATTTTAGCAAGTTAACTTATTAAATATGACAAAAACTATTAAAAATAGTTAACCTTGAAAAAGTATATCAATAGCACTATTTTATTCATTAATAAAGTTATTTTGATAATATTTATTTTTGTATTTTTAGATATTTCAATTTGTCAATAGATGTCGCCATGTGTCTTTAAAATAGGTAGTTTTAATTCCAAAAAATTGAATGTCCCTTCTATGATTTTATTAGAATTACTACTAAATTACCCGCGGCCCCGCCCGTGTTCAAATTATCAAAAAACAATCTTTTTGGCTTTATAAATTAGTTACATCTATAGATACATTGAAATTTAATTAAGCCGATCTGTGCTTTAAATATTTTTTGGAAAATCTTATTGAAATACACATTATTATCGCTAACAGAGGCCGAACCTATAGTTTTAAGAATTTCTGACTGTCTGTCTATGACCGCATCAAAGAAAAAAATCTGGAGGGATTTTGAAGAAATTTGGTATGGTAATAGCTGGTTATCCGGCTCAACTAATATACTAATACGAGTATAGTAATATGTAAAACCTAAGTTTGGTTTTGGTCATATGAACGCGGGCGGAGCCGCGGGCAATGCTAGTGTACATATAAGTACAGATTACAATATTTTTGTTATAAAATTAATTAAGTATGGCCCAATTTAAACTTACACGAATTTAAAAACTACCACCAAAATTTGACCTCTAAGAAAAAATCCACACCATGAAGTTGAGGTTTTATAGCGTTTCTTTCGTTTGGTTTCTGCGTTAACACAAACTTATTTTTTAATCTGTCCACATTCGTGGAATGTATAGAACTATACGTATGCATATACAAACCAATATTTTAATTTATTAAAATACTGCTGTATATTCTAAATGTACACAGGTAAATGAACTAAGTTAAGGGTCCCTTATATCATATGTGTGTTTCTTTATGGCTTAGAACTGCGTTAACAGACGCAATTCATTTTGTCAGTGTCACGTTTTGTGAGGAAGACGCTTCATGTTGGGATGTTTATATCAATAAGTTGCTGTCAATATTGTCGTTTTATTAAAAGTTGTTTGACCAATATTCGCATCAATGGCACTCTGGGACCTTTTACAATTACATTAGTCTACAATGAAATTCTGTACAGGGAAATCTTTAAAGGACGTGCTCCAAATGTCCGTAAAAGCGGTGCTGACGAGGTCGTTGATGAGCGGCCGGATGACTGCGAAGCCTGGCTGCCAAGCTGCGTTTATAATACGATCCAGTATGTTTTCTGAAATTATATATTATGAAATTATTAAGTTTTGTTATTGTATACTATAGGTACATTTGATATTTTATTTAAAGATTATATATTACTAGCATTGCCCGCGGCTCAGCCCGCGTTCATATGACCAAAACCAAATTCTTAGGTTTTATATATTACTATACTCGTATTAGTATATTAGTTGACCCAGATAACCAGCTATTACCATACCAAATTTCTTCAAAATCCCTCCAGTGATTTTTCTGTGATGCGGTCACAGACAGACAGACAAAAATTCTTAAAGCTATAGGTTCGGCCTCTGTTAGCGATAATAATGTGTATTTCAATAAAATTTTCAAAAAATATTTAAAGCACAGATACTTCTTCATTAAATTTTAATGTATCTATAGATGTAACTAATTTATAAAGCCAAAAAGATTGTTTTTTGATAATTTAAACACGTGCGGGGCCGCAGGTAATTTAGTAGTAATTCTAATAAAATCATAGAAGGGACATTCAATTTTTTGGAATTAAAACTACCTATTTTAAAGACACATGGCGACATCTATTGACAAATATCTAAATAATACAAAAATAAATATATTAAAATAATTTTTTTAATGAATAAAATACTGCTAATAATATACTTTTTCAAGACATATTAATTAATTAATATTAATATTATGACATAGTAAGTTGCCAAAATCTATATAGTATCATCGTTTTTTGATTCTAACCAGTTTTTGTATTTTTTCTCAAAAATGAGCTATTTTTCTGCGGTAAAAATTATCCTATATGTTGACCCGGATAATCAGCTATGACCATACCAAATTTTATCAAAATCCATCCAGGAGTTTTTCTGTGATGCGGTAACAGACAGACATACAGACAAAAATTCTAAAAACTATAGATTCGGCCTCTGTATCGATAATAATGTCTATTTCAATAAGATTTTCTAAAAAATATTTAATGTACAGATTTGACTTAGAATTTAATTATATGTATAGATTATTTTTATCATATTCTAGCGTTTCATATACTAGGTACGATTTAACGGTTAGTATGGAATAGAGAGACTATACATTATATGATATTTAGCCTATATAGCCTTCTTAAATAAATGGGCTATCTAATACAAAAAAGATTTTTTCAAAACGGATCAGTAGTTCCTGAGATTAGCGCCTTCAAACAAACAAACAAACTCTTATCTCTTTATAATATTAAGTATAGATTAAGTTTTTTATTTTTCTTGCCTAGATAATGCATTTGTAAAAATAAGCTGTATGAAATAAATTGACTATTATAGACTGTAATTTTGACAAGAAGTTTTCAGCGTCACGTTTTATCCTAGTGTACACAAATTAACGATTGTGTTTTTGTTGATGTAATTAAGATATAACTATCTCCAAGGCACTCGTACAACATATATTTCATCGTAATCGAACAAAATGTATATAAATTTTATAAATGAGATGACTTACCCATGACACTTCTCCCTCTGAGCAAGTTTCCAACATGTACGTCCATGTCACCGATGTTGTCCACCTCGACGTGCACGTCCACGCCGGTGCCGTTACGTTTTATTCGTGTCGTTTGAGAATAGTCCCGTAGTGTAAGGTTCCAGTTGCCGGTGCGAAGCACTTCTAAACCCAACATATCTCCCTAGAAACGCGATATTTGTTGTAATTAGTCTTAAAATTGTAGATTTACTAGATTTCGGCCACGGAGGTCAATATCTCACTAAAAAGCCAGATGCGCAGGAGATATTAGTGACAGTGATATGACCGGTGAGAGTTATGACTTACGGCTTTACGTATTTTCCGAGGCACGGGAGTGAAACACCACCGTCAACTTCCCAACTTCGGGCTACTACTGAGAATATCTTAACAGAAAATAAACTTGGACCGACCCGGCGCTTGAACCCAGAACCTCTGGATCTGCAGTCGTACATGCTAGCCGCTACACCACCGAGGCAGTTAACAAGTAATGCTCTACCATACTTTATTTTATAAAAGTACCTGGGCGACCTTTTCCTAGGCGCTCGTTTAGTAGGTTATCATTCATTGGCGACAATGCAATTACCACAAAAATTACGAGATATGATATTGTCAGCATGACAGCAGATATAAAAAGGGTAATTTTTAGGTAAAAAAATGATTTTGTGTGAAAATTTGCGTTTTTTTCGGAAAAGATACCTATATATTATATAAGCAAAACTTTATTTAAATACAAAATTTGATCCAAATCATTTGAGTCGTTTCCGACATACACGAGTTAGACTTATTTATGTATACGAGTATTTATACAAGAATTTTTCGTTTAATATGAGAAGGTAACTTAATTATTCATAAATTACACCACTTTGAAAACGAATATTTAGAACAGTTTTCTCTAAAACTTCTGTAGACTGTAGTCAAAGGTAGGTATCTATAAGTGGATACGTTGTTTTAAATGTTAATAACAGTTGAAAATTACCTACCTTAAATTCATATGTTCCTTCAAGCCATTTTTCAGGAAAATATTGAGAATATATAATGCGCTGATTCGCCCAATCCGTTCTAAAAATGAAAAAAATATATATTAAACACAGATGTGTTTAGTTACTTATATAAGAAATCTATACATATAGTAAAATTGTAACTAAGCCGAATCTGTACATTAAATATTTTTTGAAAAATCTTATTGAAATAAACATTATCGATACAGAGGTCGAATCTATATATTTTAGAATTTTTGTCTGCCTGTTTGTCTGTCTGTTATCGCATCACAGAAAACCCACTGGAGGGATTTTGATGAAATTTGGTGTGGTGATAGCTGGTTATCTGGGTCAACATATAGGATACTTTTAGGGCAATGCTAGTTATTAATAAAGTAATTACCTACTTAGATATATCGTACGTATCTTTTGTTGCAATCGCGTTACGTAGTACGATAGGCTAAAAATTTGTTCTAAAATAGCGTAAGGTAACTCACTTGTATTTGGTAACAGTAGATTGCGACCAGCCCCTCTCGAAAACGTCTCGCAATGTCAGTCTATATCCCATACCGAAGATCGAGCGAATTTGCTTTACTTCTTTAGCAAAATGTGGGTCGAAGGGCGCTACACCCATATCTGGTATGCCTGAAAGAACAATGTTATTATATTGGTAAGTATGGAAATTGCTATAAAAATATGACATTCTATTATTTATATTAAGATGTTTTTAGTTACGTTTACATTAATATGATGATATATTTGTTAATAATGATCCCTCGTAGATATATCCCTAGAAATGTATATAATTTGTGATAGCAGTTCCAACTTCCAAAACCAAGCTCGGCAACATGATTATATTGTAGAGTAGTGAATTAACTTCATCATTATCTTGAAACTGCCATTATACAGGACACAGGGCGTGGCATTGAGAGGATATGCTTGTATCGCTTGATTGATTGAAGATAGAGCATGGAACTCCATGCTCTATCTTCACCAAACCGATACAAACATATCTTAACATAAATTCTTAACTAAGAAACAACCGCATACAGTGTAGGTAATATCAAACGAATGAAAAAATCAAATAGTATTTTTCCAAAACTTAAATTTCTTGATATAAATTTATTTAATACTAGCGACTTTCCCCTAGCTTCGCTCGGGTGCGTCCCTGTACTTGGGTAAGTTTTAAATAGACGAAAATAGTTATTGCGAGTGTAGTAGAGTCAGTGGTTAGGAAATAGACATATGCTATTACGGACTTTGCTGACCTTCAATTTCTAAATTGTTTTGATGTATCTCTTAAGATTTAGTTAGCGTTAGCCATGTAATAAGGAGGACTCGATAAAACCAGTTTTTCCTAGAGTAAAAGGTTTATTAAAAGTAGACCCGAGTTATAACTATAAGTTATCACTGAATAAAATTGAGTTAAAATCTGTTCAGTACTTTTTCCGTGAAATGCACACAGATATACAGACAAACTGACAAAAATTTTAATATCTATTTTTAAATTTATTCCATGTACAGATTTCGCTTTCTTACTATTTTATTAAAGATGAATTTAAAGATGTTATCTACATAATAAGAAGCCGAATGGATCCGTTCACGTAACTTCCGTGAAGGACGCAGCATATTCATATTATGATGTTAAATGTAGATGCCATAGCGCCCGTAACTACGCAATCACTCAAGTGAGTGGCTTTCCTCACCTCTTTTGAAATATGGCCGGAGTTTGTTGAAAGCTCGCTTCATACATGCGTCGAAGTCAGATGATTTTTTCTTACAAGGTGAAAATATTTTTTCTGTAAATTTAATTAAATTATTAAAAAATGTCTTGAAGATTAAATTCGACCAAGTAATAAACTATAATCTTTTTAATTGCATTAGTTGGATAATGATATTAAATTTGTTTTACTTTGATGTTATAAATATAAATCAACATTATATATAGTAATACATCTTTGCATGTATATAAAAATTCTAAGTGACAAAAATCTAGGTATATAACATTCATTACACAAACTTCTTCATATTATTTTTAGTATTTCTGATAAATAACTAAAATAGTAGGCTATAAAATAATTGTCCTTTTGCACATACATATTTATGTGTATGTCAGAGAAACTGAAATTGAATTTATTGTGTGAGGTAACAACACACCAGAGTCGACTTCTATTTTATTCAAGTAAGAATTACTTTTTAACAAAAGTTTTAAATAGGTAATTACTTATTGCGCCCTTGTAGATATTTTTCTTTATATTTATATGTGCAAAATTTGGACATGATAATATTGTTAAAAAAAAGAATCACGAAAATTGCTTTACCTACCATTGTCGAAGATACGCGATCGTAGGTATGTATGTAATAAAAAAAAATGTGTCTCGACTTTTTAAAGCGGTCAAGCCTTGTTTTACATTGTAGAATTGAAGTTCAAAATAAAAAAAGACAATTTATTTTAACTACTATATTATAAAGATGTTAGATACAAATGCTAGCAATTACGAAGAGAATTTTGTTATTTTTAAATTTATAATGGAAACTTAAAAAACATGTATGCATCGAGATCTATCAGTTACGACAGATATTTCACCACACGCGCGACCTTTACAGATAGGTACCACAGGAATACGATGTTGTAAACAAAAAACCTGTACGAAAATTGACTATTTGACCGAGTGAGCGAAGGGTCACTGCTTCAAGTTTGGTAAAATTTGCTTTTCTCTGTCAGTTTTTTGGTACTCTACAGGTTTTATAACCTATCTGGACGACACTTGGTAAACAAATTTAACGACTTCGACTTTACGATTTTTTTTGTCATCAGGGATTTTTGATGGGAGGGATACTTCCTCCAAAAAGGGGAACAAAAGAGGCTCCTGGATATGTCCGCCTTATCAGATCCGATTTTGATAGTTTTTTTATATTCGAAAGTATAAAGTTACTTTTTAGTTAAGTTGATCTCATAAAATTTTGGTGAAGATCTGATGATGATCTTCGGCGTGATGCGCAGAATAGCTCCTCAAAATGCAGTTTGTGCTCGCGAGATCTTCTGTTCGCAGAACTACTAGAATTTAAATTTGTAAAGTGAAAGAAGTCATGTTTAATATTGGTCTTGTTTTATTTTACTATGATTAATAATAATAAGTATTTGACCTGGATTTCGCTAAGAGTCGCTCTTAATCCCTTATTTAGGTTTCATTTTTTATTGGATTGAAATAGACGATTGAAGAAAGTTTTAGCTGATTTTGACTCCAGAAAGGATTCAAGCGAATGTGACTTAGAATTATTAATCGAGAAAAAATGCTTGTAAGTAACTAAACTTACGCTTCGTTTACGCTAGTTTGCGTTCTTAGTAGGGTTTTGTTCCCGGGATGTCTCGTGTCTCGAAGTCCCGATACTTTTTGTAAATTTATTTGTCTTGGGTCCCGACCGAGACCTTCGGGTCGACTCGAGACACTTTTTACTAAGAATTTAAGTAAAACTGCTTACTGCACTTATTGCGTTTACGGAAGAACTGTATTGTATTGAACTGTTCTACGCCACCTGTATGTCTAAAGTGTGTGTAAATGCATTTTCCAACATTATAAAAAAGTATAAGGCCTATACTACTAAGCTTGTCGTCAGAAGATATGAAATTAATATTTAAGCAAAAGAGTGAACGAATATATGTGTATATGAATATTTTTTTGTGGAAGAAATATTAAGACTAATATAAAGTTAATATTAGATACGTAAGAATTGTATTTCACTGTATTATACGGAAAAGCGATGTTTAATACATTAATTCAAGTACTACCCGGAGCGGAATAGGAAGAACATGGCAAGTAAATTAGTGATACTTTATATAATCATCAATAAATCGATTCAATAATGATTTTCTAATGAGTATCGTAACGATTTCTGTCGTCATAATTCGCATTTTTTGTCAAATTTGAAGGTTATATAACACTAGCAGAACCCGCGGCTTCGCTCGCGCTAAAACTACAAAAAGACTAAAAAGGTAGGCTTCATACAAACTTTCATACCCTATTTTACCCCTTTATGAGAATTTCGAAAAATGCTAAAACACGTATTTATTTAATTGTGTTAAAGAGCATTAATACCAAGTTTCAAGTAATTCTGATCATAAATAATTTTTTCGGTTGTATTTTAACGTGTTTTCTCGTGGTAAGTAGATCTCCCGCGGTAAAAAGTAGTCTATGTCACTCTCCAGACTTTCAACTATCTTCACACAAAAAATCACGCCAATCCATCATTTCGTTTTCACGTGAAAGAAGGACAAACAAATAAACAAACAAATAAACAAATTTTCACATTTTATAATATTAGTATATAGATATAGGTATGGATAAGGTTCATCTCTTGTTTATCTAATTAGGGTTTCAAAACATTAACTTCATATTAGTAAAGAATATATAGAATCAGATCAATAGTGTCAGGGATTGTCCCCTACATCCAAAATTACAAATTTTTAAATTTTACCTCTATATTATTAGTAGATAGATTACATATGTAAGTTTTTATTTATCGATTTTCAAATACTTTAATTTATAACTCCAAATTCATTATAATTTTAGTTCTAAGATATATTATGTTAATTATTGTAATTTTAATCAGGTGGGATAGTCCACCACGGCCAAATACAGGTTGGCTCATTTCGAACGTCATTCAAAACCTAGTTTGGATCTCTGCGATGTGGAAGTTTCCGCAGGATGTATTTCTTTAATCTAGAAAGTGGTTACTGATGAACATATTTAAAATGATTTGTATATGAAAATTTAGAGGTACGAGATCAAGGTTTGATACGATATTGTGTTATTAGGTATTTGTTTTAGATTGTATTCAGCCCTTTTTAACGTCCCACCGCTGGGCACAGGCCTCCCTTCAGTACGAGGGGAATCAAGCCATAGTCCACCACGCTGGCCAAGTGCGGGTTGGCGGACTTCACATGTCTTTAGAAAACTTGCTAGGGTCTCTCAGACATGCAGGTTTCCTCACGATGTTTTCTTTCACCGTTAATACAAGTGGTAATCATGTTGGAAATGATTCGCACATGAAAATATTAGAGGGCCGAGACCAGGGATTTGAATTCGCTTCACTCTATTTCCCAAGCGAGCGCTTTACCACTGGGCTAACAGTGCCTTGTTTTAGAATATGTTGTTCTTATTTTATGACGCGAGTTGGTTGTAATGTTTTATTGCCTTAGTGATTTGTCACTACGGTGCTATAGCTAACAAAAATGGCTTAAAATAAGCGTTTTGTCATCTTTGCAAATAATACATCATCATATCTATATTTAAACTACATACAAAAACACACTAGCGACTACTAGGCTTTGTCTAGGTACTACTAACTATGTGAGCGTGCGTATGAAAAATTGAACATTCCTAGTACTGAGTGTGCAAATAAATAAATGAAATCGACTAAGTGCGAGTCGAATTCGCACAGGAAGCATTCCGTATATATACTTTTTATTAATACGACTTTTACTCTATGTATGTAGTATATTAACTTGATGACCGATTACGAACGTTAAATAAATGTTTCTTGTACTTTTATTTTTTATTTTTATTATTTGTTGTTATAGCGGCAATACAAATACATATTCTGTGAAAATTTCAATTCTCTACTTATTACGGTTCACGAGATACAGTTTTCTGGCAGACGGACAGATGAACGGACAGCGAAGGCTTAGTAATACAGTTCCGTTGGCGTCTTTTATTTATTTATTTTAATTTCGATATCACGCGGAAACCACATTTGAGCGAATCCGATAATCTGATCAATTTATATATATGACACACAAACAGATTTAACGACAGAAAACTATTAAAACGTAAAATTTAGTAGATATTATTGTACGAAGTCAATATATATTATTCTTGAGGTCTTTTTGAGGGTTGCTTAAGATAAGACATTAATTTTTGGGAGACTGTATACCTGTATGTAAGCCAGCCAGAGATAAATAATTTCAACATTATTAGAATGCGCCAAATATACTATTAGGACCTTCTATAATATTTTGTAATATTGCTTAATAGATTGCGATATTAGCAGATTTTTTTAAATTATCGTTACAAATGATTCGATTTACCGATAGTTGGTTTTTACAATAATATTTATTTAATAGCATGTGCAATAATGATTGCAAAATGTCTTTAACATCCAAAAAAAGTTTATATAAGAGCCGCAATTTGACCCACATTTGTCGGTGGCATTGAAAATAGTGATGGGGGGGTTTTTAGACGTTTTAATAATTAGATTACACTAATTATAAATCTGATAAATTTTATTATTGTTTTATTTTCATGAACAATTTCATGTATTACGAAATAATAAAAATAAAAATTAATAATAAAAAAAGATAACTTTAATGTTTCTTCTAATAATCTTCATAATAATGATTAGACATTTTCATTTCGATAGAGTCAATTTTTGACTTTAAAGAAAATGAATTTTTTTCAAATACGTATATATATTTTAAATTTTGTTTTTTAAATAAATAACGGTATAAGTTATATATTGTTTTCTTTGTACATATATTAAAATATAACACACTTACGTATTTCAACAACCTCCTTTTCAGAACAACATATTTGTACATAGCACAGCACTATGGCACTAACACCGAATATAAACATTGGATGGCGCATCTTTGAGCGATACCTATCTATTTAAAACGAATAAAAATCGACTGTAATATTTACGGTGATATATGAATAAATCGAGATAATTTATATTTTTATCAATAAATTTATTAATAAATTTAACTATTTTGACCGTACAGCAAAGTATAGTTGTTGCTTTTGAATGTTGTTTGTCAATGCGAGGGCCTGCGAAAGTCCCCCTACCAGTAACTTGCGACACTGCACTGATGACTTGGACTGTATACTGATACTGAATATGCACGAGTATCTGCAACTCTGTTTACATAAATAAGTCGAATTTATCGATAAATACGAGTTTTTTTTGCAACTACGATTTAAGAATTATTATTAATTATGGGAATATATTATTATTAATAATGGGAAAATATTTATGGGAAAAGTTCTCATAGAAAAACTGCTTCGATCATGTCCAGATTTGAACAAGATATACTTGCTCATGCGCCCGAAACGGGGGCAGAATATTAAAGAGCGTCTCGACGATTTTATTAATTGCAAGGTAAAATAACAAGTGTTTTTTAAAACTTCATAAAATTTACACAAATATTTGACATGGAATATTACATATTATTTAAACATATTTTTATTTATTTATATGATAAAGTAACATATCAAAGTATAAAAATATTAGAAATATATTGCGTAATAATCAAGATAATTTAAATGAAAATTAATACTGTTATTTTTGAATAATGATAGAGTTTTCACGAAAAATTTCTTAATTAAATAATAAGAAAATTATTTATATCTTATTGTTTCAAAAAGATTTTTTAAGATATTTATAAAAAATATCTTAAAAATACTTTTTTTTTCGTATAAAATATTTCAAAATACAAAGCATTAAATTTTATTTTACACTTTTCTGTTGAAAATTTTATTTTAATTTTCTATTATATTTTACAAATATTATTAAGTGCAGATAAATGAGGTAACTTCACAAGGTTTAAGTACGAAATGATCCGCTTTTGAAAACTCTTAATTTTTAGGGATAGAGTTTTTTTATTTCCGTATATCTTTTTTGGTTCCAGTGGGATAATAGTATGCTCTAAATAAAACAACAATTTTTAAAAATAAAATTCTGACTCCTTTCTTTTTCTTTTTCTTCTTCTTTCTGATTCTGGATCCGCTCGCATTAAAACGACTATAAAAACTAAACTCTTTTACATATTAGTACCTATACATACATAAATATATACCAATTTAGTATTGCGACGGTGCTTCACATCAGCTACATATGTGTTCCTTGACCCGAGTTCTAATAAATCTTTTTGTTTGTCCGATGTATGTATATAAGAGAGTCCACAATTACAATCAAGCATGTAGACTCCTGCATCTTGTAGAGGGATATGTTTGAGTTATATGACCAGTGCCGAATTTAACTTTAGCGCCGCCCCTGCGCATAGTAAAAAATGCTGCCCTATTATCGAAATTTTGAATTTAATATTGAATGTTTAAATTTTTTTATTTAAAAATATTTTGAAAAATGCAAAGAAATAATTTATAAATGATATCAATTTTTCGAAAAATGTACCTACTAGTTAATCTTTTTTCATTTTTTATAAAATAAAAAAAGTATTTTCGATAACACGAAGAATTTTTTTTCTCACTTTCCGAAATTTGCCGCCCTGGGTACTAGCCCCGAGTGCCCCTAGTGTGAATATATATGACTCTAAATTCGTAAACATTGTATTGTGTTCCCACTTTTTCAAAAGATAAAGGAGGAGAGTGCCTCCTTGAGCTTTTGTATTAAAAGTTCTCTTAAAGAAAATCACTTTGCAGAATATACGTTAAGTAGTTTTTGAGGTATGGAATATTTTTAGTTAATCGCTTTGTTAGTTTAGCAACCGCAAAACTAACTTTTTTTTTCATAATACGTTAAAAAAATTGTATAAAACTCGAACGTACTTTTCCGATCGATACATTAGTTGATATTGTAAAAACGTTAATATTCGTATTTAATTTTAGTGTTAAACTTACTAAATACGTAAGTAAAAAGAACAATATTTATTATTTAGCTCAAACAACAGTATTTAGTCCGACACCCTCGATACAGGAGTTGGACTTGCACTTGCCCAATTTTTATATTAAAAGATTTACAAAAATTTGCATTATTTGCTAAACGATAGCAAAAATTTACAAACATTTTATTAATTGAAAATTGTTTCACTTAACAACATACTACTAATACATAAGGCTGAGAAATTTGTTTTTTTGCGGGCAATGCTAGTTACTCTAATAAAATCACTTTAAAAACACATGGCGACATTAATTGACAAATAGCTTAATAACACATAAATAAATATTTTTCGAGAAAAGTTAACCAATAAAATGTTGCCTATTGATATAGTTTTTTTTTTATGAGAACTGATTTATAATTATTTTTTGCATTATTTTGTAAATTACTTTGCTAAAATGTTTATACCGTTAGTATGGTTTTATTCAAACTAGTTTTTGTATTTTTACTCAAAAATATGAAACTAAAAAACCGCAGTAAAAAGTATCCTATAAGTTGACCCGAACAATCAGCTATCACCATACTAAATTTAATCAAAATCCCTCCAGTGGCTTTCCCGTGATAGGGCTACAGACAGGCAGACAGAGACACAGAGAGACAGATTCAGCGTAGTTACAAATTTATTATGTGTATCTATAGATTAAGCTGTTAAATAATTACGATGGAATATAGGGAACCAACATACATACATACAGGTCAAACACATAACCCTTCTTTGGACTTCGCCGTAATCGGATAAAAATGTCTTATACGAATGATATATTATATCATACAATCGTGAGGATAAATAAAACTTGAAATAGAATATTAAGTATAATATATTCATTATAAAATTACAACTATAAGAATTTTCCATAAAATGTTTCACGACTGGAAAAAACCGATCAAGTGTATATCAATATCGGTTACAAGTGAGATACCTATAGCTTATATTTCTGCTTTATAATCAAGCTATTATGACAAAATTATACATATAAGTACAGGTGAACAGACGGGACATGGGAAAAATCTACCCTAAATGTTGAAGTTATCTTTCACTCCAAGGAACCTTTCCTATATTTTCCTACAAACAGAAAAACCGACAAATGGACATTTTTGACAACTATTTTTTGGGGTCTATATATAATACTTATATTATTATGTACAGATTTTGCTTTGTTTCTATTTTATTATTTGAATAGACAATAAATATTAATATACAATTAATAATAAATATACAATATAACATAGTATTAATTATGACATAGTAATAATTATGACATAGTAACGTATGTAGGGGACCCACCACATCTTCAATTAAGGACACAAACAGTTGCATACTTCAATCAATATGAAGGTTAATGATGGAATCCCATTTAAGGCCCGCTTAAATCGTTTTGTGAGTATGATGTTTATTATGTCATATAAGCATTACGATATCAACTACCTGTACCTTCTCTTCTTATTTTGTACTAGCGACTTACCCTCGCTTCGCTCGGGTTCGTCCCTAGCTCGCTTCCCAATGCAAACTTTCATAGCCATTTTCTAAGTTTCTGTGCAATTTTCTTAATTTTTTTAATGTAAGAACCTTCTACGAAGTATTAGAAAACATTTTGAAAAAAGATGAATGAAATCGGCAAAGCCGTTTTCAAGTTATAGCGTGACCAAGAGAAATAAGGGTTTATTTTATATATATATATATATATATATATTATATATATAGATAAGATAGTATTTATTTGAGTGTTTGTTTTTTCATATTTTGTTTGATTATTTGTTATACATACATTATTATTGCCATAGTTTATTTAAAATTAAAACAAAAAGACCTCGTACTTTCTCTTAATTATCTATTAAACCGATTTTAATGATCAATAGATATTTTTCTTGAATTTGATTTTGTAAGGAGTTAGTCGTTATGTAAAAAATCTTAATTTTTTATAGGTCCACACAAACAAAGTTAGTTAATTTAGCCTTGAACGTCTATTCGCATGAACAGGCAAAAACTGTATGAACTATGAAGCTCGCGCTTTGGACGCCCCGCCTTTTATACCAGCGGCCGCGAGACGCGTCGAGCGCGGCGACCGATTTATACAATAAAAATAATCCACATGAATCAGTATTCACGCGCGATGGCTTATTATTAGCGTATTTCATGTATAACTTTGGTGTTTCTATACCGATTTCTATGATTCTTTTTTATGGAATAGTTAATAATGTTAACTTTTTTAATTAGGGATGACTGAGATAAACGTAAGAGTAGACAAATATAAATCAGAAAGCTTCGAACTGCTAAGCTATCGGGAGTTACACGTGTTATTGTGAGTCAACCATAAAAGATAGACATATGCTGTCTTGGGATATTTTTTATATAATTTTAAGGAGAACATTTCCGTCATACATGATTTCTGTGTAGCTTTAACCAGTAAGGTTGCACACGCGACGGAAGCTTAAAAAATGGAGTAACTTCTCCCGTTTTCTCAACATTTCCCTTCACTGCTCTGCTCCTATTGATTGTAGCGTGTTGAAAAGTATACTTTAACCAGCTCAGGAGTATGAAAAATAATTGTACCAAGTTTCGTTAAAATCCGTCGAGTAGTTTTTGTTTCTATAACGGTTATACAGTCAGACAGACAGACAGACAAAAATTTTACTGATTGCATTTTTGGCATCAGTATCGATCCCTAATCACCCCCTGATAGTTATTTTGGAAATATATTTCATGTACAGAATTGACCTCTCTATAGATTTATTATAAGTATAGATTAAGTGAAAAGAAAGTTAGATGTATAAAGTAATAAGCTCTTTTGAATCGTTATTTTTTTTTAGGTACAGTGTATTCAGTTCGTGAGGAACATAACACTGGCCTACAGTGCAGCAGTGACCATGATCTCCGGATTATATTGAAGTAAATGAACCGTATAGCTCAAGTCATATCTTTGTATCTTCTGGCCAATTGAAATTAGATATGACATACATACGTATAATGTTTATATATTAGGCTATTAAGTATTAGGTAACAGGTGTAATTTAACTAATTCAGTTCCAAATGTCTGATGCATGAACCAATGAATAATGGTGTAATATTTATTAAATGGGGAAGCGTTAAAACCTATGGGGTTCACAAAATTACCAGGTATTACTATAGATTGTACTATAGAGAATTTAGCAAGTTTTCGAAAGACATGTGAAGTCCGCCAACTCGCACTTGGCCAGCGTGGTAGACTATGGTATGATTCCCCTCGTACTGAAGGGAGGCCCGTGCCCAGCAGTGGAACGTTAAAAAAGGTTGAATACATACTATAGATTGCAGTGAGGTTCCTATATTGAGGCGCTAGTGAGTAGACTCAGCTTTGCAGCAATCGGGTCACCGACATACGAGTATATAAGGAAATAAAAATATTGACTGCTGCTTCTCTAGATACGTGTATGAATATATTACGTACGTTTGTAAAAATATTCATGAATTTTCCACGAAGTATTGCATATTATCATTAATAGCAGAATAAACACAAACTTGTATTACCTGTGACTCATTTACGAAGAGTCAGTAAGTAATTTTTTAATGGACAATATATTTTTATAACAAGATCTCAGTATAAACAGACATATACATGTAAAAACGGACTGTACACACAAACATCATAAAATAGCTTATTTTGGTTCTTTTAAACAATTTGTCTTATAAAGACGTTTTTGAGATTGGGACACACGACTATGATAATGTAATTGCTTAATTATTTGTTTAATTACTAAATTACGTTATGAAAATGACAAAAAAAAAGATCTACACCCAGAACTTTCTATGATAAACTTATTATTATAAACCAGCATCTGAGGTATTATAGTAGCTATTAGCACGGTAATTTTCAAAAATCTTATTGAAATAAACATTATTATCGATACAGAGGCAAAATCTATAGTTTTTAGAATTTTTGTCTGTCTGTTTGTCTGTTACCGCATCACAGAAAAACCACCGGAGGGATTTTGATGAAATTTGATATGGTGATAGCTGGCTATCCGGGCCAACATATAGGATACTTCTGACCGCGGGAAAATGTCTCATTTCTGAGAAAAAATACAAAAACTGCAATGTAAGTGTATACTAATATGTAAAACCTAAGAATTTGGTTATTGGTCATCTGAACGCGCAATTCAATTTCTTGTTTATTCGCAATTCAATTTCTCGTTTTTTTTTGTTTTTATGCAGTGCTCTTAGTTTTGGTTAGCTAAGAAAATAAGATGCTGAGTTATTCGATTCTACTGCTAAGATATCGGTACTGATTAGTACTGGATTAGCCATAAAGCGGAGGTAGTTGCCTATGAGCCTCACGTCTTTTAAGGGCCCCGTCCGGATTATATACCTAATTTAATAAGGAAATAGACAAAATATGACACTCCAAGATATTTTAGAAAGTTTAGAACAGTAACAAGAAAATATAAGGTTTGAATAGTACGAACTTTTGGTTTAAAATTGCGATATTTAGGGACATTCGTATGGTTATCTATCTAGAGATCTCAGTAGGGCTTTATCCAGTACATCAAAAAATTTTCAGTAACAACCAGAATGTGGGTGATTGTAAAGCCTTTAGTCTCGTGTCTTGTCTTTGTGTCATCTCGGAGCATCAGACAAGGGATTAAAGGTATCAATGTTTACTTACAATGTGCAATAAAATGCACCCTATCTCCTGCACAGTTGTAGATGTAATAAGTTTGTTCCTTATTAAAATAATATATGTACGTATAATACAATATTTTAGATTATTCACATAAGTCTTTATGACGTAATTTGTTGTAGTCGAATTAATTAAAATAAATAAAATTAATAAGCTTCATTTAGAAGATATAAAGTTAACTTAGAATTTTCATATTACTTACGAGAATTGCAAATAATTTATGTATAATAAGAAGAAAGTGCTAAATGATATACTTTTTATTTGTTGAAGTAAAAAAGTATAGACTAAAAAAGCAGTAGAGTAAAATTTAAATATTGTTTAATGGCAAAGGTATTTTATATCATAGGTAAATTAATACAAAAAACTAATTAATAGTCAATTTAAAAAAAAAGCTTTTACTTAAATGCTCTAAAAAGAAAAAAAATCACTTTAAATTAAATCAAACCTAACTTTAAAAATTCATTATAATATGTATATGTATATATGTATATATATGTTTATCAGTTTGTCGCGAGATTTATCTACTTATATTTATAAAAAAACATATGCTAATATATAAAATAATAACTTCTCAATAAACCCTTTCATTTGAAATTCATATCATAGGGGTGCATAAAAAACATAGTCCGCCATTTGGGAGTCCGCCATATTGTATTTAGAATGACGTAATTTAGCTAGCCATGCAATTTCATCCAAACTAAACGTGAATAAAGTATTCAGTTGCAAGATTTGTCCAACACATACATACTAACAGGGCAAGTTAAATAAAAGTTTGTAATAATACACAAGACACGTTATAAAATATCTTTATTTTCCCTTAAAATTATTTATTACATCACTTCATCTCTACAAATTAATAGTTCATAAAACTTAAGTTTGTTGTTAACTTTTACTTCAATAAATAACTAATTTTATGTTAAATACATATTGTGTTCTATTTAAACCAATTATGCCCTGACATTTCTAAAAATAATTAAATGAGTAGTGATACAATAATCTACATAAGTATATAATAATAAATATATAAGTGTTCGTTTGTGCAAAATTGCAAACTGCAAGTTCTTCACTGGTTGCTTAGAAAGCTTAGTTCTTTTGATGATGATGTTCTCCTGACCGATTCCGGCCACGGCGGCCAATCTCATTGAGACTAGCCAACTGCGCAGGAGATATTATAGTGCACAAGTGTACGCGCAGACACAACGTGCACTCTCTATTCCTGTCACTCTCATACTCCGATGGGACGACTACTCGACACGACCGGTGAGAGATAAGGCGCAGGACCGACGGCTTTACGTGCTCTCCGAGGCACGGGGGTGAAACACCGCCAACTTCCCAACTCCGGGCTGTTACTGAGGCTACTATACAGAAAGACTCAATAACTAAACTTGGCCCGACCCGGGACTCGAACCCAGGACCTCCGGGTGTGCAGCCGTACATGCTAGCCTTTTTAGTTCTTTTATATATAATAAAAACCGCGTGTACCTATGTATTTATGTACTCACGTAAGAAGTTAAACTTGTTTGGCGTAACAGAACAAAAATAGCTAAAGATTTCATCTCGTATGTCACAACTCTCTGTTTTGTAAAAGGAATGCAGCTAACTTCCTCATGTCGCTTTTTGGCTGTCAGTGTGTGCGCACATTGTAAAAATTTTACTCTTATATTTTGTTCCTAACGTGCCAAAAGAAGTATAAGTTCAAAAACATTGTGTGCTATATATGTTGATGTAACTCGCCCCGAGAGGGCGCTGTAGTGTATCAATTTCTAAAGCGTTCAGTCCATTCGCCATATAAAATGGTACTTTTTGGCTATTTGGGTACGGAGAATATTTTCACGTGATACTTGTATGAGGGCGAAGCCTAAGACTAATTTTAATAAAATGGATATATTATTTTATTCTGGGATACCATTAGGCAAATTACTCAGAATTCATTCCTTTTCCAAATTTTGGACTTACGAACTCAAGCTTTCTGTTAATTCAAATTTTAGAATGTATATATTCTATTTTCAAAATTTATTAAAGAAGAATATAAAAAATACATTAGTCACAGGATTAATTTTCTAATATCAAAATTTTGGTACAGTTAAAAATTTCAAACGTCATCAATGTAATTTAATTTGAAATTATAACAATTTCATTTAAAAATAGTTAATCCAGAAATAATCCTTTTTTTAAATTGTTGTTAGTTATTTAATTTAATTTAAAGCATATTTATTCCTCAACCAGATCGTCGTAAGATATTTTTTCGAGGATCCTCTCAATGAATCTGGACATTTTCTCGGCGAGGTCTCCTTTGAGCTGAGGCTTCATTTCTTTAAGTAACTCCTGAGAGTTTGTGTTGATGAATAGATTTAATGCTGCTTCTGTAAATTAAATGGCCAATCTTATTAAAATTATTTCCAGATTCGTAATATTATTTTGTATTTTGTTACATTTAGATTCAGAAAATTACATCTATTTTTGACTTTTAGAAAATTATTACTATTTTTGACCGCTACTATTTTTGATTTTTTTTTGGTCGCATTTCGTCTATATAAAACCTTAGTCTGAAGTTTTCAAGAATTTAAATTAAAAAAAATTACATTGCGTTAAATAATTCATATAAAAATATATTTTAGTCTATGATTAAATTTTTATTTAAAAAAAACCACGAAACATGTACGTCGTCCTGAAGGTAAGTTGCCAGAAGATTTAAGATAGAAAAATACATACGTAGTACGCTGTTGCTGTTCTGCAGATTTTCGACACCCATTTTGATGTCTTTTACTGAGAAGTCTAACTTGAGCTGCTTCAACTTGAGGTAGGTCTTGCCTCCGCGCTTGTACGGTTCTCCGCGGAAATAAACTTTAGCTTTTACATTTTCTAAAACAAAATAATATAATCTTATTATATTAAACAAGCAATTCTTGTATATAAATACATTTATTTTGTGTATCTCGGAAATGGCTCTAAAGATTTGGATCAAATTTTGATGGTTTTACTTTTTAAGTACATACATATATTTATACTAGCATTGCCCGCGGCTCTGCCCGCGTTCAGATGACCAAAAACGAAATTCTTAGGTTTTACAGTTAGTATACTCTTACTTACATTGCAGTTTTTGCATTTTTTCTCAGAAATTCATCATACCAAACTTCATTAAAATCCCTAAAGACAGACAGACAGACAGACAAAAATTATAAAAACTATACGATATCGACTATACGATAACTATACGATTCGGACTCTGTATCGATAATAATGTTTATTTCAATAAGATTTTCCAAAAAATATTTAATGTACAGATTCGGCTTAGTTACAATTTTATTATATGTATAGATAGGTGTCTTATCTGAAAAAAAAACTTTTTATGCTATTTATTTTGTTTTCTATAGCGTTATCGCCATATTAATTTATACCTTTTGGGTATTTGAGTACAGAGAATATTTTCAAGTGATACTTGTCCAGAGCGAAGCCTTAGGCTAGTTGTTATAAAATGCATATATTCATTATTTTATTTTGGGAAGTCATTAGGCATCCCAATTTATTAACTATTTTTATATCTTTCCTGAAAGACGCCGAAGGAAGCTCGGCCGCTTAAATACTTTACTATTAAGTAGGTACTAAACAACGTTGCGTGAAAAAGTATGTATTATCATAGATATTTTTTTATAAATTATACGTTATTTTCAAAGTCAGCGGACAATAGAGAACAAAGTAAATCATTATACTCGGCAACATTATGTACCATTACAAAGGTTGTATATTATAAAAATGAACAATACTATTCAAAATGAACAATAACTTTAAACATTAATTTCAAAAAAGAGTACAGAAACCACAAATTGTAAGTATTTTTTTTTATTTTCCACCATATTTTTTATATTTTCCATAAGATGATTTATTATTTTAATATTAGCCTCCGTTTCCCCTCAAACGTTCTTCAAGTATACTTGTAGCTGTACTAAAATGAGGTATATATTGCTATAGTACTAGATATGGCTTATTAACTAATAGTATATTCAAAAGTTTAAAGCATTGCTATAGAATTAAAAATGGCAAACAACTTGTTTTACACAAGAAAAATATTATTTAAAGATTCAAAGCAAAGTTGTCCAAGTCTCACCGTACTCGCCCCAGTAGTCGCCGCCGCCCGACGCGCGCACCAGCAGCAGCAAGCCGGACGAGCGGTAGCGCGCCGTCACGCTGATGTGCGGGATGGACAGCGTCAGCTGGAACTGGTACGTGTCCAGGTCCGATCTGGATATGTCCGATATATACCATTATATTTAGCAATTTACTTAATACTTTCTTAGATTTACGTGAAAAATTGACACCTATACTATAGTAAAACAGTAGAGGTCGAATGTCTGTACATAGCAAAAAAATGCTAAAAACCAAGTCAGGGGGATGTAAGAGACAAATAGAACAAATCCAGATTTTTTTAATTTTTTTGTTTCTTTGTCTGTTTGTCTGTTTGTACGGGCTAATCTCCGAATCTATTGGACCGATTTAAATGAAATTTTGCACGATGGTACCTTATATCCTCGGTCAACACCAATATACTTTTCATTCCAGAAAATTAAAGAGTTCCCGTGTGATAGTTAAAAAACGATAGTATCTTATAGAGCTTAGTACACGACAACTTGTGCACTTAATTTAGTAAAATTTAACATTCTGATACCTTATATTGCCGGTCAAACAACAAGTTACTTTTTATCTCGGAAAAATGAACGGTTCCCGTTTGAACTAATACTTAGATCTCTAGTAGTGTTTTTCTAGAGGCGAACCCGAGCGAAGCGAGGATGAGCCGCTAGTTTTAAATAAAACTATCTTTTAGGACGTTTTCGCGGATTAATTTTGATTTTTGGTTCCCGACGTTTTTAATGCTTTACAGTAATTATGGTCACGGGAGAGTCTCCCCGGAATATAAAAGATAGTTTTTTTTAAATACGTAGTCGTTTAATTTTTCTACTACATTCACGTAATAATGTAAGTTATATCAATAACTAGTAATGCACGCGGAATCGCTCGCGTTCGATAATAAGTAGCCTATTTGTAATCCAGGATAGCAGCCGAGTAAGGTCTGGAGAGGTCTACCATGTTTTATGGCTCGCTCCTAATATTTCTCTGTTAGCAAAGTGGACCGTGAAAACAACCACCTGGTGGCTACGGTCTACCTCGATAGGCCAGTCGGGTCACGGGTAAGGTTTCGTTGAGATTTAGTATTATTGCCTTTTCTTATTAGAAGATAAAACCTTTCTCCATTCTGAATTTTGCCCAAATCGGTATTTGGATGTTACATAGAAGTAATAAATACATATCTCTCACTCTTTCTTATAATCGTTTTTTAATGTTTTTAACATTAATATGCTTAGTGAAATCGCTCTAGTTCGTAATTAGCAGACTTAAAATTTCACCCTTCATTATATCTTAGATAAAAATGTTAGCACCAACATTTCGGTCAACAAATTATCTCCGCGAAATATCACATTAAACCGTTACTCGGTTGATGAAAGAAGGACAAGTGACACACCAATAAACACACTTTTGTATCTGTAATAGGTATAAGTGGGATATAAAAGTGTTTTAAAGTGTTTTAAATTGTAAGATATTTATAAAGTGTTCATTTTTTAACCCCCGACGCAAAAAGTGTGTCTAATGTGTCTGTCTGTAACATCGTTGCTCTCAAACGGATGGACCGATTTCGATGCGGTTTTTTCATTTAAAAGTAAGTTTCCTTGCGGTGGTTCTTAACTTTGTTTGGTTAATATCGGTTCAGCTGTGTAAGAGTATCATCTCTTTTCCAAAATGAAGGCATTTTGGCGTATGATTACTCGATTAAGTTTTTTATTTTTTAAGGGTTGTTCCTTAAACTGTAAGTATTTTTTGCATAGGGAGTTTTGAAAATTTTTAATTTATAATAATTATTAATTAGCATTAGCCGTCTTGGGAAAAATTATGTGCCAAGCTGGTCTTAGTAGTCAAACGATGCAAAAAAAATTGAGGTAAACGTGCTATATCTTCATAGTTCATACCTTATTCGAATAATAAAATTATTTTTTGGATAAGCATATTAGAATTCATAAGCTTTTAAAAAAAACAATATGCCAAATTTACCTGCTTATGACAATACTAGCAACTCACCCTCGCTTCCCTCGGTACTTTTTAACGGTTATATGGAAAAGATAGACCTTTATGATATACCTCAATAAACGGACTATTTATTGCAAAAAGAATCATTTTAAAATCGAATTGGTAGTTTCTGCGATTAGCGCGTTCAAACAAACAAACAGACAAACTTTTTATAATTTTAGTGTAATTTAAATCAATATGTAAAAAGGGATTTGAAGGTGAAGGTTTTAGCAAGTAAGGCAATGTTTGCTTGCGGTTGTTCTTGACCACAAATACAACAAAGACTTGTTTTGTGATTCATACATGTATAATTTTATTGACATTATTATATGTTTAAAGTTTCGTGTTGTGGAATAGCAATTTGCAATGTGTATAGTATTAGATGAATTCCTTCGTGGGATGAATATTTTGTACTGATATTATAAATTATCTTTTAAAAAACCTAGCACATACTGTTCTGAGTGGCGTACATAAAGAACCTAAAGTCCATTATGGTCCATCTAAACTCTAAACGTAAAGACGTGAGGGTACTACAAGAACAGGTTAGTTACATACGTAATAATAATATTAACAAATACTCTTTATTGTACACCCACAAGAGAAAAAAGAAAAATTTACAAGAAATATATAAAAAGAGTTATGTACAAGAGGCGGCCTTATCGCTAAAACAGCGATCTCTTCCAGGCAACCTTAAGGTGTTGGAATTGACATACGTAATTGAGCTCAGATCTAAAAAAAAATTATTTTATTGGTTTGAGAAACTAAAAAAGATGAAATCCAAATATATAGTACGTTTTGATTTTAGGTAGAGTATATATAGTCAAATTGCATTTAATAATTTTCATTAAATTAAAAATCGCATTCTTTAAAAACTTTCTCACTTTCTTTCTCTCTACATGATCATGAAGTAAATCTAGAATTATCATAATATATTCTCTGAACGTCGTAAAAAATACTCTTTATGCGATATCGTAGATGCGAATTTAAGCGTAGTTTAATGAGTATAACCTATACATATAATACAATTCTGAGTCAAATCTGTAAATTAAATATTTTTTAGAAAATCTTATTGAAATAGTAATTATTATCGATACAGAAGCCGAATCTATAGTTTTTAGAATTTTTGTCTGTCTGTCTGTGACCGCATTACCACCAATCCATCACCACCAAAAAAAAGAAACCACTGGACAGATTTTGATGAAATTTGGTATGATGATAGCTGTTTATCTAGGTCACCATATAGGATACTTTTTACTGCGCGAAAATATCTCTTCTCTGAGAAATCTATACTAAACGTTAAAAGTAATAAAAAGTACAATATGTACTAGAAACATGTAGAAAAAAAATACTATCTTCTATCAGAACTAAATGCAAAACATTTAATAAAATAAACAATATGTATTTATATGTAAATGATTAAAATAACATTGTGCTATTTTTATCTTATTCCATATCAAGGATAAGAGATGACCGCAAAAATCAAAGGCGTAAGGCACACCAGTGATACGTACGGTCAATCGTCCCGAGTGCTGTCACGTACGTACGTGAGAAGAATAAATTATATATACGTTTATGCCTTTTTACATTCTCAAATATCTAATTTAATGACATAGCTGGATTATAATGGCTTATTTGCTCATTGGAAAGGATTATATGCAATATATATAATTAAATGTATAATGACATCGTGTAAAATCTCGACACGATTGGCTCAGTTTGTAGTGATGCTATTTACTGAGTGCCAGCGGTAGCGGGTTCGAGTCCCGCTGAGGGCATTCATTTGTGTGATAAGTACGAATGTTTGTACTCCAGTCATGGGCTTATATTTATAATATGTATGTATTTAAAGTTATATATGTGTAACTGTAATGTATCAACTATCTGGTATCCATAACACAAGCCTCGTAGCTTACCATGGAACTAGATGGTGCTGTGTGTTAATGTCCCAACATATTTAACTATTTAAATTAATGTTTATTTAAATTAATTTTAAGAGCTTAAGAACCGATAACCGTTATCTTAAAATATAAAATTGTTAATTAGAAATGGTTCGGAATATAATCTTATTTTTAACTTTATATTTATTACTATTACTTGCATTGCCCGCGGCTCCGCCCGCGTTCAGATGACCAAAAACCAAATTCTTAGGCTTTACATATACTCTTACAATGCAGTTTTTGTATTTTTTCTCAGAAATGAGTCATTTTCCCGCGGAAACAAGTATCCTATATGTTGACCCGGATATCAGCTATCTCCATATAAATTTCATTAAAATCCCTCCAGTGGTTTTTCTGTGATGCGGTAACAGACAGACAGACAAAAATTCTAAAAAGTATAGATTCGGCCTCTGTATCGATAATAATGTTTATTTCAATAAGATTTTCCAAAAAATATTTAATGTACAGATTCGGCTTAGTTACAATTTTATTATAAATGTATAGTTGTATTGGTTTTTATAATTTTTTATTGTTTGCTAGCCTGACAGTGAAGATTTTATAATATCTTGCAAATTCATACTTTATTTAAATTTAATTTGTGTAATTTCAGAAAATATCGTAACTACTTCAAGAAGAATGGACAATTTCAACTTAAAAAAAAAGTTAACTTTACCGAACGTTTGTGATGCTGACGTCGTCAACGCCGCTCGCGTTGATGTCTTTAAACGTTGCTCTGTAGCCGTCGGGACCGCCGCCGAGGGCGATTGATAGCTCGTCTAATAATATCGAGTCCGACTGAAAATTTTAATAACAGATGTTTTATATATTATGACGACACGTTTGGCTCAGTTTGTTGTGAGCCTACTTTCTGTACTAGAAGTCGCGGGTTCGTGTCCCACTGGGGCATTCATGATGAGTACAAATGTTTGTACTCCAGTCGTGGGTTTTTATATTTATAATAGGTATGTATTTAAAGTTATATATGTGTAGTGTATCAACTATCTGATATCCATAACACAAGCCTCGTAGCTTACCATGGAACTAGATGGTGCTGTGTGTTTATGTTATTTATATATTTACCGAGAAAATATAGAATTACGTAAATTAATGATGACTTCATAAGTTAAAAGTTACACCGATTTCATAATAACTCATACAGTGAAATTTTAATAAGTGTACAATTTAATAACTGCCTCGGTGGTCTAGTGGCTAGCATGTCCGGTAACAGATCGAGAGGTCCAGGGTTCGAGTCCCAGGTCGGGTCAAGTTTGTAAGCGAGTTTATTTGTTAAGATATTCTCAGTTGTAGCCCGGAGTTTCACATTGGATTTATTTGGTGTTATAAAGAAACTTTTTTGAAGGAACTAAGAAAGGAAGGAACCTATTAAATTTAGAATAGGACAATATTTAAAGCAAAACTTTTTAAATATACCTGTTTAACACCCAATTCAGGCGATCCACTTTTAAGATGGTCGATAAGATTATTAAAGCTTTTTAGCAAACACGCGTCCACTTCTTCATCCTCCTTCGAGCAGCGACCTCCGAACACGTCTAAAAAGATAACATGATGCATATATTTTTTATAATGTAGGTAAATTAACTTATTTTATACATAAAATTACTTGTAAAAATATCAATAATAAAATAGTTAATATTTAAAATAATCAAACGAAATGTATAATTTTTTGGGTATAATTAATATGTAAACAAAAATAGAATTATTCTTTGTGAATCGAGAAAAAATATTTTGAAGACATTTTTTTTCTTTGTCATTTTATATTATTATTCTTAGAAGCGATGGGTTTTGGATATATTTTACAGTAGATATTTAAGTATAGAGTGCTCTATTTAAGGAGAGAATGTAATTTTTAGATAAAATATTCGACGTAATTATGCAAATTTTGTCTGCATTTACATGGGCGTCAGCTTAAGCTCAGGATAATCTAATAAATTTTAATTTGAAGTTAATATGCTTTTTTTGAAACTCCTTCGAATCAATTATTAATTGGAGTATGAAAAAAAATATGAATTTCATGAAATATTCCCGTTATAGACCAATCGGAATCCGTTTATTTCTGAGAGAAAAAAATATATTGCATACGCGTTCTTTTCGAGTAATAAAATAAAATATCAAACTTTAATATAATTAACCGTTTTTTGAAATATAGTACACGTATATTAAAAGGCTGAAAAAATTATTTGTTGTTGTTTTTTTTATTTGAACACGTTAATCTCTGGAATCGACTCACATTTTAGTAATACGCTTTGCATTTTATAGTTAAGGAGCAAAACAAAAACAAATCTATCCCACGAACCGTACATTTTTTCAGAATAAAACCGTACATTTATTCAGAATAAAAAGTAGCTTATGTGCTATTCCAAACTATAATAATCAAATTTTATCCAGTTTTGGCGTCATTGAGTAACAAACATCCATCCAAACATCTAAACTTTTACATTTATAATTAGTAAGATTTATTGAGGAAGGTATCTAATGTCGTGTTACATGATCTAATGTGTTTGGGATATGGGATAGTTATTCATAAACCATGAGAGGAGCACAAACATCTGGAATTATAATTAAATTTAAAATGTAATCCAAGTTTTGTCAGTTTCTTTGATGAAAGAAATTAAAGGAAATCTTTTCTATTAGGCCCACGATGTATTGCATTTTGTATGTCACTGGAGTTTAGCAATAGAGTAAATTATAGTATTCAAAGTTGTTGCATATACTGTGTACATATGTATATTTCAATACATTATGACGCAAATGCTCATACATTTTATTCTTCATAAAGCCTTTAAAGCGTTTTGACTCTTTACGGAACAATGCAACTAGCATTGTGTTACGAACTTTGTTGTCGGTTTCACATCTCTTACAGTAATTGCTCGATAAATAATTCAAGTAATTAGGTATATTACTTAATAAAATTATGAAATTGTAACTAGGATATGTACGATAAATATTTTTTGGAAAATCTTATTGAAACAAACATTATTATCTATACAGAGGCCAAAACTATAGTTTTTAGAATTTTTGTCTGTCTGTCTGTCTGTCACCGCATCACGAAAAAACCACTGGAGGAATTTTGATTAAATTTGGTATGATGATTTCTGGTCATCCGGGTCAACATTAGGATTTTACTGAGGGAAAATATCTCATCTCTGAGAAATCTATACCAAACGCAATTATATAAGAGTAAACTTATAAATAAAATTTAAGTATCTGTCGCTGATTTCAGAATATCTCATATCAAGCTATTGTGAGTTAAAATAAAAAGACTCTTCATCTTCGTGTGTGATTGTACCCACTAATCTCTAAAGCTGCTGAAATAATTTCAACGGGGCTTTTAGACTAAGGCATAGATGATATGGAAGACAGTGACCTAGGTTACTTTGTATCCAAGAAAAATAAATGTTCCTGTGGAAAAAAGGGTTTTTTAAAAGGAAAGTCTTCTGAATTTTTGGCATTTAAGATTCTTTTATTAAACCTAAAATGTACGGTTACGAGTTATCTGTGACGGACGTTTGCCTAATTATGACTGAAAAAGATTATACTGTGGACCACGTATTTAATGTCAGTGAAAGTTTTAGAGGACATACACGTACTTATCAAAGGAAGTAGCCATACAGTGATTTGACGACTAATGCATTTACCATACATAAAAATATAATTTATATCTGTTTGTTTTTTTAATTATATTATTTTTTAAACTATGGTTAGTTATGGAGTAAAATAAACTTTTAGACGAAAAAAATACATATTACTAAGAAATAAATTTTACTAATTATATTATAATTTGACGTTCTCGCGTGTTTTGACTCAGGCAAGTTAAAAAATCATAGTCAGCAAATCTGGTTAGGATATACTCTGTTTGAGATCGGCGATACAATGCCCGCATGAAACTTGCATTTCGATTCAATATACAAAAGATAAATGCTTATAAATACGTTTAATTTATATGAAAAAATAAAAATATAAGTAAAACACTTCTTAACTAAATTGTTAAAAAAATATTATAAGAAATGTTACAGTACGCGTCAGTTGTCCAGCTTTCTTCGCTTACGGCACTTATTATGCGAGTCAGCGAATATAACGGTATTCGTCACTCGACGAATGCATTGAACACAATAGTTGATGCAAGACAATACTAACCTTCGTCTATTGGCGAGAAAATCTCTATACAATAACCTAACCTCTCGATTATCGCGTGGCGAGTGTGAACAATGTGTGTTTTCTTACAAATATATATGGGTTTAGCCAAGGTAAAATAATTTTAAGGTATATACCTAAAGCCTTTCAGATTAATACTTTTAAATTATTTGTTTTGTTAACAGTAAAAAGAAAGTATGCTTACAATTTTATTGGTTTAAGATCGAGTTTTTTATTCTTTGTGTCGATTGTGTCTCAGAGATGAGACCCCAATAACCAGCTATGATCATGCCAAATTTCATCAAATTCTGTCTAGTGGTTTTCTCGTGATGCGGTCCCAGACAAGCAGACAAAAATTCCAAAAACTATAGATTCGGCCTGTATATATCGATAATAATGACTATTTGAATAAGATTTTCCAAAAAATATTTAATGTACAGATTCGATTCATTTAGAATTTTATTATATGTATAGATTACTATAGCGAAAGTGCCTAACAGTAGCCTATGTGTACTCTAGGTGATATAGTCTATCTCTGTTCTAGGATACCTATATATCTGGTATAGGCGTTTCAACGAGAAGGACTAACAAACATACACACATACAAACTATCGCATATATATAAGTAGTTCTATTGTAATGCCTTTTATTAGAATGTTGATCGCTCATCTAGTTATGAAAATGAATACGGCGGTCAGCTGGTAGAGGTCAGTGACCGTAAAATGTAGACCTTGTCCGCGAAACGCTCGATCGCAATATTACCGTTCACTAGCACGTAATTAAAACTTGTATTTAACCTATATAGTTACTATCATTAAGCCTTTGTAACAAGAATGTTCAAATAAAACAAATTGTTAAGTAGAGTAGGTTTATAACTGTGCCAAAAAACTATTTTTGTAAATTTTTGTTAGTTTTTGTTTACTTACCTATTAAAAATTATAATTTGTAATTGCGATAATAGTAGACACTTCAATATTATTTATCTGCATAGATTTCGATATTAGAATTTCGAAGTTTATGATTATACCTTTCATTTAAATTATTAATTCATTTAATATTAATCAAACAAAAAAAAATAGAAAATTTCTCTCTCTCTCTCGTATCTCGTAATCTCTTCGTATTCTTACATTTTTAGTAAACATTATTTCCTAAAGATATACTCTTATTATGTAATAATCACATTTTTAAGTATGTTTTAAAATTTATTTCGAAGTTTCTGGAATTGAAATGGTTAAATTATTCTAATCGTATATTATAACATGCCTGTAAATAATTTGAATGCGTTAGAGCACGTCTTGCAGCGCAATATTTAAGGACATCTAACGTTAATAAATCTTATTATATGGGACATTTCTGTGCGACCTTTATATATATATATATACTCAAGGTCAAGGAGAGCTTTGTTTAAAGGTCAAACATTATTTTTTATTTTAATATATTCGCAAAGTGCGAGTCGTGACTCGCGCACCGAGGGTTCTGTAGAGTCTATGGGGTAAAAAGTGAAATGAAATATTGACCGATATACCCTATTTACTTTATTTAATAATAATTTTGTATTCCATGATAAACGTTTTTATTAATTCGACTTTATTATTATAAATAGCAATGACCAATCTTTGCATACATATAACTTTCAGTTTGCACTCATCACTTATAATATATGATTCCCCATACAAATTTCATTCCTATTTTTATCGCCTTAAGGGATGATTTCCGGGATAAAAATATCCTATATCCTTCACCGGGTCTCAAACTATCTTCTTAACAAATTTCATCTAAATCGATTCAGTAGATCCAGAGATTACCCCCTACAACGTCACAAACTCACAATTCACAAGCTTGACCTCTTTATAATATTAGTATAGATATAAATATTTTTATGTGGCTGCTAAACATACTCATAATTACGATGCCCCTAAACTAACAACGCTTTCAAGTTCAACTTAGAATTTTCTCTATAGGGTGAAATCGAAATGTTCTTGTGTGGTTTAAAAATAGGATGGCACTCGATACATATAACTGTACCAGTTACATGTATGGAATCACATCCGATTTTTAATTTCGTATATAATACCAATAATATAATCAATAGAGACCGGATGATATGCAACATAAAAAACTTATTATAGGCTTGCAAATATGCATGAAAAATGCTTAAAATGTGTACGAAAATTCGCAAAATATGCGAAATTAATAAATTTTAGGAACCAAAGCATAGAAAAAAGTAAATTTTCATTTTTTTATTTATATATCCTTATTATATTAGTTAAATATTATAACGATTAATTATGATGTTAAAAATATTTATGACTTACATAGATATAATATATTTCATAAATTTCGACTACACTCTTGTGTCTTATTCATTCGATTGTTATTGAAATTCACCATTTCCACT